CCATCACCACGTGACCTTTCTTTCGTGTTGTGCGCGGTGCATTTGGCGCCACAGTGCGTGGATTTATAGCGTTTATTTTCATGTGTTTGCTGGTGACTGTATTTCATATCGGAATCGCCTCCAGTGCTGTTGCTGCTGGCGGCAATAAAAGTTGTTTAAAAGTCTCTCTTTGGAAGCAGCACGCACAGGAAACTTCCCACAGCCAGTGCAACTACTCCACCTCGGACGCCTTTAACCCATTCCAATGACGTACGAACGTGTATGTCATCTGTTTTTTTCCTTCTGATTCCGTCCCGATGTACGTTATCGAAACGGAACTGGAATAAAAATGTATTTAACAATACATTATCAGTACCGAGGCTCCCGCAAGGCAATGCGAGAGGGCGTGTGGCACAGTTTGACTCCGGCTATCATCGAGTGCGGTCGTGTCGCTACAGTTCTCTGCGTCGAGTACAATGTCTGTAAAAACAACGGCGCGATGCCTCTTCATACAATTGTACAATAGAGCCGACATGCGGTGTGAGTGGACTAGTGGCTACGGGAGGTAATGCCAGGGGATATCAGCTGTGAGTGCGAAGGGACTGGTGGCTACGGGAATGATCGAGAAGGGGAGCGTGGTCAGGTGATGGAACAGGACGGTGGAGTCTGACGGTGGAGCGAGCGTCCAGAGTCAGCGAGAAGGTTCGGAAAGGGGGCAGTGGCCTTCGTTGATATATAAGGGAGATGCGTGGGAGACTTGGGGATGTTGCAGTGGGGGTCTCCGCCTGATGTCAAGCGAATGTATCTTCAATAAAGTGCCATCTCAGGAGAAGCGTGTCAAGTCATTACACAATTCTTGCGGGTTCCGCGATTCAGCGGAATGGGAAAGGGTTAAATTGCATACTGGAAGGGCTCCAACAGCATCAGCAGCTCCATCAAAGCGTGCAACATAATTTTCCTGTTCCGATTCGACCTTGACAACAACCTCTCCATTCTCTCCATTCACTGCCTCTGTTCCCTTGCAATAAACCGTGACCCTTTCAATCGCTGCCTTGATTCCGAGAGGAAAGCCGCGTGACCACTCACACACAAGCCGGGGAATGGGGTTGGACCCGAGAGAGAGAGAGACGTTTCTGTCAATGCCAATCGCACACAGAGGAAACCACGCAGCCAATTCCCTTTATCTCGTCGATAAGGAGCGTTTATCATGAACCTAACCATCCCAGTACCCCCCCCCCTCCCCCCCTTAAACGGTACTAAAATAGCGACACCCACAACGAGTCACCTCAACACCACAAGTAAGCGAAGACGTGTAAAGAAGAGAAATAAAAACACAGCCAGGACGTGACTCTAATGTCACCTCTTGTACTGCCTCGCACCAGGGCACAAGTATATACTGGAAGTACTCTTTGTTTGATAATTGTTTTTTACCCTTTTATCTGGCACCTTTTTTTACAAGGAGTCATGTTTGCTTTGACCTCAATACTTGCGGTCAGAATGCAAACAAAAAACACAACTCTAATAATGTATGCGCCGTCCTTGAATTTGATTCCTCCACACCCGAGACAGCTTTTCTTAGAGCCTAGTCTCACATGGTGTTGGACCAGCATTTGCACCATTGGTTCCAATGGTGTAAATGCTTACCCCGAGCTCTCGTACTCTGATGGTGCATTGTCTTTGAGTTGTGTGCCTTTTGGCGTCATCTGGTCCAACACCATGTGAGACTCGGCTTTAAGAAAAGCTGTCTCGGATGTGGACCAATCAATTTCAAGGACAGTGCATACATTATCAGAGTTGTGTTTTTTATTTGCATTCCGACCGCAGGTATTGTGGTCAATGCAAACATGACTTCTTGTAAAAAAAGGTGTCAGTTTTGTTACCAGACAAAAGGGTAAAAAAACAACTATCATATTTTGTTACTGGCAAAGGAGGTTCCAATGGTACTCTTTATTTCTTTCGGTAAAGTCACGTAGAAAGAAAATAAATTAAATAATAGAGTACGACGTTTCGATTGCAACACAAGCAACCGTCATCAGGTAGAACTAAATTTGAGAGAGAGACAAAACACAGACACGGGGATACACAGACAGACACACAGGCAGAGAGAGACAACACAGACACACAGAGAGAGAGAGACACAACATAGATACTGGAAGATTCACCTCGGCAAACAGCTCGTAAGCTCCCTGTAGTAACAGGTTCAAAGAACATCGAGAGTGACCGGCCCCCGTGTCTCCTCAGTTTAGCATGGTGCCGATTAACACCATGCTACACTTGTTCCTCTCCTGTTGCTCAGTCACACGAAATGTTTCTTATCAGTCCCCTATTTTCCTCTTCTAATTTGGCAAATCAGCACAACTTTAAGTTGAGCAAGGAATGTTCTCTATTGAGTCACGGAGTCACGACGTCTCATTGGATTCCACCCGGACCCCTCACACCCACCCCGGACCCCTCCAGACACCCCCTGGAAGCCCCCCCCCCCCTCCCGGACCCATCACGGACTGCGCTTTCCTCCCGCTGAATCACCCCAGACCCCCCTCGGACCCACCCAGAACCGCCCCTGGAACAACCCGGGACCCACCCCAAAAAGACCCCCCCCCCACCGCAGCCCCCCAAACCCGCATTGGACAACGCCGGATCTATCCCGGATTCACTCCGGACCCACCCCGGAGCCCGCCCTGAACCACAAGCGAAACGCCCCCCTGGACCCACCCAGGAACCCCAGGCCCACCCAGGAACCCTCGGACCCCCTCGGACCCACTCCTGACCCTGAAGGCCCATCCCGGACCCACCATGAACCACCCACCTGAACCCATGTCAGACCCATATTCAGTACTATAAGTTATTAAATGTGTGGTTACATTATGCTCTCTGGTGGCCATATTCAGTACTATAAGTTGTTAAATGTGTGGTTACATTATGCCCTCTGGTGGCCATATTCAGTACTATAAGTTGTTAAATGTGTGGTTACATTATGCCCTCTGGTGGCCATATTCAGTACTATAAGTTGTTAAATGTGTGGTTACATTATGCCCTCTGGTGGCCATATTCAGTACTATAAGTTATTAAATGTGTGGTTACTTTATGCCCTCGAGTGGCCTTATTCATTACTATACGTTTTCCATAATAGAGAGGTTTTTTGGGGGGTTAGATCGCGTAAATATATAAACGTATCGTAAAAACCCGCCACCACCAATACAGCCAACGAGTAACGGTTGTCACGTTAACAGAACATGCCAATTCGTCACTAGTACAGCACATCGGTGTGTTGGAGAGCTAAGCCACAACATTAATAATCTGAGTACGACGTTTTGCCAGTAATTACAACTAGCTTCATCAGTCAACATACATTATGAATGCGCATTATGTGAGCCCTTTGATCTTGTCCTTCCTGTCTATAGTGTGTATTAAAATACCCGTTTCAACGGTGAAGTACGCTGCCCTTTATAGGCTATCATTTAAATAATGTATTATTTGATGATTCTATTCCACGCAGCACTAAGGTGGTAGCTATGTGGCAAGGTGACTTTTATAAACAAAAGGAGCAGCAATGGGCTCTCCTTTGTCTCCAGTGATAGGGAATTGGTAAATGGAAGATTTTGAAACAAAAGCAATAGCTTCAAGCACACTAAAACCATCTGCTTCACTTAGCCGTATTTTATAACTCAGGGGCCGTCCATAAATGACGTCACGGCGATTTTGGACGACTTTTGACCCCCCCCCCCCCCCCTTCGTCACACGGCGTCACAAAGTCAGACCCCCCTCAAATATGACGTCACAAAACTCTGCCCCCCCCCCCCCCCCAAGAAAAAAAACATGCTTCAAATCGCTTTAAACTATTGTCATTGTAGTGCATATTTAATGTGGCGCTGCACTCTGTTGGAGAAAACATTTATTAAAAAGTATATCTAATTAAGTAGAACGTGTTGTCACATTTCTTAACACACCCCCCCCAGGTGACGTCATTTATGGACGGCCCCTTATAGGTCTGCATATGTCCAGCAAAGGCATTTGTCGGCAAGCTGCGGCTCTTTAAGCACTGCTCTGAGACTTTATTCACATGCATCGAGTTTTATACCGAATTCGAAAATAGTGGCTCTTGTTATTTTGGTTACCTACCCCTCATTTCAGGGGTTCTGGTTTCGGTTAGGGAGCTTTCAGGTTAACACATGCACAAGGTGCATTCAGACAGCCATACATTCTACCGCAGTACCATATATGTCCACATGAGGACACCACCTAATCCTTTGCATCGGTGTGGAATTTCATCCCGTCAATACCGTAAGAGCCGAGACGACCGTACCCCCAAAACATGCGACCCTGCCGATCAACAGTAGTGAACCCATGTAAAGGCAATGGGTATTTAAAATTACACAATTTAGCTGTTAAACATGTAAACAGTTCAGTTTGTCATTTAAATAAATCCGGAAATGTTTTATTCGATTATGGAAAAAGCAAAGCAAAAATGTTAACCCTACAATCATGACTGTTACAACCAATCCATTACTTACCTTTTAATAACACATCGTGAATGAATTTGGGTAGTGATTTTCAGCAATTTCAGTTCCCAGTGACATAAACGGCATATTATTAATCAGACCTACAATTCCTTGTGATCGTCTTAATACCATCATCACTTTTGCCTGCACGGTATATTTAAGAGTAGCTGCATTTTAAAAACAGCACAGCCAAGATGTACCAGTGGTTTGACCATGTTAAGGACCGATGTCTCAAAAGACATTATAAAAACACTGGCATGCATATTGACTCAACACAATGCAGACAATGGAAATCCCTAAGATTGTATTTATTGCCATAGAATCAGCTGATCATACAACAGTTCTTCATTGAGGTGCCAAGTGGGATGAATTTTACATGCATGGGTCAGAGGTAAACCTTACACATGTTAAAGGTGAAAAAATATTCTACTACCCACATGAAGCCAATATAACGGTCACATTTAAAGTTCATGTTAAAATCGTTTCTTTGATAAAAGCAAAAGAAGCTGAAACAGCAAAACATGCACTTTTATTTTTTATTGTGAAGTTAACCGAGGTTACAAGCTCCCAAACAGTCCACAGGAATTTGGAACTTAAATTTTACACAAGACAGCTTTTATTCCACCACTGAATGTTTACAGGGCAAATGTTCATACCCAAATTTAAACACCTTTGCAATAAAAATTAAGAGATTGGCAATACTTCAGCAAGCAATGCATCTTCACAAAATGTAGACCAATTCATGTGCAAATTGGTTACTTAAACGTAATAGATTGTGAACATACAAGCATACACGTTGTGGCTTATGGCTTCGTGACAACCAGCCTCAGGTTAACTTTCAAAAAAATACACAAGAGAGTTACCAATTAGGTTCGTTAATTTATTACACCAACTGAGGAGAGCAAAGAAACAGCATTGGCAAAATGTTTGGGTAAAATGACAATGCTGTACCTTACAGGGCAGATTTTTTTTATAACGTGTGCAATTAATATTATCAAGTCAAGGTGAATTATAAAGAACTACGAAGGCCAGTTAGGGTCACCTGGCAGTTTACTATGCCACCAGATAACAGAACAGAAAAGTGAAACATGCACAAATGAACCACAGGTGCATATTTTAAAAAGGCAAAAAATAACTCCCAAGATATACAAGAGGCTCCCAAAAACGGTTATGCATTTACACAAACTTAAAGAACACAAGGACTTAAATGCTTTAAAGAAATCTAAAACATGGATACATATACGCAATGCATACGTGAATAAACACGGTTAGGGTTACATGGGAATTAAGGTTAACTAGTGTTCACTAGGTAACATGGGATAACTAAATTTGAAGCTAATTGCACAGATATAAAATAATGACTGCCTTGTAAAGTACAGCAGAACGTTGCTAGACAGCTCAAGTTGGTGTAGGCCACTCTTTTAAGCCTCCAACTCCAGGCCCAGGCCGAGCTTGTGGCCACCAGCATTGATGTTCTTCCCATCAAGCAGGGCGGACAGTGAAAGTTTGACACCTGTAACACACACAACATTGATGTGGAAAATGCATATTAGTGACTTGAAACCACAATTAACCCTCTTCTGAAAAAATGTTAAAATGTTTTTTACCGAATGTACAATGTTGAGAAAATTAATGACAATTTTCTGAAAAAATAAACTTTAGAATTTAGCAACATATGGAATGTACCGCCACTAAAGCTGTTGCATCTTACAGCAATTTGTCAATGTTGCCAAACGTCATAACCGTATAATCAATGAAATTACGAATATTAAAACATGATTAATCTTGTACTCACCAGGCCGAAGTGTCTGAGTATACCCCAAGCCAACGAGGCTGGAGTTATTAACCTTGGCCTGAAAGATAAAAACAATTTAAGTATTAGTTACTGTTTAACAACTCAACATGAAGGCAGTTATACAAGCTTCCAAAAAGACAAACATGTGCTTTCCAGAACAATTTTCAACTTGATACATAAACAGGAAAATTTGTATTGCCCCGAGTCTTGAAATCTCAAAAAAGTGTACGCCACAACATTCATATTTGTGCACATGCCGCAAGCGGCTGTCAAAAGGCACCAACTTTCCTGGAATAGTGCAAAGGATATGTGACTTTACATCTTAAAAATGACAATGTAATCAATCTTATTTTTTTCTAAAACGTTAAACATGAAACCTAATGAGTAATATTCTACGATGTGACGTAAATAAATTGTACAACTTTAGAAGTTGTCAATGCATGGGGAGTAAGTGCACCCCTAACTCCTGCTGTAAGAAATCCCAAATGCCCTGCCTTTATGCTTGTAGACGTTTAGGGAAATAATATTCAGGCATTATTTATTTGAGCCCTATAAGCTATTGTTTCATCTGTAAAAGTCTATTCCCAATTTTGGTTGCAATGCCGTTTTAAATGGCATACATACAAATATATGAAACGCTCTTGACAAAAATTGATTAATACTACATCAACCATGTGCATAATTGAAAAGGTTGCCCTCTGAATTCTTGTTAGGGATGTCCCATATAATTCTAAAATGGTGGCAACTAAAAATAAATTGTGTCCACCCTGGATCCAACACACCGAGACAATCATTCAACTACTCCAGATGGTTGATGGTCCAAGTGGATGTGTTTTACCAAAATCCAAAGCATGCCCTACACACAATCACATTCTGGTAAAGCAAAAATGGTGATGTAAAAAAGCCTCTTGAACAGTGCGAGGATAGACCAATGCCTAGATGTTTGTAGCGGCAGTCTTACGTTGATAGTAGTGTTTGAGTCCAGCTGGTACTTTGCAGCAATACCAAAGCGGGTCGTGTTACTGCCCGCAGTCCAGGCCAGATCCACGGCTGTCTCCAGCTTGTCATTGACCTTCTGGTAGATGTTGCCTCCAAATTCCGTTCCATCATTCCTGCAACAAAAATGTGATTTAAGTTCACGATGGTGGCAGCCGCATGAAAAAGAACACTTAGGTGGAAAAAGGTATCAAACCACGTGTCACTGTAATATCTGAATAAAGAGCATCATAATTCCACAAGCCCTGATCCATTCAAAACCTCAAGATGCAAACGTTTATCGGCTTATATTCAACAGCAATTGCTTTGTATACATATTCAAACATTCATACGAAGGATATGCATATATTTTCACTTTCCAACATGTCATGTGCTTGTCTTCGAAATGATTTAATTTGTTAGAGAACACATGGAGGTCCATGACATGGATGCAGAGAGTTGTGGGCTTTAGCAGACAACAACACTAAGGGATGATGCCTAAGATTTTGTCAAGGAGGTAATATCAATCGTGAACATAGCTGTTGAAACATGACATTTGGTGTTTTCAGGGTTGGACTGGGGGGAAAAACCGACCCTCGCAACCATGAGCCCGCAGAGATCGGCTCACAAACACGAAGTTACACCCACAGACACGAAGACCCACTTCGTGGGATCTTCAGCAAAAATCAAAGAACCGCATTGCAGTGTGGTCACACCTTTATATTATGACAAACCTCTGGTCCCATCTCCCAGAAAACTGCCCTTCATCATATGTAGAGGACAAACAACTCACATAGTTCTTATTCTCTGTTCAAGCCCTAAAAATCTGGATGTCATTTTTGAAAAGAAAATTGATGCTTTCAATTTTGTAGGATAACTTTAATTGCAATTGTATTTGTCCTTGCCTGTGTAAAATAATCACTAAAACATGTATTTTGGCCATTCCTAACTTGATTTTACTGGGTTTTTTTTAGTATTTTGTCGTGGCCAACTGTTTTTATTTAAAATTATATTTTTGCACCGTTTTATATTTATTGTTCAATTCGGTTACATTTGCTCAATTATATTCAATTTTGCTCAAATTTCTATTTGATTAATTGTTGTACATGCTTTTATGTTAAGGCTTATATAATGTTGGTAACCCAGTTCACTTCTGAAAATGCCACTATCCAAGTCAAGTTCTCACGTGGTTATACAAAATAAACTTGACATTTGAAAAACGGAAAGCTTTACACATTATATATCGCCAATGTAAAATGATGCTTCAATTATTCGATGCAAAAAGGGAAACAGCTGATTTAACAAATGCACACCCATTTCCCCTCTTCATATGTATTTAATGTCATACTAGGTGCCAACCATGACATTAAGCTCATTAGAACTATATTTTCCTCTAGTGACCGAATATAATCAATCTCACTCAAGTGAAGGCAAATTAATAACAATTTATGTTAGGTCAATCTCTTGTAGACTGAGTAGGGATTTGATTCAGTGGATTCAGTCATCCAAACTGTCACAAACCAAAGCTCTGATTTTTGTTATCAAACCATTCATAAAGTGATCAAATTAATAACACCTTCCTTACTATATTTGTCCCTCTGCATCAAAATGAAAATATTTTATACACACGCCATGAGTGACAGCCTTCTGTGAGGTTCAGCAGCATTGGTGTCATACAAACAAACTTGGACTGGTTTTGACATAGTGTCTCGTCAGCAGTCATGCTTGCTTGAACCAATGCTGAACTGCCAGATGTTTTAATAGACAAGGGACCTTCTGTTAGATATGGGTTATAGTTTTAATAAAAATCGATATACTTTATTCTCCACAAGGATGCCAATGATAATTATTCTTGTTTCAGCAGCCTTGGTGATTGCTTTCACCAAGCCTATTCACAGCAAAACTCAAATATATATTTTTAAAATGATAGAGAAATGACGACAAATATGAATGCTAAAAGCATTACCCCTCTCATTGTAACTCTCATTTAACAAGCTATGAAAATAAAATTCATATATTACTTGAGTTAAGATGGCTGCAAAGTTGGACTCGAGATAAATGAGTAAAATATCAATCATTTATGTGTGCCATGAATTAAAATAAAATTGTTCGAGCAACAAAACAGTAAATATGTGGAGCATTTTTTTTTACACATTTGCTGCGCACAGGCCCAAGATGACAGGAACTCGCATGATCAAAGTTGTCATTAACAACACAGCAGGATCATTGTGAAACTGGCAATCGAGAGCAGGTTAGTGTGCTTCTGTAAAATTCAACGTGATAATAAAAATCGACACCAATATACCTCAACGTTGTCAGTGTATATTATGTGCTGTGACATATTAACTGACAATGGAGATGAAATAAAAACTGAAAGTGCACAACGAAGCATGGAGAGATACAATATGGAACCATCTGCGTCGACATTACAGAGATTCTGTAAAACAATGTGCAGGTACTTACACATTAGTGTGAAGCTGGAAATCAGCAGTCTTGTATCCAATGGCAAAGTTGCTACGGGTCAGCTTGGACTTGGCTGTGTCAAATGCCAGCTGGTAGCCAGCCAACCATCCCTCATAGCCAACCACAGCTGCGCCATTCACAGTTGGGCCTGCAAAGTCCAAGTCCACGTCACAGCCCAAGTTCAAAAATTCCCGCTTGTAAGTCGACTTCAGTTTGCCACTCTTCTTCCTGCACAGCACACATGAAACGCAAACAAGTGTACATGATTCAACAGCTGCTCGTCATTAAAAATATGCAACTATTTTAAGGAATACATTTTTTTAACAGTACATTTACATTTATGAGACACTTACTGTAAGATTTTTGGTAATAATGAAAAATAATTGCAACTCAAGTGTTAAATCTGATATTTTGGGAGTGGATTATCTATATATAAAAAAGGGAAATTTGTGAATGTGTGTCTGTTCGAAATGTTTAGCATACTTCCCAACATGCAACAAACTTGAAATTTGGCATGTGAGCAGCTTCCAGACTGTACACAATGCAAGAGTATAAAAATAGACTTTTGTATTTGGGGGGGGGGGGGGGGGGCGCAATAATGGATATATTTTGCACGGCAAGTGAGCGGTGACGTCACGTCTGTGATGTCACCTGCACGCGGGAGCGTCACGCAGTGTGCCTGCTGACGTCACGCATTCCCCCCCCCCTCGCCCTCCACGTAGGCCATGTATTAATCCAAGACAAGAATCCAAGTCTCGGGCGAAGCCGGGTAGTAAAGCTAGTACTTTATAAGCCATCCAACGCCACACACCAGTGAACCCGTGATGTTAAATTCCATGATGTATTCCATGTGTAGTTTGTGGGGAAGTACACCCAATTTATTACACTAAAATATGGGAGTAGCATTCACTATAAATGTACAACACTGTGTAGAGTGTGTTTAATACACTCTACAAAAGCATGTACAAGTATATGAATCCCTGCAGTCACAAAAGCCTTAAATTAAAATTCATGTACAAGTAAACAAACTAACTCCACACTTACATTTTTTGAACAGTATAATTCCTATGACAAAATCACCTAGAATACACATTGTTGGATATTGGAAGCAAATCCGGTTTGAAACTGGAGTTTGGATGGGCGACATGATGAACAACAGATCATAGGCGATATATCTACGTGGTGGGCACCAGATGGCAGTGCAGAAAAATCCAGCGTTGAATCATAGGTTTATGCTTCAATGTTTCTATTCCGCCTTAATCATGCCGCACTACCCAGCATGAAGTATGGTCAATAATCACGAAGACCCTGCAGTGTGGCGAGGCCCTCACCCAGCCGTGGATTGATAAAAGCGCTGGACATGTACACACCGCGATACAAATTTAGAAAACGTCAGATCCAATGATAAAATCCAGACCGTAAATTTTAAACAGGATACGATTTTGACCAAAAGCAGATGTCGATAAGAATATCATGCAAGAATATTCATAGTATGCAATGGTTTTCCAAGATAACAAATCAAACAATACATCAAACAGCAGAAGAAAATACCTACCCTACTGCATTTACAATATAAAAACTACCTTTTACTAAAACAAAATACAAAATATATTATCAGTATACGATTGTAAATATTGAGTGTAGTTTAAAAACCTTCAATGTACTAAATATTGTATTGCCAGTGTGAGGTGGTGCCATAGCCCAGCAGTCGGGCATTCGCCGCAGAAGTTCAGATTTCGAAGCCGATAGGCCATCCCGGTTATAACTGGAAAAGTAGTACTGAAAAATGTACCATCTCCTTCAGAGTGGTCATTAAAGATCCCGTGACATTATTTGAATTGAGTAGGCCGTTGTGTGCTGGCGTCATGGTCAAAAGTTGATATGCATACATGACGTATTGGTATATCATATGCTTACCCGGTGTTAGGAGCAAATGTGGTGTCCAATGTCAGCTTAAGTCCTTTGGCAAGCTGCACAGAGAGTACATTATTAACACGGCCACTAATACCACATTTGCATTGATACATTGCCATAAAAAAGATTCATAAGCCATTATTTCTGTTCTCAAAAGACAGGTACAGTAAAATCCTTACCTCCAAAAAAGTATAATTTATAATTGGAGAGTATGTAATGATTTAAGTTCAATATAAACACAAGCTTAACAGGTTTAAATGACTTCACGTTTTGCTCACTTGGCAATAACAGAAACATTAGAATGCATTTGTACTTAACCATTTGAATTAGGATAGAAAATGTTGTGTGGTACACATACCTGATCTTCCACTGATATCTCGGTCGCAAGCGTGTTATCAGTACTCCACTTCTCCGTCAAGTTCAAGCCATAGTCTGCCCACTTGTATTTGGTCTCCAAGCTGGCATTCACTTTGCCAGTCTCAGAATTAGATGATCCACTCGTAGAGAATTCCTGCAGCACAAACACAAAACCCGAGCAACCAAAACAGTGGTTTTCAAGAGCAGCTATTTAATATAGAACATGTAAGCCATACACTTACCACTGAACCATCGGGATAATTTCGTCTTCAGAAACTATTGAATATAGAATACAAAAACATCCAAAACTTGCAAAAGAAAGTTAAAGGATGCAGCCCAAAACTAATTTGGTAATGTAACTTTTATTTAAAAATGCCAAACCATGACGATCCAGCATCATGCACCACAGGTAGGGATGGTTTTATATTTAAACACAATGAGTTATAACATCTAGTAAATAAACTAAAAACATAATTAGATATAAAATACTGTTATATTAATATCTGATAGTGTGGAAATGTTATGGTGACAGCTATACTGCAGCTTTTATTACATCATACTTTCACAACGGCATTCATTGAAATAAAACTAACACCTAAAACAATGTATACAAACGTTACATGTAGCACATTACTACTCTACTTAACCAGTTAATGCAGCAAAATCTAAATTAATTTGTGTTCATTTTCACTGTTGTAACACCGTGCTATATAATATGAATACAGCAATTTACATACATCATTGTTATAGAATGTAATTTTTTTACATTTCAATAGAAGAGTGGATGTCCAATGGTAAGCAAAACATTACTTTAAACCGAAACTTTATGTTACAAATAAAACACGTAATTATCACCGCACGAATTGGTTGCCAAATTTGTAGTGCAACACCTGGCAAGCTTAAGCGCACGAAAAAGTGAAGAGGAAAACGCATTGCGTAGTTCTGCAGAGCTATGCCAGAGGAAATGAATCAACCCGCATACTAATGAGTGCATGACGTCACGGGGTCACGGATCTCTTGTGCTGCAGATTCCCAACGGGAAAAGCGGCTGGTTTGCGCAGCTACAGCAGCGGTCACAAAAAAAAGTGGAAAACGGCCTGCAGGCTGGCGGGCCACGTGTCTTCATTGTATTTGGGAGTTAAGTATCAGTGGCTCAGTAAAAACGTGTTTACCTGGATGTGGCTACTTTTAGAGGAAGTGAAACCATACCGTGCCTGTGTGCTGTCTGTGATTTAACAAGCGGTCCCTCCACCCGGACGTCCTCTACATTTATAAAGATTATCATATTTGTGAATAACAACGTTTGGGCAATGGGCCTTCTTCAGAACACATCTGTCAGAGACCGAGTTTGTAAGGGTTATGAAATATTGAGTACTAGACAAACACTTCAAAAATGAAAAATATTTATAAACTAACTTATGTTAAAAGTAAATTTATGAAATGGCTGACAATGCATTGTGGGAAGTCTTGGTCTTATAACAAATCCGAAAGTACATTAATGAGTCCAACTACCATTTCAATAAAATAAATTTAACTTCCCTACATTACTTACACAATCTGAGAAATGTGAAGTACAACTATGAAACCAAAAACGCAATTAAAAAGGCAAATTTCTCTTGCACTCAATAATAAAGTTACGTTTTCAGTGTGGACGCATTCACTCAGTCCTGCTTGGCTGAACGAGTCAGTTTAAGGAATACGAAGGAAGATTCGATAAAAAATCAGTTTAAGAGGTAGCAATGTCCATTATTTCTCGTCGCATTAACACCACAGATAAAGACCAAGCCACACACTGACATGTCACTGGGGCTGTGGTGTCCGCTGTTTAAGTGACGAGCCACTGGTGTGGATATGTCTACATGACAGCTGACAGATGTTGAGCAAATCTATTTCTGAGGCATTTAGCTGTTTTCCCAATGGAGTGGAGGCAGCAGAATGTGCACGTGATGCAATAAACCATATTGGTTGAGGTGCATGTAAACCCTATGTGGTGTCATGAATGATGCTTTGGGTATTTTTATCCATGTATCGGTTGATGTGAAATACACGTGGGAAGGTGCCCAATATGCTATTATTGCTAGCATTTCACAATGAACTAGAAACTCGTAAGTCCATGAGGTTTGCTTCAATGGAATGCACAGACCTCAGTAATCGAGTGGTTTGCGCTACAAAACGAGGATTATGACAATGGGATGTGCATATGGTAGAATCCATCCACCCCATTATCAAACCATAACCCCCTAATCTGTCCCATGTCATTTTCTCAAGAGCTTTTCACACAATTGTTGTCTTAAGAGCACATTTGCTTACTTAATGGTGCATTATTTATGTACGAGTGTACAGGATAAATGGTGAGTGGGATGTGCTATTGCAGGCAGACTTCGCCAAGCTGCGTTCCTGAAGTGAGCGCAAATCAAATCAGCAGTGAACAGGGTACCATGGTATATTTAGGGAATGTTATCCTAACAGCATTATTAATTTCGTACGAGCAATATATGGATGGCTTCATTGGGGTATCGGTGATAGCACTAATACAAATGGTAAACATTTCATAATTTTTTTTATAACATCACTATTACGTACTGTACTCGCAAGTGCTTTACACTGTACTAATACAAGGCAGACATTGGAGAAGCTACTGCACTCCAAAATCCGGGTAATTCTCAGAGAGAAGTTTCAGGACCTCCATGATCTTAGTGATGGCCTCAAGTCTAAATTTCTGTGGCGAGGTTTCTTTTACGTGGAGGCTGAGACGATTATACTGGTCTCGTGAGTTTTGACCTGTCTAACAATGAAAAACCATATCTTTAAAAATAGATATATAATCGCGACAACAAATCGTGATAATAAGACTCGCAGGTGGGATCTGGTTGACTCAGAACGTAGGTTTCTCTCATTGTCTGTGCGAATGATGGGGGCGTTAAGTTCGTGGCTAGCACTGCTGTGTTCTTGCTCGTAAGCGCTTTATAAATGTTTTGATTTAATTTTTTTATTCTTAAAAAATCTCCAGGACAGAGCACTAACGATTCAATGTTCTACGGGGTCATGTTAAGCGAGGTCTACCGGCATTTGTCAATTCTACTTAATCAAATCGACAAAAATCTGTTTTACTCTAAAGGTGTGCATTTTGGCTAAACGGGGTTAAAGGAACAATTTGAAGACTATTACGACCACATATTTACTAGCAATTGCCCTTGGTGGCGTCATTGGTATACTGCGTAACTCATAATCGAAAGGTTGAAAATTGCAAATGGCCAAGGATCGACTTAACCCATTTAGCTCTCAAATTTATACAATCATCACAACCTTGGTGGATTTTATCAGTGGTGTTCTGGGTTGTGGGCAATGGATTAACTGTGATGTAATTCACAGGGTGGTGCCTTCATTCAAGAATGTCAGATGGGCAGCCTTTGGATTCATGGATATTCAGCAAGGACTAAAGATAGACTTTGAATGCCGAATAATCGTTGGTGCAATTGTTTTAACATACGAGTTCCAAGGGTCAGAATAAGGTATATTTAGATTTAAAAGCTTATGTGGAATCTCGATCCTAATCTGACATCACATGATACCATAAGAAATCTACATTGGGCCCTCTTCAAATCTGCACAATATTTAACCTCATTGTCAAACCCAAGAAACCTAATAAGTCCACCCAATTGCTTTTTAACGATCCATAGAACCAGAAATGGAACATGTGACAAAGCCTTTGGTATTGCAGCATCAACATTTTGGAACAACCTTTTAAATTATCCTTCAACAAATATCCTCAAGCAGAAGATTACTGCAATAATACAGCCACATTTGCCCATGTGATTTGTAACTTTTAACCTTGCCCATTTTACTGTGTAATCGAGGGACTGTATTGTCTTGGTGTGGCCTGGGGCTGTTGATTTGCTGCCCAAAATTGCAATTGGTGTCAAATCGGCAGGAATTTATGTACTTGTGCAATTTGTACATCTATAATTTATTTATATTAATTTTTCGTGACTTGCTTTTTTTCCTCCATCTTGCTCTTATTTCGTGTTTTTTTCAAATAGCTTGCTGACCCACCCCAACTGTGCATCTGTGAAAAAGAGCTTCAGATCAACGAAAGATTCTGATAGAGGGATGCTAAGGCGTTATTAGGATTCAATGTAAATTATCATTAAGAGGTGCACTTAATTTCCACAAAAAAGGAAACTACTGGACTGGCTTGTCAACTTGTATTAATGTTGATAACCAATTAAGATACTGAGTGCAGTCACAATTATAAACTGAAAAAAATGTATTGTGGATCCCTAAAAAAAAATATATGGCGTGGTCCTACAAATATAAATGTCGCCCAATGTGTTTTTAAAACCAGGCAAAAGGGCGCAGTCCAGTTACCTAAAACAGCCTTACCGAGTCAAGCAAATTGCAACAAGACCACTATGAAGAGTAGCGACATTACAAGGTCAATGTGGAATAGGGACGCGTTCTCTCTCAAAGTGGAGCAGAAAAATACAAAATATACTACAGCTTGGGAGATCACAAGCTAACCAAAAAAAAATATATACATATTTTATGATCACTCCCTTAGTCATGGAGGTTGAGGAAATGAGGTTATGCAAAAAATAGGGTCGCCCCCACACAACTATGCAGCTCAAGGAACGGATTGGATCTGGTTTCTAATGGCTGCGTCGTCGAATGACCTGGAAGCAATGTCATTTGCCCTATGGTGACGTCACTCAAGGGCTTATATTGCACAGCCGTTGCAGTAGACTATCTTAGGCTTTCAGATGACTATAGCACACATTGCGAATTTAACATGCACAAAGAAGATGTTAAGACGTGGACTAAACCTAATTACGGAAATAAGATTTATTTTTATGTGCCCGTTACCTGCAACTGTAATCCCTATGCAGTCACCGAGAGTGTAAACTAAGAACTTAAGCAGTACTCGCTCTATCCTCTTACAAGGGCATTTGTATTAATAATACCGTGACCTCGCCAATAATTCTACAACTCACCACTCCACTAGAAGTCTTTGTCTTCAGGTCAAGTTTCACAAGACCAAATCCTGAGAGCAAAACATGAATATATAATTAACCACCGTAACATTCCACGACACCTTAGAACTTGCAACGTTCTCATGGTATAGAAGCCACGTACTTATTAAGAGCTGTTCGGCAAATTTATAACAAATTACATAACAGCAAAAGTTGAGACTCAAGTCGCGACTTGTGTTAAATCATATATGAAACATCCCGCGGGAGCGTTGATCAAATTGCATGACATTTACTTAGAACGTCTTGAAATATTGCTGGTCTATGTAGATAAGTAAATTATCAATATATACAAAATGACTTTGTAAGTATAAAGCTACAAACAATTAACAGCAACCTACTACGATAGTGGTTTACACCGTGGTTCATGCAGGTAATGACACGCTCTACCTCATTCCAATCTCGCAAGGCACACACACGGCCTGCAGCCTAAACTGCACCACACCAGTCACACCCAGCCCCGCATGGCCACCGTGCAGACACTCACCGAAACCCTTCGAAAAGACATCTCGGGCAGACTTTCCAAGGTCAACAAAGGTTGGTGGGACAGCCATTTTATCTGCAGGGGGGAAAAAGGCACATTTGAATAACGTATTTGAGCCAAGTCTGCCACGAATTCCACACATCAAACCCATACATTTCTGTCAGCCTATGTCTATCAAATCTCGGCGAAATATTCCGGGATAACGTACACCACAATCCCACCACATTTAGGTTCAAATCGATTCCTGCCAACCGCTCACAGATCCCAATTGCCGGACTGTCCCGGGTTTCACCCAAGCCTGCTGAGCGAACATCTCGACGAGCGAGAGAGAAAGGGAGAGAGAAGAGAGCGCTGCGCCGCCGCGTGCAAGATGGACGGCTCGCTTCGAGTGCGCATTAACCCCCCCCCCCCTGCCCTGCTCCTCGCTGCCACCACCACCCAGCACTGTCGGGCGGTGTCTCGCTACTGCAAACACGGTGTGGGGAGGTGCGAGAGAGGCGGCATCTAAAGCCCTAGCCGCCGCGTCTTGCTTCCCCGCGTGCACCTCAACCCGTGCCGCCTCCTCCTCCACCCCCCTGGCAGTATAAATAGCGCGGCGCTGTTCGCGCCCCATGCCGCCCGCCCAACCGCGCGCCAAGGTCACACGACGGCGCGACGCGACACGGCGCCGACGACGGCGACCTAAGCCGCCCGTCGTCGCCGCCGCTGCTCGGCGCGCAAGACGACGCATCGCGCCTCGGCCTCGCGCTCGAGGAAACTCGGGCAGGAGCCACGCGCGCGGCCGTCGGCCGTGGTCGAGCATCAGGCGGCAGCACGAGCAGGATAACGCGCAGGCTTTCTGTCGCGCTAGGCCGCAATGGCGCTCGGGACGGCGCGGCGGAGAGAAGCCGCGGGGCCGCGAGGGCAAGGCGGGGGAGCTGGCGGTGAGGGACGCGAGCAGCGCGTCGACTCTCCCCCTTGCTCCCTCTTCCTCACCTGGAGGAGCGCGGAGAGGAGCTGGAGACGCGCGAGCAGCTTGAGCCGGAGCTGGAAAGTGGCGTGTGGTGGGAGCGAGGTTGCGAGAGAGACGCAGTCGAAGGTGGGCGGGGGGAGATGGGCGCGGCGGCTGGTGACGTCACGCGGACCACGCCCTCGCCCCGCCCCCCGCACCGCCTCGTGACGTCGGGCCCCGCCCCCCTCGTGACGTCTGGCCAACCGCCAGGACGCTGACGCAACTCTGCGTCAAGGTCTAAAGGGCAGCAGAGCGCCAAGCGGATTGCAACAAGCAGCACCCGTCAAGCCTGAATAATGTCCATTATAAAAGGTGTTTTGGTCGCGAAAGACGAACCTGTTAAACGGCACTTTTGGGGGTTTGCCACCCTTTTTCCACGGACATATTTCTCAGCCCCAAGGTCGAAACAAAAAAAAACCGGTGCGGTATTCTGTTAAAAAATAAGTTAAACTTCAATGCCATCCGATGTCTTGACACAGTCCCGCTGATGCCTACTTGAATTGAGGGTGATATTGGCACGTAAAATAAAGACTGATCGGTACAAAGTCAGTTACTGCCACCGGAACACGAGACGCCAGATGCCCGGACTTGTCCGGTCTAACCCGGGCAGGTGGCACCGTGACCCCACACAACTGGTGTTATGCCTCCCCTATACCTCCATAGCTGTCAACCCATAAGGTTTACCTGTATTCTTGTACAGGGAAATTGAGTGTTCGTGTCCATACATCGTGCAGCCGTTTCAATACGGGCAAAACATGTTTTTGTTCATTTGTGTTTCTCGCTTGTGATGGGATTTTGTAGGATGAACGTTGAGATGTATAACGGCACGGGGTGACCAATAAGGTCAGAATTGGTTTGTAATAAGGTAGGCACTGATAAGGGGTTGACAGGTATGTACCTCGATCGCCCACTCTATCTCATCTGCAATCGTCCATCCTGCACGTGTACCCGTACTCATCGCAACTTCCTATTTCTGACCATATTTACTCTGATGGCACGCTTCATGTTAACCTTCAAATGTATTCATACTTCATCTTCCTTACCATATCTAGCCCTGCCCCATTAAAAACAATTTTTATAAAAAGGAAACATCCTATGAGCCTTTCCAAGTGCGTATTTTCAGCGGCATTGGTTCAACATAAGCAAACTGAAATGGTTTCAACACACATTTAATCACCAGCAGTCAGACAGCTGTGGCTATTCTGTATCCTCCCGTGAAATACTTAGCATTCTCTCGAGTGGCTTTTGTTAAAGTGCAGAACTCTGACAAATACTGTATACTGTAACATAATTTACAGACATCTGGCAGTTGTTGTTGCGCAAGCGAGTATGACTCTGCTAATGCGACACGGAATGTTAAAACCAGGCCACAGTTTGGTTGGGTTTAAGCGATACTGCTGAAATGATGCATTCCCAGAGGCTGTGCGGCAGATGGGATGTGTATACATTTGTAATATAGCTCTCAGAGACACCGTCTTGTCTTCTGTATACTTATTATGAATAAAGTCCACTGACAACTCAACAAGTAACCGCGAGTGACTGTACACTTGGGTAGTGAGACAACTCTATTCAGAGACAACATAGCTTCTAGTCCCAAGACAACTCTCAGACGATGGAGACGACCCGATCCAAGGCGGCGACGACAACGGTTCCCCACACCAAACAGCCCACAGCTCCGGCTCGCGCTGGCTCTTATCCTCGCCTTGTCCGGCCACGCCCTTAATCCCGAATTCTCCTCGCCGCACCTGCTCTTGTCAATCACCGCCTTAATTACACTTTCCTGCCATTGGATCCCGTGCTCCCCCTCACGTGACCCTGTCAACGCTCGTCCCATCAATCATCATTAGCACGTCCATTAGTAACCATGGTCCCGGGGAACCATACTGTCCCGCTATTGCTCCGCACTGTCTTTACACCCCCCCCCCCTTTCTTAAAAAAATAGCTGTCCTTGGCTAACACAATTTCAACCACTTTCTTGTCAGGCCGAATCAATAATTTAACACAACGCGTAACAATTGTGGAAGGGTTGAAAGAACAACTTACACTTTAGAAACCAATGCGGACCACCGCAACCAAACCCATAACACAACAATAACGCCAAAATGCGAACAACAACACACGCACGCAACCCCCGCGATGATCCCGTCCAACCCCGGACATTTTGAACATACGGACGCCCACAACACACAAAGAAACCAACAAGATCAAGGCGATCCGTCAACTAAATGTATAGTTCTTGACGTAGGTCCTTCTCCCCGGGCAGATTTGTGGCCGACAATGACCAAGAGGGCTTGCACTCAAGCCCGGGTGGGGGGGAGGGGGGTTTGAGGTCTTCGGGCACTTTTGACGCCAGGGATTCGCAACTGGGGGTGGAACAACACACATCCCTCAGCATCCGATTACTCTGGCCCCCCGTTCCGGCCCGTCTGACACCCCAAACCCCGACCGCACAACACTGGGGATGAATGATGCAAGACTAAGACAATATACGGCACCAAGCGCAACTTATGGCAACTCAACAGCAATATCTCACTCGCCCTTGCCCGCACCGCGGCCGTCCAATTTCAACAACCTCCACCGGCCATTTAGCTGGCCAGTGCAAATTTCGGGGACTAAAGCAATGGCACTTCGCAACTGACTCCATGCTCTATTCCGTACTACACCTCCTCTGACTCACACACTCCAACACATCACACAGCCTGACGATTTACTGACAAGGAAGGTTTGTCCCTTCCTGAGGCCGGATGCCCTCCGACATCCATAGGGGATGAATTTCCACGGCCAGCATTCCCTCAACAGGAACCGCATGCAACAGGAGTCGCACTCAACCTCAAGCACCCCGAACAATTTAGGGTTACTGCCACAACTCACCCTTCCATGCTTTCCAGCATGTGTCCTTACTCAGTCCAATCTCAGCGCTCGGCCTGAACCCGTCGCATCAAGCTAACCTCGCATAAGCATATTCCTTTTTGCCTGAACCCCCGCAATTCCCATATCCCCGAATAGGATCTGCAGGAACGGTTCCCCCTTTCCACTTAACAGCGTTAGCATCCAGAGCGGTATGAGTCCGCGGCCCTTCTGCTCAAGACAGCCCAAGGAGAACCCCAGTCTCCTGCCAAGCCAGGTCTCACCGTTTGCCACAATGCAACGGGACCACTATCCCCGAGCTCTGTGAGCCCCCAGCCAACTGTTCCAGATGCGCCACGGAGGGTCTCGACCTCCGGGCCGTCAGGTCAAGCCGTCTGCCACAGCATAACGGGACCACTACTCTTCGAACAATCTGAGCACACAGGCCACTGCGCTAGACATGCCATTGAGGGTCTCACCCTCTGGCTGTCAGGTCAAACCGTCAGCCACAACGCGACGGTACAACTACTTTCGTGTCAGGCGGATCTCTGGATATTTCTTGAATATTACCTGAACCCTAATGCTTGCTGATGGGGGGGATCCCCGTAACATTTGTGGCCCCATGACATCTGAACATACACTGGACATGCAACAATTGCAGGGGCATCCTGGTCAGGATCTCTGCCCCAGAGATAGGCCACAGCCAGCATCCCAAATCCAATATCTCAACCTCCCCCTACTCTGAAACAGGCTACTACGCCCCCCATTCCTCCATTCACCGCTATACACATAATCACCACAGCGAACCTCAACGATCCCTTAATTTAAAGGGCTTCGTGACAAAACGATTCCCAAATCAAAAGTCCAAGGCACTCATCCCACAACACACATAATTTCACACCATACACAACAAATACTATTCCCGATGAACCAGCCACCGCCACTATTACTCGGCTGCCAGCTTTTGCTACTGCATGCCCAATTTCGGCCTCAACGAATTCCCGATAACCCTATGCGTGAGGTGATTTTTAGCGGTCGGGTGTCTGGTGCATCACGACTCGCCTGGGCTGGGCTACGGCGGTGGACGCAAGGGGCTCCATGATGTCCCCACAACACTTGGCATCCCCGCACGAAGGGTCGAAGCTGGCCGCAGCAGAGCAGGCGAGCCAGGGCGCCCGCAACGAAGGCACCGAATTGGATCGGTCCCCTCCACGATCCGCCGCCGTCACTCCCCTCAAAGACTCTGTTTCTTCCTGCCGACGGCTCCACGAGAATCTTGGATGGTCGGCCAGTCCATTCGTCTTCACGCCGAGATTTTCCACTCCATGCAGGCCCCCAAGGCCGTCCTCGGAAGGTCTTGCATGCTTGCAGGCACCCCTCGGCCCAGATTGTGGGTGGTATATAGCAGACATCTCCTTGTAGGCATTCTGAGGCGTAGCCCTCTTCCCCTCAGGGATGACCCAGAACACCGTGAGGCCATCATCGTCAAGAGTCGTAGGCAAAGCAGGCAGCGCCTCTTCCTCCGTCCAGCCGTAAATTCCTTGATCAATGGCAACCTTCGTGGTTGCTCGACGGCTCCTCGCTCTGCCACCCGAGACGACACCGCCTCCACCGCCTCCTGTGTAGGCTTCAAAATGGCGACCCCCGACCGCGTGGTCTCTAGCGCGGGGACCCCGCACGACTTTGCGGTTCGTCCCCAGCTGCGTCGGCTCCCAAAGTCGCCCCTTTCCTCTTCGATGTCAAGTCAGCGACGGTCAACCGGAGCTGATCTGCCTCCGCCATCAGGGCTTGCCACTCCTCCGACGCAGGTGCCACACCCCCTGCACCCTCCGGCTTCGTCACCGGGTTCCCGGCTCCCGGAGCTGTTGCGGGAACTCCTTGGCCGTCTCCCTTCTCCGTCTCTGAAGATGCTACAGGTGGGTTCTTACTATTTCCTTTCTTTGGCATTTTACAATAGCCACTTCTGACACCACTGTAATGTAGTCCACAGCTCCGGCTCGCGATGGTTCTTATCCTAGCCCGGTCCGGCCACGCCCTTATTCCCGAATTATCCTCGCTGCACCTGCTCTTTGTCAAACACCGCCCTAATGACACTTTCCCGCCATTGGATCCCGTGCTTCCCCTCACGTGACCCTGTCAACGCTCGTCCCATAATTCATCATTAACACGTCCATTAGTAACCATGGTCCCGGGGAACCAGACTGTTCCGCTATCACTCAGCACTCTTTTTACACAGGTTTTAGTAATCCCTCGTTATGCGAAAACTCGTAGCATTTTCGCTGTAACGTATACCTGTCAAGCCATACGGTTTACCTGTATTCTTGTACAGGGAAATTGAGTAAAATCTTTTTAGTGTTTTTGTGTTTCTCCCTTATGATGTGACTTTGTATTATGAACGTTGAGATTCATAACGGGGTGAGAAATAATGTCTGAATTGGGTCTGTAATAAGGTAGGGCACTGATAAGGGGTTGACAGGTGTGGTAACGTAACCTTGAAGCGAGGGAACGAATGCAATGTGCGTTACCTTACATTCACATTTACTGAATTTTTTTTCTCTAAATAATTTTTTTGGGGGGGAGCCGGTCTAGCGTGCATTTCATGTCATGACACTGCTACCACAAACTCACTGTGGTGGTTCCCCACGCTCGCTGTGCCGGCTGACCTTGGCTCGTTTCGGTTTGGTGCTTCGTGTTGATCACGCCTGGTGCTGTACAGTGCACGATTTCACCCTTTTACAAACGTTCTTATTTCAGGAAACGTAAGTTAAGGTGTCTGAGGCTATGAAGTGCAAGTCATAGCAGAAGTGCAAAAAGATACCCTAAAGCAATTACCACATCTTGGTGCAACCACAACCTCACATGACGATTACCAGTTTCTGGTAAATACTTCACAGTAACTTAATTTCGAAAGCAATTGTATTTTTTTTTATCACAAAATTTTCGATTTTCCACTAAATGTTTTTGAAAAAGGTTTCTGCATTGTTAAGTGTGTTTTTATTACATATTGGGACTGAAAATTTTCGTCGGAACGTATCTCCAATTGTATAATGGAAGGCAATGACAAAATAGGGTGCGATATACCTAATTTCGCTCATGGGCAACTTGTCAGGAATGTAGCTGTTCCATACATCGAGAGATGACCATATACTTTTGTATATGGATGGATATGAAGGCCGATCGTCTGACTATTTCGTTTCTTAAATTCTTAACAATTATGCTCGCAGATATTTTTTGATATGAATGTTATTGACTCAAAATTACATGCAACTTCCTTCTTAGCCATGAACCGATTGCCCAGCAGTGCTCCGATTTCCTATTCAGAAGCATGTAGAATTTTCAATATGAACATTCATAAGTACACAAGCATATGTTACAAGCCTTGTATGTGAGCACAAGCAAATTTTATTATAATTTTATACATTATCACGTATCGTCAAAATAGTTCTGGGCATTTTCATATCAGCGGTGTGTGTGTGTGGTGAGATGAATAGCATTTTTATGAAGCAATTATTCAAATGAAATTGTAACATGTGACATTTATAATAATTCACCGGGAAAGTGAGATTTTTCAAATGTATGCTTCACATTACCCAGTGGGAATACATAATTGTTGCTTGTATGACAAGACCTTGCAATGCCTCAGAGTACTACCAATGTGGCCTAGTGTTAGTTCATATCAAAATGTGACATATTCTGTGTACCAATGCAAGGTACTGGATTGTATTTTTCCATTGTGCTGTAAATAACACATTGTATATCACTGATTATACGTTAAGTACTGTGCCTGTTTATTGTAAAAAATAATTTTCTCATTAGTTTATCTTCGTACCAGATTTTTTTTAAACATGTTTTTTTGTATTTTAACTATCAACACAAAACGTTAAAGATTTTACTGAAGATGAATGCAAGACATTAATTTACAACACAGCTGTAATATTGCAAGTGAAATGTCTGGTTTATATTTAAATATATTCTCTTAGAATTCATAAGAATGTCATGAAAACGTGCACAATTACATTTATGTAACTGAATTGTGCCGATTTACAACCCAGGAATGCATGGTAAACCCATTTCCTGTCAACCTTTTATACACATTTAAGAACACAAAACAATTGTACATATTTTAGAATAATTTTTAGATCATATTCAAACATGGAAATTTGTCAAACCATTTTGTCTACTAACTACAACAATAAAACAAAAATAGAGCACGAGCATTTTTGTATTCAGATTACTGTTGGTTTTTTTGCTAAAAATATAATGAACGGTCTTTAAAATCTGTTGTGCTTCATACATTTGAATGTCAAAGTTTCGTCATTGGAATGCTCAGCTTAGCAAAAGGCCCCATCCACAGCTCCTCTTCGGCCGAGGGCGACTCTCCATCGCTGGTGGAGTGCATAGTCTCCCTGGTCTCGTCCGCGTTGTCAGCGGACGACTCCATCTCGTGGAAGACGTGCTGCCGTCCGCGGCGCTGCAGGGTGCTGCTGCGCGATGCCGAGCTGGGAGGGCGCGTCAGCGTGGAGCTGCAGGATGCGCTCGACGGAAGCAGTGTGTTCATATTGTCGCCTGTCTTCCCGTACGACGTTGCCAGGTTTGACTTCTGCAAGTAGCTCTCAAGAGATGTTTTCCCATTGGACGATACTCGTTTCGCTTTGGAGTTATGTGGTTTTCTAGCACTGGAAAGTAATGGATTTTTCCCCTTCGACGTGTGTGAATTCCATTTAGTTCGGACAACCGTCCCATTCTGGGTGATATAAACGTGCCCCGATTGTCTGGACTCACTGGTGCTGATATAAAATCTTTCTCGCTCCACGGTACCGTCATCTCCTGTTGAGCTACTTTCCCAATGCTGAACCTTGTGCTCCTGCATTAACATAAACAAACCAAATTAGAAACGAATTATACAAATCTGAATATAAATGTTACTCTATGAGTAACTCAGAACATTTTAATATAAAACAACATTGGTATTTTGAGGACATTTAACATATTAATCACACTGACACTTGTAGAATTCCACTTCAACCACTGATGAGGTCACAAAAAAGGCACAAGATAGTTTATATTGTAATAAATTGAATGGTAAAACATTCAACATATCAGCAATTCTCTATTTTAAATTATGACAGCACAAACAAGTTAGTAGAAATATAATGACGAGAAAACGCAAACGTTAGTTCCTGTTAGTAGAGCCGCATGCATGTAACATTATTTGAGAAAGAGGTGGAATGAAGAACCAGATATAATTCTGACAAAAGAGAATTTCCAACAAACACAGCCAGACCATGCTAAGCAATGGGTTTACCAGTGCGACTAGGATGAGCGTGCTGCTTTATAACATGGTGACAGTGGAGTCACTCTCTGGAAGTGAACTGCCAACTTGGTTTTCCGTATCTCCTGTGAAAGATTCTTCTTCATCACTGCCCTCTGTCTCTTCAATTTCGGTTGAAGGGAAATTTTCGGAATCTGTTTTATCCTGATGAGAACTTTCATGATCTGTTTGTCCAGAAGTCCGGGCATCTGTGACTCCGCTGGATGTCTGCAAACGTTGTGTGTCAGCTACACTCAGGACATCGCTCATTTGAGTCTCTTCCTCACTAGATTCTGAAATGGCCATGGGCAAGCTCCTGTTAGCAAAGTCACTAGTGGAGGAAACACTGCTGATATTTTTGAAATCATTTGTTCTAACCGTATGAGCTGAGCTACTCTCCACGGTAGCTTCAGAGTCGACGACACTCATTGTAGAACAAGCTCCACTGGTATGGACTGAAATATTGTCGCTTGTCTCTGCTAACGACCTATATATGGATGAACCATCAACAGAAGTAATGTCTTCTGAGCCGCCGATAGACATTGCATTTCTGGAGCCCATTTCATCTGCATGCTCCGATTCAGAATTTTCATTCTCCAATTCTGTTGTTTCAACACTGGTTCGAGATTTAGATGTTTCATCTCCTGAGACACTAGGATGTTCAAATCCATCATTCATACCCTCACGATCAACATCCGCAACCTCATTCTCATCCTCGTGTGATTGTTGTAAACTTTCCTGATCATCCAAAATTGCATCAGTGTCTGTTGAAAATCCTCTGCTAAATGATCTATTTAAATGTATGCTGCTCATTACAGACCTTTTGCTCTGTGCTACTGTACTTGCATCAGATGTATAATCCACTGAACACATTTCACTCTGCTGTGTCTCATCCTCAAAATCTTCAGAATCAGACTCTTCTCTATGCTGGCTTCTCTCCTTTTGACCATTTTCTGAACTAAATCTGCTTTGAGAATCTTCGTTATCCTCGCTGTCTGACATACTGTCCGCTGATACGTTATCTCTTTCTGGCAGTTCAGACAAACTGCTTCTCTGACTGTAATCATACTCTTTTTCAGTTACATCACTGTCACCAAAGCTAACTTTTGACTTTGTGCTAGTTGTTTTACTGGACACACTTCCTGATATAGACTTCATTGGCCTCGAAGACAAGGCACTTCTATCAGACATTTCACTGAGCACTGAAAGATCATCAGATTCATTATCGTTGGTTTTTGTTGTAGCGTTAGATTCGCTTCCTTCTTCAGAAAACACACTGGCAGTCCTACTGATGGTCTGGCTCCTGCTTCTCAGCGATGCGTTTGAGACACTGGAAGCCCTCGATCTGCTTCCCTGATCAGACAAGTTGCTGCTCGTCTCCGCACTCATATGATCTCTGCTTCTGGTTGACGACATTGATCCCTGACTTGACAATGATTTTTTTATGCTGCCCTCACTCGTATCAGACACACTTTTCACACTTTTATCACTTATAGAAGAACCCTTTTTTAAATACTTCCCAGTGCCTTTAGAAACTTTTTTTAAAACACCACCTATTCCAAAGGTTTTTGGCTTTGAACCGTTTTGAGCTTTTTGGAAATAATTCCCATTGATTAATACAAGTTCGGAAGATGAACTGGCCTTGCTAGAGTGCCCATTGGAAATCTGTTGGGGTTCTTGAGGTTTGCTGACCTGACCTTTTATCTTTCTAAAAAACATGGGGAATAGTTTAGCTTTCTTCCAATGCATTTGAGTTTGAAGAATAGGTTGTTTATCTGAAAAATCATCGGGTCCTATTTTGCTAAATATTGGCTGATTTTCCACATCATGATTTTCTGGGCTGATGTTGTTCGATGGTAAAATTCTTCCACGTCTTGCTGACATCTGTGATGCTGGCAATCCATCGTAATCCTGAGCGATAGCAGCAGATGGGCTCGAATCTCCAGTTTCTATTTCACTCGCATCCATTTGGGGATCCTGCCTTAAGCTGGGCCTCTCACTACCAGAGTGCCCCGTTTCTGGCAGGCCCTCTGCAGCTGCAGGCGACACTTGCTTCTTATGCTTGCCTTTCTTTTTTTGACCTACAGCTTTTTCCTGCGTGTGACCTTCATGCATAAGCTGAAATGATAGGTGAAACGTGTTACATCATGCAAGTTAATGGACACTATTATGGAATAAAAATGATCAAATAAAAAAAGCTTCATACCTTTGAACAAAACGACAAAATAGGAATATTCAGAAAAATACCAACACCATTGTTCAAACATGATGGTTTGGGGTTAACTTTCAGTGGATGCTCTACAACCTTTCCAAACAATTCTATTAACAAGTGTAGGCATATTGATAAATATCGGTAGAGAACATTTGTTTTGTCTTGTTCTTTTATATGTAAAGCACAATTTACAGTTAGCATCGCAATTTTCTCTCCAACGAGGATTATAATTGTAAACGTAAAAACAATTACGAAAACAACAATTGTGACATTTGCAGGCACGTTTTTCTATATAAGTTATGTATTGCATGGTTTGCGTCAAACTAGGACCCATATATAACTGCCTATAAACATTTGCCAGTTAATCAAAATTGGTTCAAACAAGTCTGACCGCTGATAAGACACTTAATGTCAAAACCTGTTCAGAGTTTGATTTTGTCGAAACAATGCTGCTCAAATGATGCACTCCCAGAAGGCTGATGGGATGTATCCAAAACAGTTTTATTTTATGTGGAGGGGCAGATATGGGAAGAATGCAAATTGTTTGTTAAAAATATGGCAATAAAAAGCAAAGCCCTTCATTGTGGTCGTTTTCAATTCAACTGCAGAGACAAATAGCACTTGGACATCCATGGAGTGAATCTCATAGACAAGAATATATTTATCATTTTGATGGTATTGTTCTTGGCTGAACTTAAAGTGCCTTGGGATCACTGAAAAGTGATATAAAATGTCGATGAATTGTTTACTATTACTTATTATTGTCAATTCGGGGATTATTGTTACCACATGTAAGTAGGGTTGCCACCTCTTTCACAAAAGATACCAGGAGATATTTCTCGCTCGGCCAAGGTCTAAAAGAACTGTGCAGTTTACAATCACAAAGTTCAACAGTTCTCGCGGGATCTCGGCACAAATCCATTCCTGCCACTCAATCACAGCTGCCAATTACTGGACTGTCCCCAGGTCAAACCCAGATAGGTGGCAACTCTAACATGTAACCATTACTGAGTGTGTTCTGAGGTGTAACAAAAAACGATCTCACCTCTCCATCGTCACCCAGACCGCCACCTTCCCCGTAGTAATAGTCGCCTTCATCCTCCACGATGGGTTCTCCGTACTCGTTAAACATCCGCTGGGGCGCCGCAATCAGCCGGCGACGGCTACCAAACCCTGCCACGCCGTACCTACAAGCACCGCAGCAAACACATTCGGCAAAAAATGTGCAATTCTATGTCAGTGTTTCAGCTGCCTTTTTTTATCACGTGTTCGTACTGTTTATTCGCCTATATACACTAGCGTAGCATTTCAACTGTCACAGCTGGAGTGACTGTACATGAATCCGCGATGTGCACCATTTCATTATTTATATAGTTAATTTTGCAATTGATGGTGTGTGGAATTCATTGTATGAATGTACACTGTATATGTTATAGATTTAAATTATTGGTTTATGTGTCATTATGTTCCTGCTATGTGCGTGTGTGTGTGTCACCTTGGACACCCTTGCAAACGAGATGTTCCAACTGAAGGGATTTTCCAGGCGAAACATTTTAACTAATAAAATACAGTTTAAATCTAACAAATATTTTCTCACGCAATGAAACATCTTGTATATTTTCCTTCCTCTGCACCTTACTGATTATGTAGCCTAAGGCGATTGCGCTCAGGATGGTCTCGTAACAAATACGTCTTTATTTAACAACATCGCTGGTATCAAACAAGAACCCGGCCATTCGGTAACAATACCAGCAATAGCCGTCTCTCTCTGTCTTGACTGTCAAGAGCGCATGCACGTTTTCCATGCACGTCATTCGCACAGATGTCACTGTAAGATGAAAAGGTGTTTAATATATTTAAACAAAGAGCTCAAGGTTATTCTAGATTTGAAGCTTTCATGACTGCAAGGATTCATATTCTTTGCTTTTTTCGGTAAAGTCACGTAGGTAAAAAATAAAAATTTATAAAAGTAAACTAAAATAAAAAATAAAATAAAAATCACGACGTTTCGGAGGCAACACAAGCTTCCGTCTTCGTGACTTTACCGAAAAAACCCAAGAATATAAGCTCAAGGTCAACAGTGGTGAGCCAGGAGACGGCAGCCATGACGCCCTTGTGTAGGGAGGGAGTTTCACAAATGTGTGTGATCCCCCAATCCTCACTGCCTCCACATGGAGCATAACCACCAGCGCCCGGTAGATGATACTCACCCTGTGGCCTCGTACCCATAGTAATCATGTGGGTAGTATTCTTGACCAGGATCAATACCGGACTCCATGGAGAGCTCCTGCGGCACATTAAGAAGACATTGTGTATAGAATACCGACATGCTGAAAGGTATACATTTTTGCAAAAACAAACCATCAGATCAGTAGTGGTAGATTGGAGCAGAGAGAGTGACAAGGTGGGGAGTTATGGCGTATGAGTGGCCATGAGGAGAGAGGGTGCAGGGACCAACCTGTTCCCTACAACTTGGGCAACTCACGGAGGTGTGCTATGTTTACATTGGACTTCACCTTGTAATTCCTAACGTCACTTACGCATAAACATACCCTGCTGTCATCGTAGATGGTGAAATCAGAGGTACAAGTGACCGAGATCAGGGTTTCAGGCTGATGTACCACTGCGAAGAAATATATGTAATCATACTTCACCATGCTGGTTACTGTGGTATGGTGAAGATACCCGACTTTGGTACTGCACCACTCACGTTCAGGTGACCCACCCACCATGATGACAGCAGGGTAGGTGTAGGCGTGATGTCAGGCGTACAGGTGCATACAGGCATACACATAATTTACTTTTTTGTAAGATGAATTCTGCCCTTTATAGTCAACAAATTATGTTTTCCAGGTCGGGCTGTATTTTAAGCTTTTTTGTTTCTATCATGCTTTCGCCTGCACTACGACCGCAGGCGTCTTCAGGAGTTGACCTGGGTGACCTTGCCTCGTGGTTATACTGTAAACTCTTTGCGACTTGCTGTCTGCCAAGTCAACACATTTACAAATTCCGATTGATCAATTCACAGCTGATGCGTTGTGTACACGTGAGTGAGCATTATGCAACAATTAGAATTGCTTCGAAGGTGTTTGCACTTTATTCGATTTGTTAATGGTACAGGCATTGGTGGTGGTAAAGCAGAGTGATGGCAATGGTGGTACAAAGCATTCCAGTGTACAACTGCTTACCCCTTGTTGACCATATCCAATGTTCCTAAAAGGAAATAAACAAAAACGTGTATATATATTTTAGCTATATTATCCAGACCCACTATAGAACAATAATGATGATTTGTTCTATATAATCACTGTACAACTAATAAACCATTGTTTATACACAGAATAATCAAGTGTCATTGTGGAGAATGAGAAACAAAATAAATTAGCAAACAATTTCCTCCTCACATCTATCTCTCTATGTAAAAAATGAAAGTGTTTTTTAAACATCCCATCAACCATATTGCCTTATGGAAGTGCATTATATCAGTAGCAGCAGTTAGACACAAGCAAACTCTGGACTGGGTTTTGACATTCAATGTCCCGTCAACAGAAACAGGCTAGCTTGAACCAATGCTGGTTCACTGTCAGATGCTTAGAGACGAGGAACCTCTTTGCTAGACATGGGTCCTAGTATTATGCAAATAATATAATTCGTAACATAAAATAAGAATTTGCGTCCTTAGTTCAAGCAAGCCTGACTATGCTGATGAGACAGTGTCAAAACCAATCCAGTTTGCTGGTATTGAACTAATGCTGCTGAAATGATGCACTCCCAGCAGGCTGTGCGGACATACTTGTATTATTTTAACAGTTTCACTGAAAACTCATGTGCATCGGGCGGTGAAGACAAGGCAATTTAAAACCAACATAAAACCAAAAATAACGTATTTATTTATACACAAAATGAATGTACCCGACATGTACAAATGATTTTTTCCATGAAAATGTGTAGATGCTAAACAGAAAGCTATGAAAGCAAGACCGGCAAATGCAACGGCAAATACAACGTTATTATTCCTGCAAAACACACATCAACTATATTCACACTGTCAGAATCACACTAATCTCCACTTCTTACCTACATTGCTCACAGCCAAACACCGCTGAAACTAAACTATACTAAAAACTATATTCTTTGGGTCTTCAGGTAAAGTCACGTAGATAGGTTCAAAGAAAATAACAAGAAATAACAAAAAACTACGACGTTTCGATCGCAACACAAGTGTTCGTCATCAGGAAGAGGGGGTTAGCTTCTAAAGGTAAACTGTTTGTAAAGTTTCGAAATGGGCGTAGCCCAAATGTCAGCAGCCAATGTTGATGTAAAAACTAAACTATGTTTAATTTTACCAGGTAAGGCCCACTGAGCTATATAGCTCTTTTTCAGAAGCGACCTGGCCACAAATGACAGCTCAACGAAGTGGCTCATCATGTGGAAATTTGTAGCAGCCAAATACTCTAAACGCATGTTGATTCTAAATGTGGAAGGAAAAACCGGAGAACCCGGAGAAATATCCACGCGGCCATGGGAAGAACATTCAATATACAGGCGTCAGGGTCGGGATCGAACCCACGACCTCCTGTATACCAGGCAAGGTCGTTAACTTCTCGCCAATGATCCACATATGCAATCCCTATTGTTCAGTACATATCGTCCTCGACTTACGAACGGCTATGTTTTTGAGACCTGTCCGTAAGTGACTTTGTTCGTATCTCGAAACCCAATATCTAATTGTATATACACTCAGTGTTATAAAATGTCTTATGGTTCAACAAAAAAGGAAGCATTGCTAAACCCATAAATAAGAATAAAAATATTGTACATTCTCACGTAATACTGTAATAAATACTGTAAAGTAAAACACATTAATAAAGTAATATGAAGGGGAAAAAAAATCGGTTTTATTTTCACTTACCTTGCGCCAAACGGTTCACTGTCATTGTGCATCGCGCCGGATGCTGGGACTCAAATTGAATGGTTCAAATTAATAACATTCTATGGCGGGCGTTCGTATCCAGGGGACTGTCTGTATCCATATTTGTATGACACATTCCAGTCCTAACTATGCATTTACAATTCTTTATTTAACTTATTCTACTTGGTTCTTTCGGTAAAGTCACGTAGAAGGGAAGTAATAAAATAATAAAAATAAAACAACTTCCCTTCTACGTGACTTTACCGAAAGAACCAAGAAGATGAATCCCTGCAGTCACGAAAGCTTTAAATCGAAATTTAACTTATTGCAGTGTATAAAACTTTTTGTCTCCTCATTAACCTTGAGCCCAACTTTTCAGCCTTCTTTTTTAAGTTCTTCAACCATTTCCTGTTGTTCATACCTACTGGTTGTTACTGTGACTACATCATCAGAATATCTTGAGATGGTTTATATTTCTACAACTGTTTATGCCTTGATTAATCAAAAACATTTTTTTGAAAAATAACTACGAATGTTGCTATGAATGACGAACTCCGCTCTCCACGTGACAGGTGACTACACAGGCCTCTTATTGTTTCATAGTCGTGGGATATTTAAGTTTACAAGATATGTTGTGTTTTATTTAAATATTTTAATTAAAACACACTTTCACAAGATTTTCAACTGTTACAGCTAGAGTTCATTCGACATCAACCAGCAGTGTGCACCATTACATGATATCTTTATTTACGTGAATGACTGGGTGTGATATTCATGTTATAAGTGCACGCCGTATATGTTATAGATTAACAACGTGTGTAAGTAAATACATTTATAAACGCACAACTCTTGTAGCCTAAGTTACCACGAGTGAGTCAGACCGTTTACAATCGCGTCATGTCAGGTTTGCTATGTGTGTGTGTCAATCAACACCCGGGACACCCTTGCAAACGAGATGTTCAATCCCAGGGATTTCCAGGTGAAATATTTGAATGAATAAAAAATAAATGCAATGATGTAAAGCACATTAAATCGAACGATTCTATGGGCCTGATTGTGTAAACTTCGTGTCATAATTTTGACTTCTGCTCAGGTATATATCATTGCAGTCCAATATTCTTAGTGCTCATATCCATGTACGTAGAGTAGAACTAAATAAACATTTTGACAGTTTCCATGCAATTTACTTGCACAACAGTTAACACATGTTTGGCTTACTGTATCAGTAATTAAAACCTGAAGTGTCCGTAATAAGATTTATGCATCCTTAAAACACTGCATCCCAGTGATCTTGCACATCAGTGCTGTCAGCAGAGCTTAGCACGGGCAGAAGGCTGTCAGCGTCACACCCTCTCACGGTGGTGCCATTGCTGCCCTGAATTCTGTCGGCAGAATTAATGGCTTCATACTGACCCGTCTCCACGTGTCCATTGCGCTCCTTGTAATATTTTAGTGTGTGCCCTCTTTGCGGACCTTTACTCAGCAGATGGCACTTATCTATCTGGCTGTATATGTTGGCCACAGACCTTTCAATCTCCTCCAGGTTGGGAATTGTTTTTAGGATTCCCTTGAGAGGCCTGCGGCGTCTCTCGTTAGTGGGCAGTGTCTCGTTAGTGGGCAGTGTCTCGTTAGTGGGCAGTGTCAGAGTGGGCGAGGAAGGGGGCTCAGAGGAATGTGCGCTTGCTTCAAGAAGAGTAACGGAAACAGGGTTGAGATCGTGTGAAGGAGGATCCACACTACTTGGCAGGGGAGGTGGAATGTGTTGAGAATAAGAACTAGGGACAAGTTGTGGAGGCAGAAGAGGAGGTGGAGGAGGTGGAGGAGGTGGAGGAGGTGGAGGAGGTGGAGGAGGAGGTGGAGGAGGTGATGGAGGCAGCAGTTGATGAAACTTTGGTACTGGGGGAGGAGTCGGTTTTCTGTTCGGAGGTGGCGACGCATCGCACAAGCTGTAAGAAAGTAATTCTCGAATTGTTTGGGAAGACTTTATGCTTCGAGATTCCTCCTGACCATATTCAACCACCTCTTCTGTAGCATCCCCGTTCATCACAGGTAACTGCAGCAGCCATTGCATTGGGCTTGCAGCACCGATATGGGGCAGCATGAGCAGCTCTTGTCTGTGCGAGAGTGGGAAGCTCCAGTTCTGCCGCACGCGAGTTGCGTCGTCCATAATTGGAAACATTCCCTGTGTTTGCTGTGAGCCCACACGCTCCTGCAAGCTAAGCGGCCTCCTCTGTTGCATCAAAGTGATGTACGGGTCAATGCGCAAAGGACTGGTGGTGATGTAGGGGCTCTGATCAGATAGAGCAGTGGCACGACTGTGCGATCGTAGGAGACCGTGACGGAGGCTTTCTTTGTTGTATTTATACGCTTGATTGGTTGCACAGAGACCAAACATCTCGTGAAATTCATCTTGAGGGAATTGGGAGATGCTGCATCCCAACACACAGCACCGTTGTAGGGAACAGCACATGCAGGATAAGGGGAAAGAAGAGAGAAATGGAAGGGTAATGGAAGAGAGAGAAAAAAAAACATAGCACGCTTTATGACAAATAAAAATGGAAAAGCAGTGTTTAGATGAAAGTTGTGCAATCTTTACCTTAAGGTGCATATTGTCTTGTTGATTATGCAGAATTATATATTATGTGTAATTGAGTGCACCAGATAATAATACTCAACACAAAATAACAAACAAACTAAACTACTATTTTATTTTACAAGGTAAAGCTGACTGAGCTATAAGATGTTTTTCCAAGGTGACTTGACCACACATGACAGTGAATTTCAGTGGCTTATGTCATCACATTTGTGTATTTATAGCAGTAGCCAAATCAACTAAACACACGTTTCTAAACGTGGAGGGCAAATCAGGAAGACACGGAGAAAAATGCACACGACCACGAGGAGAACACACAGACTCCACATATACAGGCATGGCCAGGGTCGGGGTCCAACCCATGCCTTCCTGTGTACCAGGCGAGGGAGATAACATATGATCACCTCAGCGCCCAATAATTGTTGATGTTTTGGGAAATATAAAATCCAAATAAACAGACAATACGTCTCCGTATCATCTCTCTCTCCACATAAAGGAAATTTAAGAATGTTGTACATATCCAAACGGCCACAAGGCATTCTGCCAGTGAATTTTCCAGCAGCATTGGTCCATCACAAGCAAACTCTAGACCACTGACATCAGCAATTAGGCTTGCTTGAACCAATGCCGATGAACTAATACTATACTAACCATGTTCAACTAGGAAGCTAAGCCTCAATGAGTTTTCAAGACTCAAGTTTCAAATAGAATCCTGCTTCGGAATATTTCACGTGTGAAAGAAAATGATCCGGTGAAACCCACGTAGCTCTTGCACCAACATGCCGTACCACCTACTACATACACCGAGTTGTTCATAATGTTCAATCTCTGCATGATCTGCCAACTGTGCCTCACAATCAACTGCATAGATAGCACTTTCATGAAACTCAAAGTGATCTCGTGTTCAAATGAGCATTGAGATGATACTCATCTCTTATGTGCAGCCATGAAGCAGTGGGGGAAATGCCACATACCTATAGCAGGGGCGAGTTTATCATTAGGAATACCACTGACTTCCTAACAAAGTGGTTTCTCATTTTATCGACTGTGGAGGGATGATGGGCTGAGTCGACCTCCACCCAGGAGTTGAACTCACAACCTTCCGATTGAGAGCAGCTCGCTCCTCCCGCTGAGCCACCTCGCCGGATAACGAACCTACTATGAATGGACCTACTATGAGTGCAAGTCTAATGCAAGGATTACAATTGCAATTCCTATGAATGTAGGAATGTAAGATTCCAGTTACAGTCCTGGATGCAAATTGTTAACTTAATTATTATTATGTTTACCCAAAAAAAATCTCACTGAGTCTCAAGACTCTTTGATCGGGAGGGTTTTGCCAAGTTTTCAAAGTAGGGGACAGTGCTACTGTGATGTGATCCCGATCGAGCAACTTGCAGGTACATATTTCAGCGTTGGGAAGTTTGGCCAACGCCAGTTACATTGTGTGTTGTTTTTAGCTGTGGGAGGAAACTTGAGAAACGGGAGGAAACCCATACAGAACAGCAGGAAAACATACTCTTAGGTTTTTCGGTAAAGTCACGTAGGTAAAAAATAAATAAGAAGAAATATAATTGAAATAATAATAGGAATAAAATAATAAATCACGACGTTTCGGAGGCAACACAAGTCTCCGTCATCAGGTGGGACCGTCACAGCTAGATTTACTGTCTCAAGTTATATATATTATTATTATTAATTTTTTACCTACGTGACTTTACCGAAAAACCTAAGAGTATGAATACTTGCAGTCACGAAAGCTTCAAATCTAGAATTAGCAGGAAAACACTCAAACGCCATGAATAAATGCGCCCGAGTCGGGAATCGAACCCAGGCTCATCTTACCGTGAGGAAACAACGTTGTGTGTGAATATCATTTCAGGAAAGGCAGCTGCGTGGAAATCACTCACCCCGTGTTGTCGCCGGCCTCGTCGTACTGCTGAGCGATCGGCGACTGCGCCGTCTTCCCGGTAGGGAGAGCCGACTGGATGCGCGCATTCTTGGCACATTCCGCTTGGCGTCTGCACACCACGAGGACACGAGCGCGATGCGTGCACGATTAGCAAATGCACGATGAACGCAAGTGTAGTTGACGTGTGCAAGTTTGTTGGGATGGCCACGTTTTCATCACCTTGTGTCAGCGGTCATAATAACAATGTGGCTATACCCTCAGCTCCTGAGCTGGTAGTCTGGACAAGGTTGACAGCATTGCACATGCAATGTGGTGATCACATGGCTTGCAGGGCATGCATGTGTTGAACCAATGCTGTTGAAAAAATGCACTCTCAGAAGGCCTGTATGGCTGATAGGATGTGTGAAAAATACTTTTGTTTTATGTAGAGAGACAGACATGGGAAGGAGGTGCATTGTATACTTTGTTATTTTGTATTATATTTCAATTAACTTGTTATTCACTTACTAGTACAATGAAGCATCAACTTCATACCCTATGTTCGCACTTATATTTGTATACCCATAAGCATAGGAAAATATAATATGTAGATTATATTTAAAAAGCAGAAAACATTACAATGTTATACTTGACTTGTTTATGATTGAAAGTGACCATAGTACAAAGATATGTTACTTACTCTTTGAATCTTTGAGAATGCACAGGGACAAAAGAAAACAACATTAGTAACACATTGACATCAATAGCGTTTTGTACAACCAGACAGCAGAGGCAAAACACAACGCTCATGTAACGTTACCACTGCGAATCTACAGAATCTAGTGATGCCCATCTACGCAATCTCACAGGTTCCGATTGCTACATCTCAGGCTTAAAGATCTTACGCAGTATTCGTACATAAGGATCGAATACAGTGTTCCTGTACATGGCCAATTCCTTTCGGGAAGAGATCTGGTACACACCATTGCAGAGTACACACCGGTTTCCTTTCCCATTCATGCAAAAACTTCCCCAATAAGGAATTTGTCCAACATCCCGAAGCAGGACCCTCCCAAAGAAGAGTCTTGAGACTCCGTGATGGGGGGCTCACACCCCCACCCCCAACCTCTCGCCAACACTCAGTGTGAGCGCCTAAACTACACGTGAGGGGTTAACTCTGCCCCTCACCCGGCCCCTCACCCCCCACCCCCCACGAATGATGCTCATCCTTCATCTCACGCCCAGCTTTTCCCCTTTCTGTGCACGTGGCATTGAATAACACTGGTCAACACACTTTTTCTGGCATAAGGTATTCCAACGGTTTTAAGGTAATTTTTGGGTGCTGATTCCAAATCTGGCATCAGTTTTTGTCTATCACATCAGGTTTTTGAGATATCAAATATTGCATTTTCAATAAAAACTGCAGAAGAAACATATTAAATAAATGTGGATATCTACATAAAATTATATTATAAACACACTATCCTAAAAATACAGCACCATTTTTTTACACTAAAGCAGTCACTGACTCGCAACAACTTGCAATCATAAGTGACAGAGTTAATTTCGGTAAAATCAATGAAAATGCGGTATGCCGATAGCATAAAAATTAACCCGTAAAAACAAAGTTTTTCACTATAAATCCTTTATATGCGTGGCATCGGTTTTATTTTATTATTCATTTCTGTTTATCTTGAGTAAGAGTTTCATTTTTATCACATTGGTATTTGAAATTAAATATAAAATAGTTTTTTCCCTAAAAAGTGGAAAATTTTGGAAAAAAATTTTCACGAAAATAAATTGTCACGCACAACGAGTCTGTGTGCAAAATGTCAGCTCGATTGGATCACGGGATGTGGGTTAAAAAACCACCGAAAGATTTGCACGGTAGTAAGCGCGCAAGCAAGCAGGCAAGTGAACTTAATATAAAGGATTTAAAAATGAGATGTGATAGAGCAAATTTGAGATCAGATTTGGAATCAGCACCCTGAAATTAGTCTAAAACAGCTGCAAAAGTCCAGGCCAGAAAAATATATATTTTTTTGTTGTTGACCAGTGTAATGAACGCTCCCCTAAAATTTGTACTTTGAAAGAAATCAAGATCGAGACGTCATCATGGCCGAAGCCGCTGACACCTCCTCACTACCGGCACCCCCTGCCCTCCACCAGATCCCGCAGCTATTGCGCACTCAACACGCAGCGACCTCCTTCTTAGCTCTACCCTGACGTCTTCGCCATCGTCTGTTAGGATCTTCCCCTTGGTGGCCGAACTCATAGAGACCACTCAAATGCCTCGGGTGTCGGTAATTGGGTATTTTTAAAACAGCTTTAGAAAAATAACACCTTACGAATGTGTGTTTTAATAAATGAGCCTGAATGGATGTCGTGCACGAGCGTGCTCACTGCTTGTAGGTGACGATGACGATGAGGATGGCCGGGATGCAGCAAATGATGATGATGACGGAGAGTGCGATGAGCGCGCCCTCCGTGTAGCCCAGAGCCTGGGCCTGCTTCTGCACCGACTGCACCACGGCCGGCGAGCGGATCTCCTGCACCCGTGCTCCGGCCCCAAGAGACGCCTGAAACTCTTTGTTGATGTCCAGAAGTTTCCCGTCCAAAATTCTGAAGAGATCAACCCGAGAAAGACTCTCGTGTTCAAAATATAACGGCATGTGTTTTTACCTCAGAATAAAAAAAAAGTTACATTCTGGAGAAATCCGATAAGCTATAAAGCTCTTTTTCAGAGATGTCCAGTATATACATGGACACAGATAGCTTTTCTGTCTCTATGTCTAGCTTCCCGTTGAAAAACCTTGATCTTAAAACGCATCTCAGTTACATACGATGCTTAATAATATACACAAAGAGGTTTTAGATAAGATAATGTACAAAATAGATGGACAATAATACACCTTTTTTGTGCCTTCACGTAAAAAAATGTAAATATTTTTATTACACATAAATTCAGCAAGATTGATTCAACAAATGCACACTCTGGATTAGTTTTTCACATTCGGTGTCTCGTCAGCAGAGTCAGGCTTTGCTTGGAGTAATGCTGGTGAACTGCCAGATGTGTATAGGCATTTACGTGAGATAATATAAAAAAACAAAACTCAGCTTAACGCCACCATGTGATGATGAACGTTATTTGGTGATGCGCCGCCATCAGCTCAAATTAATTCCTACACCATTCTTGCACTTGACGTGTAACTTAACAGCAAGTGGAACTACTCAAAATTGCATTGTAGGCTTCACGGGAGGCATCTGTTCTGCTAATTTTGCTACTCTTTAGCAAACACACTCTGTTAATTGCAAAGCAGAGAGAGAGAAACATGCTTGATTCGTTTCAAAAACATTTGTCTGTGTTTCGATTTAAAGCTTTCGTGACTGCAGGGATTCATCTTCTTGGTTCTTTCGGTAAAGTCACGTACAAGGGAAATAATAAAATAATAAAAATAAAACATAATATATAATAACTTTTATTATTTTATTATTTCCCTTCTACGTGACTTTACCGAAAGAACCAAGAAGATTTGTCTGTGTATTGCGACGTGCAAGTAACGGTGAGACGGAGCTACAGGGACAAACAGAGAAGCAGAGACAACTGAGAGACTGCGGGATCATGGCTCACGTGTCTTCAAACCTCTTTGGATATAATTGTGAAACTGGTTGAGGCATTGTGGCATTTTTTACTTTTAACAATGCAGCTTAATCATCGCAATATTTATATGTTGGCTTAAACCAGTAACCATCTCCTCTTTTGGGGGTTTTCATTCCAGAGCAAAACAATAAATTTTGATTCAGTTTTCAGTTTAGGTTCAAGACAATTAACAGTAAAACCCGTTCACCGGTTACAGCTTCCAGTTCAGTTAGATGTTTTAAACTGCACAACATTTGTGTGATTCACCAACCCTCGCTGCCTCCACAGCGCTGGATTTCAGGCCTGCACTACTGCCGCCCATAATCTCTTTTTTCCAAAACCCTTTTGATGATTATACTGCTTGTTTACCCAGGAAAGCCTCACGGAGGCCTAAGATTCTCTTTCAGGAGGGTCCTGCCAAGTTTGTCGCTGTGTGGTGATCCAAAAGTGAGTAATTCGCAGTAAATGTTTTGTGAGGTTTGGTTGATACTCGTTAAGTTGGATGTTTTTTTTTATATAACCTAGCTCAAATATAAAAACGTATTAACTCTAATCTATTACAACGTTATTTGTTGCTGGTCACATGCGTATTATCCCTTGCAAAACCAATTACAGTCATTCAAGTTCTCGCTGGATTTCTTCTGAAAAGGTACTTTCATAAACCACTTCTCACATCTGTAATGTAAAAAAAATATCCGTTTAATAAATATATAAAAAGTTACAAAAATGTCTTATACCCTATAACTTATATGACATAGGACCATATGTGTGTAATATGGTAAACAGAAGGTAAGAGTGATTTTTTTTTGCTGAAATGATCATTGAAGCGGTGCTCATCCTTCTGTTTACATCCTTGAGTCAGTGGTTCAAATTCCACATTCCTCGGATGAGGGCAAGTAGGTCCATATGACAACCACTGTTGACTTCCCAAAAAGTGGTATTAATTTTATCGACCCCCAGAGGGACGACGGGCTCAGTCAACCCGCAACCAGATTTTGAACTCACATGCCTGTCAACCCCTTGTCAATGCCGACCTTCTTGATTTGAAGCTTTCGTGACTGCAGGAATCCATACTCTTTGGTTCTTTCGGTAAAGTCACGTAGATAGAAAAAATAATAGATCACGACGTTTTGATCGCAACACAAGCAAGAATTATCAGGTGGGACAACCACAACAAGAAAACTGCTGATGGTGGATTCAATCGGCTGTGGTTGTCCCACCTGATGACGATTTCTTGTGTTGCGATCGAAACGTCGTGATCTATTATGTTTTCTACTTATATGACTTTACCGAAAGAACCAGAGAATATAGTGCCTACCTTATTATAAACCAATTCAGATATTATTGGTCACCCCGTGCCCTTATATATCTTAACGTTCATCCTACAAATAGACATTTTATTTTTCATGTATTGAAACGGCTGTACGCCGTATGGACCTTTAAACTCAATTTCCCTGGACAAGAATATAGGTAAGCCGTATGGGTTGAAAGGTGTGGACTCGCAACCTTCCCATTGCAAGTTGCCCGCTCTGCCGCTGAGCCACCAGGCCGGACATAATATGTTAGGCCTGATAAGAATTCAACTGGAATAATGCAAACATATATAAATGAATACAAGGACAGTGAAAGCAATGTGTTAAGTCATGGGAATTACTTGAAGAGTTCCTTGCTGGAGATGGCACGGTTAGTCATTGGGTCAATGGCATAGACAGCCACGTCTGAGTTGGTGTAGTCCTCCTGCAGGTAGCCTTCACCGTACTGCCGCGGGCCGATTGAATCCACCACCACCTTGGCCCCTGGAATCTGATCTTGGATGTACCTCTCAATGATCCTACACATCAACACAGAGGGCACGCACAGCCAGAACGAGCACCATCAAACTTCACTGCAACATGTTGATAGTCCTTAACAGTCTCACATGGTTTCAATCAGGAACATCATCATCAGCATCATCAGTCAAGTTCAATCCACTGCTCGATGAAGGCCTCCCCATACAACAATACACGCAGCACCACCACGAAGCATGCATGGGCATGACATTTCATCCTTGTTAAAGGTACTACACTATATGCTTGAGAGTAATTGGGAGGTGTAATAAAGAGCATTAAGTATGCGTTCAGGGAAGTGATGGCTTAGGGGGCCTTCATCCAGCAGTGGATTGATCATGGCTAGGGTTGCTACCCTTTCCAGAGAACAAAAATAGACCATTAGTCAGCCTAGGTCTACCAAACAGTGCAATTACTGCGATAGAATGCAAAATAATGATTGTATTAGAATTGCACTTGTTTACCCAGGAAAGCCTCGCTGGGTCTCAAGACTCTTTCTTAGGAGGGTCCGCTCAAGTGTTCACAATAGGGAGCGAGCGATGTTGCTATTTGTAATCCCAATTGAGTTATTTGCAGGTACATCTTCAGCATTAAGATGTTTGGCCAATTCCCAGTTATGTTGTATATATATATTTTTTAAATAATGCCACCAGATCTCTGTACAAATCAATTCCTTCCACCCAAACACAGATGCCAATTCCCAAACCCATCGGACTCAAATCCTGGTCAAACTTGGACAGAGGTGGCTACCCGAGGTGAGATGCAAATGCAGCCATTCCATTCGTGTCGAGCGCAACCACTCGATGTTGAGCCAAGCGCAGTGAGTGATGTTGGAGCCACAAAGCACATACTTCATCAGCTGGTCCTTGTTGTTTTCCACGACTGCCGGTGGAATGGCGGAGACAATCACCTGCATGTCCAGCTCGTTCACAACAGAGATCTGCACGGACAGGAGACGAACACTGCCCATCTACACGCACGTGATGCACATCGCTGTCTGCTGGCGCAATGCGCGTATGCAGCATCAGTAACAATGCAGTGCATCCGTCAATAATAGTGTGGCGATAAATGGAAACAAATATATATGTTATATGAGACATTTGGGGAAATGCCCTTTCTATGTAGCACATCAAGAATTGTGGTTGCCTGTCATCTACATTTTTACACATTTTACTTTTAAGGCCACAGTGTTATTGACAAATGTGTTAAGCTTTTGTGCACCACTGACAATGCAATTAAAATTTAACACGTAGGCTTTCGCGACCAATATTATTCATAATATAGGTTTTTGGGTCACATCCCGTTATTTATAAATGTGTCGTAACGCCCCTCTCTACAGCACACCGGTGGGCTAAAGAAGTGAATTATTTTGTCCTTTGAAAAACGTGACACATTTTTTACTGCTTGACCGTGTCGGGTGGTGGAGAGTTACGACACATTTATAAATAACGCGATCTGACCCAAAAACCTATATTATGAATGCAATTTCACCAAATAATTTACGGCATTCTTCGGATGGTTAAACAGGGCTATGCTCCTAAAATCACTTCGAAAGATTCACTTCATTCCATTGCGGAATGCGTAAATATAAAACTACATTATATAAATTGCAGCTAACCCTATCCTTGCACACTGATCGCATATGTCAACTCTCAACTGGTCTCAATAACAAAGTATGCGCGACGGGTTTGACGTACCACCACTTCAGACGTGCCACTCAGTCCAGCTCCGTATCTGTCGACCCCCATCACCTGGAACCTGTAGTACTTGCGTCGCATGTTATAAAACAGCATGGCAGTTTTGATGATGCCAGTCAGAGGCTCAATGATGAAGCCCTCGTTGGTTGAAGATGGCAGCAGCAGTTTGTAGGCAATCATACTGTTATTGCCGCTGTCCCGGTCATCTGCCTGATTGAGATGTATGTATTTATGGACATGAGACATAATGAAAGAAGTTTTAAAAAAAACATGCTGGGTACATACTTTGAAACCATAAAATTAGAAAGGCATAGCTTTGACATTTTAAAATGTATTCATTTTATTTAATTGCTGAAAAAAATGAAATTTCTAGATACCAATTGCTCATCACTAAAACTGAAAATGTGTTCAGTTTTTAGTTGTTGAAATTTTTACATTTTGACTGTATTTGTTTTGCATTTTATGACTAAGGATGCTTTTGACTGCCTCTGCGAGCTTTCGGAACTAACGGTGAACCTCAGGAATACTAAATAAGCCTTTGTCTGGCTCTACGAGCCACAGGCATTATTACAAAGACTTCATAACCATGAGCCACAGAGAAGAAGGCTCAATTTTGCCTGGCTTTACCTGGTAAAATAAAAAAAATAAAGTTTAGTTTTATTTGTATATATATTTTTGTAAGTGATTAGTTTACCCTTCCGATACTTTGCATTCCTATCGTGGTTTTGTATTGGTTGTTGTTTTAACCTTGATTTGAAGCTTTCGTAACTGCAGGAATCCATACTCTTTGGTTCTTTCGGTAAAGTCACGTAGGTGCCGGGCTGTGCCGAGGTCCTGGTCTCAGACTGTGACCTACGTGACTTTACCGAAAGAACCAACGAGTATGTTGTTTTAACGTTCTGACCTGCCCCTAACTAGACATCTGTGAAAAAGAGCTTTATATCTCATCGAATTCCTCCAGTATGAATAAATATTCTGATTCTAATTGTGAGTTTCAAGATGCTCATTTTTTACGAAGTGGCTGTTGTGTAGTACTAGTTATCGTATACAGTACAGTATAACGTATCGGACTTCAGCAAATGCTCTCAGCCTGTGCTATAGTCATGCATTTGCATGATGCGATGTTCGTTCAGAACATTTCTTTGCATTCTGTTCCAAGCAACTGCCAGAACTTGAAGGATTGTTCCAGAGCACTCCAACCCATCCTCACTGAGAGTGGGGATTTGGCAGGCGTCGCAGGCCCAAACCCTGGAGGAGGAGTGGGCGAGATAACGAGCGCGTGGCGAGATGCCCACAGCATGTCACACGGCGTCACCTCTGCCACTGTGCGGCGGAATTACAAAATCAAAATCTTGATTTAGACCGGAGGAATCCGATGAGCTATGAAGCTATTTTTCACAGATGCCCAGTAGGCGTGCGTCAGCAAGTTACAACATCAGCATAATGCACGGGCAAAAGTAATACTAATCACATACCTGCATTTCCAATATCCCCTCCCTTTGATGCTGCTAATCCTGCATAATGCACGGGCATAAGTAGTACTAATCACATACCTGCATTTCCTATATCCCCTCCCTTTGATGCTGCTATTCCTGCATAATGCACGGGCATAAGTGGTACTGGTCACATACCTGCATTTCCCATGGGTATGCTAGATTCCTCTTGATATGCGAATTCCATTGTCGGGGCGCTCTTCCCCTTTCCAACCCAGCTTAAATATCCGCTACCAAGCCTGGTGGTGTTCATTCAGACGCTGTCTTTCGGACAGACCTGTTCTTCACCTGAGGATGGCTGCTTGCGTTGTGGCCGAAACGTCGTGAGAATTATTTTATTATGTTTTATTTTTATTATTTTATTACTTCTCTTCTACGTGACTTTACCGAAAGAACCAAGAATAAGTTACAACAATATAGTGAGGTCCGCATTTCCTTGGCACTTCTATAGCCCCGTCCTATACTCCTGTGTTATTTATATTGTCCACAATGACTAGAATTATTGTTGTGTTATTTATGACAATTTTTCGTGTCAAACTAGGACCCATATCTAACAGAGAAAGTTCTTGCCTATAAACATCTTGCAGTCCAACCAGTGTTGGTTCAAGCAAGCCTCATTCTCCTGATGAGATACTAAGTGTCGACATTTCGCCAGAGATTGCTTGTGTGGAACCGATGGTGCTGAAATTATGCACTCCTGGAAGGGCTGTGTGGCTGATGAGATGTGTGAAAAAATAGATATTTTTCATATGGAGATATGGATGTGGGAAGGAGTTATAGTGCCTGCTTATTTGTTTTGCTACTCAACCGTAACGCTGGTCTAATCTCACAAATGTGGATGCATTCTGCTGTTGCACAGTTGGGAATCGGACCCCCATCAAAAACTAATCGTGGAATGGAGCCTCATTTGTGACAAAAAGGGCTGTGGAATGGAATGACGGCCATATATATTTTTAAAGTTATCCGTAAAATCATTTTTGACAATGTAAGCTTCATCATGTTTCTTCCATTGTATTCCCTTATTGAAGGGAATACAATTACGCTCCATAAATTGCAACAATATTTGCACAGATTCTCATGAAATTCTGGGAAGATAAGAAAACAAAATATGACTATGATGTTGACTTCCATATATGATCCCTCACCTTGACTTGCAAGACAGATGTAAACGTTCTGGTCTCCTCTGTAACGCCTCCCAAATACAGTGTCTGGTTGAATAAGGGAGCATTGTCATTTTCATCCTTCACGTACACGATCACAATTGCCGAGTTTGCTGGAAATAAACACAATAGGCCAACGTCACCAACATAAGTCAGTAAACCTTAATGCACTGCACATGAATTCAAGATCAAAATGCCATTACAGTACATGCTGATTCGACTATACACCATCATCAGCATCATTGCTGCCATCTTTTTGCCAGATCTTGCAACTTTGAGGCAACAGGGTGGCACAGTGGTAACATTGGTGCCTCAGAAGTCCTGGGTTCAATTCCTGAGTTAAATCCCTGAATTCCTGAACACTTTCTGTGTGGAGTTTTTATGTTCTCCACCCTGTTCTACATGGGTTTCCTCTCAGTTCTCGAGATTCCTCCAATAGCTAAAGAGCATGAATTGTAACTGTTATTGGCCAAACATCCCAATGCTGAAAATATACCTGAAGATTACTCAATTGTGATTACACACATCAATCATCGACCCTTACGAACAGACTAATGGCCACTTGCAGGCCAGGTACTGAGTCACCTTTTGCCACACAGGAACCGCTGTCACTGCGGGTCCCCTTTCCAATGTTTTAGATAAGATGTGATGTAAAGTACTTGAGTTCATTGGGCATTTCTCATCAAGCGCTCTATCAAAGTGATTTTATGCTCAATTGAGCATTGTGGTGGTGCCCATCGTGTTTCCAGCCCTGAGCCAATTGTGGGAATTCCACATTCTTACGGTGTGACGAGTCTACCCATTGGACAACCACTGGTGACTTCCCCACAAAGTGGTACAGTACTTGTTTCATCAACCCCAGAGGTAGGGACGATGGGCTGTCAACCCCCAACTTGGGTGTGAATTAGCAATCTTCACATTGCGAGCCACTCGCTTTACCGCGAAGCCAACTGGCCGGTTAACTGCCATATTAATGCAATGAGTGTTGATTATGCAGACGATCATATTTCACAAATAAATGTAAAACCTCACAGCGAGAAGTGGAGCGCAAGGCTGAGCGGCCGGTGGGGAGCGAGTCAGCCTGCACCTCCAGCTGGTACTGCGGAGTGCTCTCGAAGTCAAGTGGCTTGTTCGTTCTGATCACTCCGGTCTTGCTCTCAATAATGAATGTGTCTGCGGAGGAAGGGAAAAAAAACCCGAAGATATTACAGGAATAAGCAACGTCAGCAATCGATTTGAGTGGTGGATTGGGAGGGGAGGTTAAGAAACGAGACGTAACCTTCACATGCATTGCGCAGCTGTTTTTGCCGCTCGTATTTACAACGCTTACCTGCCATGTTCTCTTCCCAACCTCCAAGTTGCTTACCCTATCCTCCCCCGTCCTCAACACGTTCCACCCAACGCAACCATTGAATCACATCTACAACACTCGCCTGTCATGTTTGCTTCCGGACCTGTGCATTGCTTCTCCTGTCTTGCCATGAAATTCCCAGCATCCATCTCGGACATATCAGCTAAAAAGCCAACAGCTTAATTTGACTTGAGGGCCTACAACTTCTGCTGCTGCGTCAACAGCGGCCTTAAAGCCTTCTTAAAGAGACCCTGCCTCTGACTAGTTGTACACCCCTAGCTGCCACTGCAATTCAGTGGCCTAAAATACAATGTTTCGCTCCGGATGATCGCTGCAAAGTATGATCTGTGTTTTGATTTAGTGTGCTGATCTTAAAGGTGCATTGAAAAATGTTGATACTACGACTGATGCTCCTACTGTTGTGGAGTGACTCATGCAGCCAGCTATGGCTGCAGAGTTTGGTAGTACATGTTGCTTTTTTTGCAATATTTTGCTGTCTTTTCTTGGATTTTCTGTTTGCACTTAGTCACATATTCACTTTAAGATGTTTTTTGTTCATGTTTTTGTTTGTTGCGGTTGCACCCGATTCAAGGGCCGAATGGCTCACAGGGCTATACCTAATACATGAACTTGAACTTGAACCTTCCTCCTGTCTGGCTCGCAAGTACTGCCAACCTGCCGGGAGATGGGCACGTGGCATGAAATGTCACCTCTGTTAAATTTGTTTTATCATTTGGACACACCTCCTCACACAATGCAACCTGGATGCATGCAGCGAGAAGGACCTGTCAAGGCCAACAATGCACACGAGGAGGTGTAACTTGCACCACGTCCACCCGCCTTTGTTCCCCAGTTTTGGTGTTTGCACAAAGGCTGAGTGGAAGTAGGGGAGGGTCCAGGACTAGTTCAGATGTTTGCCACTGATGTTGGCCATAAGTGGGACTCGAACTCGGGTCGTCGGGTTCGTATCGTAGTGTGATAAACACTGCACGATCACTCTCCACAGGAAAAAATGACAAAAGCATTAAAAAACAAAGACAAATACCCCATATAACCTTTAACGGACAGACAAATATCCCCCGTATAGCCTGAATAGACTTTTGGGGCAAGTGCCAGAATGACACACGAAGAAGGGGTGGTGGCCAGCAACACGCCCGACCGCCTTTGTCTCCCCAGTGGCGATGTTTTAATACGCCTCACCAGGTACTAATTTGAGGCTGACTCGACCTAGGGGAGGTCCAAGAACGGTTCAGATAATTGTTACTGGTGTAGTGAACGACTTCCACAACGACTCTTGTAAGGGTGCTTCTTTCATTAACTGTAGCACTGCACAGCTCGGCTCCTTCTCTCTCTGGGTAATTTCCCTTCTCACAACGCCAGGGACGACGAGGCGTCTCTCTCCGGTCCACTAGCGAGGTCCGCTCCGCTCCCCCGGTCTCGCCGCTGGTTGGCGGCGTGCCGGAGAGAAGAGACGGGCTTCGCTGGGGAACCCGCCACGTGGTCGGTGGCGAATAGAGAGATGACGAGCAGAGACGCAGTCCTGACCCAAGGCTTCCCACACCGACCACGAGTCCTCCCCTGACTCTCCTTATATTCACCCCGGCGGAGGCTGGGCGTGGCTGGAGGCGGAGCCAAGCTAGGCTCCGCCTCCAGCCACGCCCCCTCGTGGAACCTTCCCGATGGTTCCTGAAGCGGCCCTCTCGGCTCCGCCTGTCACCTTTGGCCCAGATGTTGTTCCCTCTCAGGATTGGATGGTGATTACATGATAGTGCCCGTATCCAGTTACCCTCTGGCAACCACTGGATGACGCATCTCTTATTACACTGGTAGTGGCCGTTCGCGGGAATCAAACTCGGGTCGTAGTGCAGCGCTCTAATCGATACGCTACCGCTCTACAAAAGACAAACACACAGACATGTGCGCAGACTAACCCCCATTGTTGCCAGCGGTGATTGAGTAGGTGATGGTCTGGTTAATGGCCGACGCTGTCACCACGACAACACGTGTTCCAATAGTAGCATATTCGCTGATGGGCTCCGACCTACACACACGACAAGACCTCCATTTAGTAGTCAGACGGCGTAGATTCAACACAAACAGATAAATGCAAACTTGTCAAACATAAAGTGATTCATTGTGTAGAGTTTTGAATGATGAATATTGTAAAACAATGCGCGGGTTTGGTCTTAACCTCTGTCATTGCGAGTTTGGTAACCATTGCTCAATCAATCTTTATTTTATGTGTCAATATCGCCCTCAATAAAATAGGCATCAGTCAAACATTACAACAGAGCGGGAATAGTAAAAGAAAATAAAACAACGAGAATGAAATAACCCGTCACGACCTCAGCAGCTAACACCGACTGAGCAAATTGCTGCGTCAATCTGGCACAACACTAGTCTTCATGTGTAATATTCTCCACAGATTTTCCCATAAGATAATCAAGTGTTTTTAATATTTTTAAAAACACACTTGCTAAGCATAGGCGCAAAACGTCAAGCGGCCAGAAAAAAACCCCCACTGCATTGAAATCGATTCCACAATTGTTAATATTCTCTAAGCCTATTGCAACACCCTCTTATTTTGATAATTGTGGTGTCAAGATCAAGACGTCATCATGGCCGAAGCCGCACTTCCTCGCTACCAGCACACCCTTCCCTCTGCTAGATCCCGCGGCTGCTGCTACACGATGTATGTATGTTGAACTTATTTCGCGCCGTATGTGACCACCCGTGCTAATTGGAGGTGCGAGGGATAGACAACAAACTAAACACATAAAGCAGTTTGAAAGAAATTAGTTTATAATCTATATTTAAAAGTGCATAGCTCCAGTGGCTTCCTACTGTCGGAAGGAAGAGCGTTACAGACGGCCACAGAAGCGCATCTGAAAGTGCATACAATACAGTGTGGTCACTGTCATACAATACAGTGTGGTCACTGTATTGTATGACTGGAAAAGTCGATCGACACGCAGCAACCTCCAAGCTCTGCCCTGACCATCTGCTTGTCGGTTGGCACTAACACAATGCCCCAGGATTTTAGCCAAACACTGTGTCGTGTATTGTATGAGATGTTAGCTTTGCGTGGTGGCGTGAGGTTGACTGGTCAGATGTTTTTTTTGTCCAGCCCTGGCAACAGCTACCTTAGCATCTGAATGGATCTGGGGGAGGTTGCGAGCAACGGGTTAAATCTGTTCTCTTCTGCTTGTGCGTTGCCTATCCTGTCTCGCCATGAAACCCCTAGATCTCTGACCCATGATGTGCTGCAGTGTGTTGATGGTAAATGGGTATCGGTGTGTACCTGTATTCCTCTTGTGTGAAGCGAGGGATGACAGAGGGCTGCAGCACAGTAATGGTGACTGTCGTGCTACTGGTCATAACGGGATCTCCTCCATCGAGAGCCAGCACAACCAGCTAACGAGAAACACATACGAACGTAAAGCGATACAGTAAAGCGTGGGACACCACCTTTTTCAATGAACCAAACTCGGACACATTTCTGAGTCGGCCTGGGTCTATCGGAACTTGCGTGGATTTTTTGTTATTAAGTTCAAAAATACATTACCGGTGCCAGATCTCGGAACAAATAAGTTCCTGCCACCTGAAAACGGATGCCGATTCCTGGACTGTCCAGGTGAAACTTAGGTCCAACCCATTCATGTAGAAACCCTGGTGGAGAGGCACACCTTGAAATTGGTGTTGGGGTCCTCATTGAGGTTGACTTTGGTCAGGATGCGTCCAGTGTTCTCCTCCACCATGAAGAGGTCAGCAGACCCGCTGGACTGGGCTTCATCAACTGCGTACTGTATCACACCTATACCGCCGTACTGGACACACACATGTGCACAAAGACAAAGAGTCCCCCCCCCACCCCGAATAGCCTACACAGACTGTTGGGGCAAGTGCTGCTCGCAAGCACCTGTTAAGACTGGAACGGCACACGAGATGTTTGTGTGCCAGCATCAAACCCTCCCCAGCGTCAATGTTGACTCATCGCAACACATACTCATTCAATACTGAGTTGACCTAAGAGAGGTACACGACTGGTTCAGATATTTGACACTGATGTTAGCCATGGCTGGGATTGAACTGGAGCCACAAGACTGCAGCCCAAAACTCTTCTCTTTCTGCTTTTTCCTTTTTCACTCGGAAGGGCTCTACTTTGGAATTCCTTCCCATTGTCTTGTTTCCCAAGCTCCTATCATCAAAAAAAGCTTGCTCAATTGAAGAAGCACATTAACTCCCATCTATTACAACTTTGATAGTGCTCTCTGTTGCTGGCCGCCTGACGTTTTGGGCCCTGGAGGAAGCGTGGGTACTGCTCACCAGGAGAAGGCAGTACAGCAAGTAGACTAATTGCCATCTGTTTCTATCTATACGGGGACAGTGTTCCCCCCTTGTGTGCGTGTGTTTTCTCCGAGCGCTCAGGTTTCCTCCCACATGTTTCCTCCCACATTGGCTGAAAACATCGGAATATATAGAGGGCCACAAAGCTTGGGCAATTGTTGGTTTTGGCTCACCGCGTGGCTGCTGGCTTCCCGCTCGTCTGTGGTTCCCCGCACCTCCGAGTCATTCACCGCGACAACGAGCGACTACTTTGTGAGTTACAAGTTGAAATTATAAAAATTACTATTTATTCTCACCTCACTGATACCAATTCCTTTTTTTTTACAACCGCTGTTCCCACATCTACAATGGGGTTCGCCGTACGTCAGTGCTAAAGCCTAACTTGAATATGGCACGTGGATCTTAAGCAAAGAGCTCCAAGTCGTACGTACGGGAGGGTCCGGATCTTGTGCGAGCACAGAGATGATGTATGTCCCTCGATGTGCATCCGGAGCCACCAGGCCCGTCTGGTCCAGCATCGTGAAATTCGGGGCAAAGTCATTCATGTCCTGCCACCAGAGAGACACCGTTTCAAGTTAGATTACAAAATTATTACAAGCATATTCTTGGTTCTTTCGGTAAAGTCAATTAGAAGGGAAATAATACCGAAAAAACCAAGAATATGAATCCCTGCAGTCACGAAAGCTTTAAATCGAAATTTGATTACGAGCACATCGATAATATTGTTACAGAAAATAAAACGGTGTTGGAGAATATTATATTAGTATTGGAGAAGGAGATTTTTTGCATTAAAACTAAATAGTGGTCAGGGGCCCGAGTACCAAACTGCTTACACAATTCTATACATTGCGTAGGCCAAGATTTGTCCATATCCGATTCCCTACGGGATTTACGCAAGGGGACTGCGTATATTTCCGTGAGATCCTACGGGCGGCCTACGGGCAGCAACAAGCAGCCTTAAGTCAGTCATTACTCAACTCATGCCCACACACACCCACACTCTCACAAAAACATGCACACAGACACACGCCATCACACATACACATGCAGAGACACATGCCATCACACATACACATGCAGACACATGCACACATAAACACACGCACACACTCAACACACAAGTGCATGTGGACACAATTGTACACAAATAGACATAATTAATATCCCCCATATAACCATTGAACAGACACAGCACACAATAGATACACACAAACACAAAACAAATGCACACACACATAGACATTCCCTAGCAAAGTAACACACTCGAACAATTACGTGCACACACTCTCACACACTCAAACAAATATATAGACTTTACAAAACGATTAAAAATATTCATATCATACGTGCAACGTAGAGTCCCCATGATACCACACTGGTACTAGTGGTGTCAAAATGGACCTCTTTGGAGGAGGAGAAAACTCCGGGCCGGTTTAAACATGCATGGTCTCGGCAAGAGTCAGACTTGCTTTAAAAAATTTACACCCAGACGGCCATGTGGCTGACGTGATGTGTAAAAAAAATATTTTATTTTTTCAATGTGGAAAGACAAATATTAGGAAGGGGCATATAGCCTGTCATATTTGGTTGCTTATATTTTCCACGACGCTTATGAATATTATTGTAATTAGGGGTATCGGCCCGGGTTAAAACGCAGGCTCTCAGCGACGAAGGCTTGTAAATGACTCCAACTGTTGTGATAAATCAGCCTCACTCTAATCTGTGATTGAGATTTTAAGTTTAAGCACAGTTGCCAAGCATTGGCCCAAAGGCACAACAAGTCGTTATGCAAGCATTATCAAAGCAATCTTTCATCGTGCACTTTTGCAATATTATTAACAAAAAATAATTTAGAACAGATTCAATACAGCTTGTCCCGTTTTCGTGGGCATTTTCACAGAATCTGATTAAGAGAAAGTAAAATATTTAAATGCTAGTTCATAAAGCCTGTCTTTGGCAGGCAAAAGTTTTCAAGAAATATAATAATTAAGCTGATATGATCTTTGACAAATTTTTTTTATCTACGATCAGACACAAACAACTGCTACAAAGATTTGTAATTTTTTTGCGCAAAAAATTATATAGTTGACGACTTGATTAAATTTATTATATTTAAAGACGTACCCATCGGAAACCGCTGAATTTAATGATTCTGATCTTTTTTTATTAGAAAAAAAATTTATGAACTTCATATTCTGTGAGGGGAAACTCTGATCTTTTACCGTTTTCGAATAATTCAGATTTGAAAATCATAAAATGTGTATTCTTTCATTCAAACCCACTTTCATCCAAATATCTCAAAAACAATCAAAGAGAGAACAATCATTGGAACCTCCTTTGCCAGTATCAAGATATGATAAAAACAAATGTTTTACCCTCTTATCTGGCAACAAAACTGAAAACTTTTTTTTATAAGGAGTCATGTTTGCATTGACCACAATACCTGCGGTCGGAATGCAATCAAAAACACAACTCTGATGTATGCACTGTCCGTGTTTTGATAATGTATGCACTGTCCGTGTTTTTTGTTTGCATTCCGACCGCAGGTATTGTGGTCAATGCAAACATGACTTCTTGTAAAAAAAAAGGTGTCAGTTTTGTTGCCAGATAAAAGGGTAAAAAAAATGTATCAGAGAGAACAATGTTTCTCGCTTTAATATAATTTGTTGTTTAATGCTCTATCAAATGAAAGCAAACGCAAACTTATTATTTTTACGGTTTCTGAATGACACGCACAAGATGTTTATGGGGCACTTAAAATCGACATTTGGGGGTGTTAAAATGAAAAATCTCGAATTTGCAGATTTGTCCTGTTGTTTGTGTTCTAAAAAGCTTCATATGTACCATATTTCAGCTTTCTACCTTGTCGGGAAGTACCTAAGAGGTTTTTGAGAAATACAGATTAAGGTCTTTATTTATACAGAAGATTACATTTTTAAACAGCATAATCATTAGAAATTTTTACAAAAAGTGCATGACCATTTTTATGGGGAGAAAAATAGCTACCCTGAGTGCGTACGCGCAATTCACACCTTGATGTTGACGTAGACCGTTGCAAGGGATGTGAGGTTGCTGTTATACGCGTCAATAGCCTTGACCAGTAGCGTGTATTTATGTCCTGGTGTTGTCTCATAATCAAGGGACTGGAGAACAGCCAACTGGCCCGTGATATCATCCACAGAGAAGAGCTTACTCATCCCAGCAGTTAGCAGTTGGTATCTGGTGCTTGCATCCATATCTGCATCTGAAGCCTGCGAATGAACGAAGTGAAAGTTGAACAACACTTCAGCTCATCACAATAGCCAGGAAACCCAGAGAGCGAGTCTACATACAAAGCAGCTAACCTGAATGTCATAACATAAATAACTAAGCAAATACTCTTTGGTTTTTTAGGTAAAGTCACGTAGGTGAAAAACAAAATAAAATAAAACAACTCAATTAAATCACGACGTTTCGGAGGCAACACAAGCTTCCGTCATCTGGTGGGACAACCAGTTGTTTTATTTTTATTTTGTTTTGTTTTTCACCTACGTGACTTTTACCGAGTCACGAAAACTTCAAATCTAGAACTAAGCAAATAATTCACCTGCTTCACATATCTTTCCCTCAACGTTTTACAGATCCCATGAACCACACAGCATTTTGGGAGTGCATCATTTGAGCAGCATTGGTTCACCACAAGAAAACTATTGACAGTCAGTGTCTCATCAGCAGAGCCAGGCTTGCTTGCACCAATGCTGGTTAAACTGCCATATGTTTAATAAGTAAGCACCCACTTGAATAGACACAGGTCCTGGTTTGACACAAGACCATGAAAAATGCAACACAAGACATTTTTTTTTGCATTTGTGGGGAATAAGTAAGAACATAAATAATCAGCCAATATGGCTCCGTTGAACACGTAGGCTTTCGCGACCCATATCATCCATAATATACGTTTTTTGGTTTAGATGGCATAAATATAAATGTGTCGTTAAACCCGCCACGACTTGACACAGCTAATTATTAAGGTTTTTCATATAAACAGAACATTGTAAATGTTGTGGATTTGCTCTCCAACACACCGGTGTGCTATACTAGTAACGAATTGGTATGTTCTGTTTACGTGACAAACCTTACTAATTGGTTGTGGTGGCGGGTTTAACGACACATTTATATTTACGCCATCTAATCCCAAAAAAAATCTCTATTATGAATATAGCTCCCTGTGTGTGTTTCTGCATCCAGAGGACTCCTCCGAGACCGCTCCAGCAATTTCAATGAACGAGGAGGCAATTGAAAGCTGTTGGCTTTCAAGTGAGTGGCTTTTGTGAATGTGTTAAAGGGTTCTATAACACATTTGAGCTCGGATCCAATATTTGGATTATCAGCCCAGATGTTAATAATCTTCTGCCAATTATGATAGTCCAGCGCAGCATGAGCCCTGTGTAAAACGTATACAAGAGATAACTGTTGTGTGTGTGTATATCTATTTTGCAACTGAGCCACTTTAATCACAAACCTACTTGTTTATACTGTTGTGGTTGGTGTTGTTTTCATTGTGTTTTATTAGGAACCAACACTTGATATTGTTTGATCGTGTGCTTTTGAGTCATCAAATTAAATTAATCAACTTGCTTCGAGGAACATTAACTCCGTCCTAGTATTTTCTCACTATTTAATATCAGCGGATTTCCCACTAGTATCTCACATCTCAAGTGGAACCACTTAAAGAAAAAAATTGTTTTCTAAACAAAAGTCAAAGCATTTTTCTGATCAAATGCTCATCTGTTTACTAAAACCGTAACTATTTTATTTACCAGGTAAAGCCCACTGAGCTATTAGCTCTTTTTCAGAAACGACCTGGCCACAAATGATAGCTCAATGAAGTGACTTATCATGTGGAAATAAATAGAAGCAGAATAATCTAAACGCATGTTTATAAATGTAGAGGAAAAAACCGGTCGACCCCGAGAAATATCCATGTGATCAAGGGGCGAACATGCAAACTTCAACTATACAGGTGTCATGGTCGGGATAAAATCCACAGGCAAGAGAGATAACATCTCACCACCCGGTGCCCCTTTCTATAGTGTACAGTTTAAAGCCAGAGCAGGAAAATCCACATTGCTATGGCATGGGGTGAGTCTATCCATAGGACAACCACTGTTGACTTCTCCACAAAGTGCCACTCATTTTCTCAACCATGGAGGGATGGTGAGCTGAGTCAACCGGCAGCCAGGATTTGACCTCTCAACTTTCCGATAGCGAGCTGTTCGCTCTACTGCTGATCCTCATGGCTCTATAAACAAAGGCATTTAATACACCGTATATGAGCCTTAGTAGTCGGACACGCTCACAGCTTCACCACACCTCGAGACGCAGCACCACCTGACCCGGAGAGCCATTCTCCGGCACGGTGACATTATAGACGCCCTGGCTGAAGATGGGCGGGTTGTCATTCACGTCCAGCACAGAGATGGCGAGCGGGAGGTTGGTGTGACGAGGGTACAGCGCACGGTCGCTGGCCACTACGGTCAGCATGTAGGTCTCCTGTTTTTCTCGGTCCAAGGCCACCTTTGTGTAAATGCTTCCATTGGCCATGATCGCAAACACAGCCGCATAGTTGTCCAGGCTATACACCACCTCACCATTCATCCCTGCATCTTTATCGGTTGCCTGAGAATAAAACAAACGTGCTTCTAAACAGGAACAATGATACATGAATGCAAAAAAAACCACGCATTTCAACTCTCATTGGCCAAACATCCTAATTGTGACAAAGTACACATTTGGGATTACACATAGTAACATCGCCCCCTTCTGAGGTAAATTGGCAAGACCCTCCTTAAAAAGTGTCTTCAGACTCAGTGAGGCTTTTGTATGTATGTATATTGAACTTCTTTCACACCATATGTAGCTAACCGTGCTAAGGAGGATGGAAAACAAACTAAACATAAAAAGCAGTTAAACAAAAGTTTAGAATCGAGATTTAAAACAACATAGCTCCAGTGGCTTCCTAATAAGAGCGTTCTAGACTGCCGCAGAAGCGCATCTAAAAGTGTGCGATGCAGTAAACATTTTTGTCCAATGGCTAGCCAAAAGCCGTTGTGAGGATGACCGGAGTTTTGCGTAATGATTTATGCTCCTTGACGAGATCAGCAAGGTATTGTGGTTCATTTGTGGAAAGAACTGTGTGTGTAATGAGTGCGTAATTGCAATAACAATGCTCTCATCATGCCAATAAACCATATGCTGGCAGGAATTGTAAAAAAATGCATACGTGTGAAAAATGATAACAATATTTTTGTGCAAATAGCATCTAAGTCATAATTTTTCACCCTTTCTGACGAAGGTTGACAGAGTTAATGCTTTTGCTCTGTCCATCTGTTACAGGGGGGGCACAATGACTCTCATAAAGATGAACCTATATCAACAAAATGTTGTCTTAAGTTATGCTGCAATTAGAGACTCACACTACACACAACCCGGCAAATTGATCAAAAGGTTGCTCAAAAGTCAGCGATGAAAAACTATTGTGAATTACATATTCATCTTCGCACCATTGCATATTTTATAGTTAAAACACTCATGGTATTAACCAGGGTGGCTTGCCAGATTCGAACTGCGAACCCACTTGTGGCCAACGCGGCACCGCTGGGCCATGTCACCGCCCCCCAAATTTATAAGCGCTTCTCACCCGGACTTGCCCAACAAAGACACCAGTTCTTCCCTCGTATACGGAGAAGTTCGTTGGCATCAGAGGATCGAAGGTGGGATCATTATCATTGACATCCGTAACAAGCACCGCTACCGTAGCTGTTGAGGTCTGTGAGCACGCACGCACACACACACAATGTCATGTAAAACCAAACACAACAGCGACTCAACCATTTACATTTGTACTGCCCTGAACTCACTTGTGTACCTTATCATGAGCACTGGGTGAGGCTGGTGACAGAATGGCAGCCAAATGATAAACACGGTGTGGGGAGGCCTTCATCCAGCAGTGGATAAACAATGGGTGGTGATGATGATGAAATGCGATCGCAATAGAGGTAATAAATGAAGGGGTAGTGATGGGGGCCGGAAGGTTATGTGCTGATGGATAAGACAGCTCGCTGACCCCATTAGGATGTCCGTCAGATGCTGTTAGGATCAGCTGGTACTGGTCCCTTGTCTCACGGTCCAAAGACTTCCACAGGGACAGAATTCCAGTGCTGAGGAACAAAGGGGGGCAGCTTAACCCTTAAGATGAGCACATACGATGAACAAAGCAACAGTATTCATCAGTCACCATCCTATGAGCTCACCCAGATCCGGAGGAACGCTGCTGGCAAACAGTGGAATCATGTGGATGTCCAGAATAAACACCTAATTCGAGACCAAAACGTCACACCTCCTGGCTTTGACATTCCTCCTCGAAGACACTGGTGGAACCATCAACTGCATCAGAGCAGCAAAAAGACGATGTGCACATCTTCATGAAATGGACAATTAAAGACAAGCCGCAGGAGTGTGCGATTGTGGCCATGAAACCCAAACTACAGACCATGTAGTAAACGACTGTGGTCTGCACGCCTTCAATGGAGGAGAAACAGAAAAGCTCCACGAACTCTCACCTTCAGCCCTCTCGTGGCTAGCAGACCACAACGTGGGCATTTCTCTCCCGAACATATTGATGCCACATACAACAATAGAATGGTCCCTCCAAGTGGCTTGCAGATGTATCCAGCCAGAAAGGCCCTCACGAGTTGAACACCTGGCAGTGAGACTACTCCACCCAGCGTCCGACCAGCGTGGATAAAATGAATACCGTATTGTGGGGCAAAATCAACTGTGGTTGTCCTCTGGAGAGACTCGCCCCCCGTCATAGAAATGTGGAATTTGCACCACTTGCTCAGGGCTGTAAGCAGGAGGACGAGTACAGTGTCAATGCTCACTCGAGTCGCAGGAGATCGCTGCGACGCGACGATCGTGTGGATAAATGTGCGCCCACCTGGAGTTGAGGTAGAACGCTCCGTCTGGGTTTCCGCTCTTGATGCTGTAGACGATCGGGTCGTTTTCACGGTCAATGGCCTGAGCATAAACGACACAAGACCACAAGGTTGATCTGTCGTGGGGGTGTGGGTGAGAATTACTGCGGTGGTATTCTGAATGATCACAACGCTTATGGTCAGGCCTTATTCCGCACCTAGGATTAGCATAATTGGCTACGTACGGTGTGAAAGAAGTTCAACATACATACATGGGGAATAGAGGAAAATGTTTCAGTCATCAAGGGAGAAGTGCTACAGGCATGGGTTAAAGCTTCGACAGCAAAGGATGTACGGAATTGACGGATATGGGAGTTGTGGTGCATTGATTCCACACCTCTCAAGTCTACAGAACTTCCAACTTCCATCTCTGTAATGCCCTTATTCATGCCTTGAGTCGGATCTGGGCTATTGCAACCCCCCATTCCTCACTTCCAAAGTCATTTCCAGACTTCTCACCTGCATCCATACAGTATGTGACACCACATTACTCCAATCCTCAGATCCCTCCACTGGCTTCCAGTCTAATATCAGCTACAAGCCTGCCCTCACCATATTGGATATACTCTCCCGTGCCTTAGGAATGTGCAATTTCCACCCCTGACTCGGGGCTATAAGCCATATTCAAGATCCTTCATGGGGCTGTCTGTGCCCATGTTGTGTTTTTCACTAAACCTCACACGCAGGTCAGTGTGGGTTTAAGTTGGGGAGGCCCAGGATCCGTTCAGATATCACTCGCCACTGCTGTTAGCCATCGCCGGGAATGGAAGTCGGGTCGTTGGGTTCATAGTGCAGTGTGTAACCAGCGCGCCACTGTCTCCCTGTGCTTAATATCATGGTGCTGCTGAAATAATGTACTTCCAGAAGGCCATGTGGCTGATGGGATGTGTAAACAAATACTTTCATTGTTGACGTGTAGGGACCGACATGAGAATCATGCTCATTATCCGCGAATTCATTCTGTTTCTCATATTCTCCACGTTAACTCGAATGCGTATTGGGTGTTTCCTGCATTGTGGGCGATCGCTGCGGAATGTTGCGGTGTTAATCCACCGCCGTGCCGGCTCCATCGCCGTGGCTGTGCGAGCCCTCTCTCTGCGTGTGAGCACTTGTTGCAGTGCGTTGTACGTATGTATGTTGAACTTCTTTCGCACTGTATGTAGCCAACCGTGCTAACCAGAGGTGTGGGGGAAGGACAACAAATTAAACACAAAAATGCAGTTCTAAAGAAATTATTTTCAATCTATATTTTAAAGTGTATAGCTCCAGTGGCTTCCCAATATCGGAAGGAAGAGAGTTCCAGACGGCCGCTGAATCCCATCTGAAAGCAAGTGATGCGGTGACCGTCTTTGTTCGATGGCTAGCCAAAAGCCTTCCTTCCCCCGCACCTCCGATTAGCATGGTTGGCTACGAATGGTGCGAAAAAAGTTCAACATGCATACAACGCCGCTGTGAGGACGAGCGGAGTTCACGTGATGGTTTATGCTCCTTGACGAGATCAGCAAGGTACAGTAAAACCTTGGATTGCAATTAACTTGGTCTGCGAGTGTTTTGCAAGACGAGAAAACATTTTTAATAAATATTCATTTGATAAACGAGCGAGGTCTTGCAATACGAGTAGTACGTATACGCTTTGTCTGCCGAGTGTCACGTGATCACAACTGATATACGAGTGCTTTGGATTTCAAAAACGTTTCCGGAACCAATTATGCTCGCAATCCAAGGTTTTACTGTATTGTGGTTCAGCAAGGTATTGTGGTTCAAGCGAGGTATTGTGGTTACCTGCACACTGAGCAAGAAGGCACCGGCACTCAGGGCCTCGCTGACCTCCATGCTGTAGAAGCTGAAGGGCATGCTGGGAGGGCTTTGGTTGTTTGGGGGTAGCACCTCAACGTACACGGTGGCAATGGAGCTCCTGAGCAACGAGCAACACAACAACACAGTCACTCCGGCACGGCAACCGCTCATAGCAGCTTCGGAGAGGTTTTTGTTGTTAATTAATTGGGTAATTAATCTATTCAATGCTTGCCCCCCTCCTTCCTCCCAGCACCCTTCGCTTTCTTTTTTAAAGTTGTTTTCTTCCCTTCTCCATATTAAAGCACACCCACCCCACTCTGTACTCCCCCCCACTCCCTCGCGTCTCAGTTTGTGCTCTGTACTGGGCTCCTATTGAAATATAATATAACAAATATAGTCTGCTTGAGTGGTAATGCACTGGTTAGCACACTGCACTATGAACTTGGCGACCTGAGTTCAACTCTCAAACATGGTTGCCCATGAATGGCGAGTTATATTTCTTTCCTTTCTAGGCATGTGAATGTGTTCCTCGCCTCGATGCTTGATGTTAACGGTCTTGAGTTTGTTTGTAATTAGCTTTGGCCTCTCTTGGGCTCTGATGGAGAGGAAAATGAATCACACCAGTCTGTGCTGGCTTCCTGTGTTTGTTTGCAGAGACATCTCTGGCAATGTGGTGTTTGTTATATTTAATCAAAATTTGTATTACTAATATCGGATGTACAAGTAAAACCGGCCAGATGGCTGAGTGTTACAATGAGCGGCTCGCATTCGGAAGGTTGCAAGTTAAAATCCTGGCCGGAGGTTGGCTCAGCCCATCATCAAGGACGGCCAGGAAATGCAACGGCCACACCTGTGCCTTACAGCAAGAAGCTCCTGAGTTAAATTCACAACCTGGGCGCCTCTCTGTGTGGAGTTTGTATATTTCCCCCGCCCCCCCCCCCCCCGTTTCCTCCGGTGTCCTCCCGTAGCGAATAAACCATTACAATTGCACTGGTATTGACCAAACATCACAATGCTAAAACATTACCTGCACATTTCTCAATTGGGATCTCACGCAGCAGCAGCAGCAGCTTTGCCCCTAACTGTAAACACTTGGCAGTACTCTCCTGAAAAAATGTTGAGACTCAAGTGAGGCTTTCCTGGGTAAACAAGGCCAATAATAATAATATTTCTGGCGTTGGTGAAATGAGTTACCCCCTAAGTCCACAGTGGTTGTCCGATGCATGTACTCTACGCCACTACAGGAATGGGGAATACCCATCACTGGTTCAGAGCTGTAAATAGGAGTTAAGCACTGACTCAATGCTCATTCAAGCAGGAAATAACTTTTACTCATATGGGTAATTAATAATGTACTTACTGTGTGTCTGTGACCTGCATCTCTTAGCATGTAAACAATCAAAGTCACCCGAACTGATGTATAGGGTCTCAATACAGCCATCACGTGTAAGATGTATATGGATTTTACACTTTCAGCATAGTGAAGTGTATTCTGAAATGTATTTTGGCTGTGTGGTGGGCTTTATTGGTGCTATGAAGTGGGTTTTTGATGGGCTATGAACATCACTTAGGAAGAGGAAAGAGATACGTCTAAGGGTAAAGAGAAGTGCATTCAAGGCAGAAGTGGCATCTGTATTGCTGTATAGATCAGAGAGCTGCCCCCTAACTTAGCAGCTCGAAAATAAGTGATTGGCATTTAAGCTCAGGTGCCTAAAAGTGATGCTGGGAACTTGGTGGCAAGACAGGAAAAGCAATGGTTATTTGCGTAAGAGAACATGACAGGCGATAGTTGTTGATGTGGTTAGGCCGGACGGGAGAGGGCCAGTTGCTAAGAGAGACATTGGAGTGGTCTGCACGAGTTCGGGGAAGAAAAGACCTCATACCAAATGGTGGGAGACATTGAGGGGCAGAGCTTGGAGGTTGCTGCGTGTCTACTGCACAGCTGCGGGATCCGGTGGAGGGGAGAAAACATTGGTGAATTAATACTGAATGAAACTAAACTCTTTTTATTTTACCAAGTAGGGCCCACTGAGCTACATAGCTCATTTTCAGAAGCGACCTGCCAAATGACAGCTCAAATAAGTGGCTCATCATGTGAAAATTTGTAGCAGCCAAATACTCGAAACACATGTTGATTCGAAATGTGGAAGTAAAAAAATGGAGGACCCGGAGAAAGATCCGCGCGACCACGGGGAGGACATGCAATATACAGGCGTCAGGTTCGGGATGGAACCCACGACTCGATGAATGATCTTGACCGATCGTGATGCAGTGCGCCATGAGAATGTGCAGCGTGATGGCAGGAGGCACCTTCTGTCGGCAGGCGGGGCGCCGTCACTGGCCTGCACCGTCAGGGTGAAGGTGCGTCCCACGAGCAGGCCCCCGGGCCCCGCCACGCTCAGGAGCCCCGTGACATTGTTGATGACGAACTGGCCCTGGTCTCCAGCCAGAATCTGATAGTGCACATTTCCGTTTACGCCTGAATCGGCATCACTTGCTACGAGCTGCGGAGGAAGCAAGGTATGCGTGTGAATAAGGTATGGAATGTTTACTGTCACATTACGTTTCATGCAACACGTTTTTTTTTACTTTCTGTATGTCTCATCAGGTGTGCAGCCAGGCACACTGTAGCTATGTCACCTGACGGCCGTATATATTTACAAGCACTTCTTGTATTCATAGACACGACCTGGTACACAGCTGAAATGCGCATTTGTTCAACTCACAACCATTAATGACTATCAGTGACACAGACAAATAAATAATTATTCAGTGTCATCAGTTTTAACAAATAAATGCATAAACATTAACATATAAATGGCAAAACTTGAGGAATAAATGATGCTTGAAATTGTGATTTATCCACTTTTTACAAGTTGAACACTTGACATTGGCTGTATGAGATGCAGCAGCTACTACATAAGCGATGTCAAAAAGAAAAAGGTAAGCCAAAAATCTGGGGTTTGAAATGGCACAAGACTTCAAACTTTGCCTCAAGAATATTCTCTTTTTAATATAAATGTGTCGTTAAACCCACCACCACCCGACACAGCCAATTAGTAAGGTTTGTCACATGAACAGAACATGCAAGTTCTTCACTAGTTCAGCACACCCGTCTATTGGAGATTAAAACATTTGTGGGAGTGGTGGGGGGGGTGTCGCAGGTTTACTCTCCAACACACCCGTGTGTTGGAGAGTAACGAATTGACACTTTTGTTTACGTGACAAACATTACTAATTGGATATGTTGGGTGATGGCGGGTTTAATGACACATTTATATTTACGTGATCAAACCCAAACAAAAAAATTATGTTATGGATAAAATTCTCATTGCTTGTGAAGACCATGCCATGTAACCATGGCAATAACACCATCACCACTCTCAATTGCCAAATGACAACTAAGAAATTTACACACACACCAGTAGACTGCCATAAACGTTAAAGTGGACCGTCTTGTGGCGATTATGATTATCTGCTGCTGCCTAATAATTAGTTTTGGAAAATAAAAAAATATTACACAATGATCAGGAATATGCCCCATCCATTCCCCAAAGTTTGGATGAAAACCCATCATGCACACCACAGACACCCCCACGAGTGTGTCTGGCTGATGCAAGTTGCACAACCCGTGGCTGTGACTGGATGCAAGAGGAAACAACAAAGATAATTTTCATGGTTTGTTACACAGTTGCTGAGCACAGACGCAAAGCACCACAACGTCGAGCAGCCAATGCAAAACAGCACTGACAAAGTTCTAATCGATGAGAATTAACGTCTTTATTGAACTGAGTATGTTTGTTAGAAGAAAAGAGGCGTTGAGAGGAAATTCGAAAGTGTAGCGGTGCAAGGAAAGAAGCAGAAAGACCTGCAGTGTGGTGAGTGAGTTTGGCGAGTAAGTGTGTTGTTGTGACTTGCAGCGTGGTGGTTGAACACCGTGTGGATGAGACTACACAGTCAGCGTGAGGTAGACCGAATCGTCAACATGAGTGGATGTCATCAACGAGTGAAGTTCATGGGAAAGGCAACCATGATAATAGTGATAGCAGTGTGATAACCGCCGATGAGAGAGCGAATGACTGGAGTGAATTAGCAAGTGAATTAGCGAGTGCTAGATCATCAATAGCAAACACACAAACCTGTATGACAGGGTCACCCGGTATCATATTGGAGTAGGCGTTGGCAATATACGAGAGAGAAGTGAAGACCGGCGTGTTATCATTCGCATCCAGCACCAGGATCGTCACATTAGCCGGCCCGCTGTGCAGAACCCCGTCCGAGGCCATCATCTGCAGGAGGCACACGCAACATTCTCACCAACAACAGGGCCAGGACTCACCACCAGGACCAAGTGTGTTGCAGCTGCTTGTGGTTGTAGCAGGGTGGGGCACCGGTAATAATTGCAAAGCATTTTCTCACTCTCATACAGAGGGAATGGCTCAGAGGCAGGAGAAAGGCCCACAGACAAGCAGAAGGGCAGTCACGCAGTGAGCTGGTGCCAAATTTGCCCAAGCTCTGTAGTTTTCTATATATTAAGGTGTCATTGGCCAATCAATGAGTGTTTATACGTGGTATGAAACTGGAGCACCTGGAGAAAACAGACACGTGCACGAGGGGGAAACACTCTATCCCATCCCTTGGCAAGTCAGGGTATGGCACCTCCATGTCCACAGCAAAGGAGTTTTACAACATCTGCGCGATCCGTAAACTTGTATTACAGGCGTGTGTAGTCACCACCACCCTAGCTAAACAGGTGCCGGTTGGTCAACATCACTGGTTTAATTTCTAGAGAAGCGGAAGGTCTTGGCTTGTGCATATACGTACGTATGTTGAAGTTCTTTCGCACCGTACGTAGCCAACCGTGTTAATCGAAGGTGTGGGAAGCCATGAAGGCGATAGACTTTTTGGAAACAGTTTAATCCAATCGGGCTGGGGGATGATTCAAGAATTACAATGATATTTGCAGTAGAGGAATATGGATGCGACTGACAGCCAGGGTGTGCCTGGGTAATCGGCTCATCTACTGCTGCTGCTAATGTATAAAGGGTCTGTGCAATCCAGAAAGAAAGGGAAAAGCAGGGGGCTACAGCTGCTAATGATGATGTTGCTTTTGCAAACCTGTGAGTTAGAAACAAAACATTTGCACGGTAACCCTGTTTGGCAGTTCACCTGATGGCATTACAAAGCCCCTTTTCCAAAGACTCGTCTCACTCTAGCCAGAGCCAGATGGACGAGCGCCTAAGGTAGTTAAAACGTAAACAGATTCTCCGGTATCGTTGTGTGGGTAGAAGGGAAGTGGAGACTGATGATTTTTCATTTGTTTTTTGTTGTTGTGCAATCACTGCCATGGCACTTGATTGCAGAGCACTGCCGTGGAGCGACGGCAGAGGCTGTCGGTTTGATTGGATGAGGCACCTTAACCTCAAACGTGTCTTCACAAGTTCATCGATCACTCTTGATGTCGATAAGAACACCACGGGCCCCACAGTCCGTGCCAGGCTCTTCACTAACCACAACACCACGCACAACCTTCACTTGCATTTGACGCATATCCTTGTCAGTTTACACACGAGTGCCAAAACCACCCAAAATCCATGTTAATATTTTTGTCGCTTAATCCTACACTGATTGGTTTTCAAAATAAAACTTTCTGAGCCAACTTTGTAATGGAAAATGTATTACATTGATATAGATTTGTGTTTGTGCACTGTTTTTTTGTAAACAAAGTTAATTTTGCTCAGATTTTTGTTCGCTTCATTGTTATACTTTTATGTATTTTGAATCACTTTTGTCGTTACAGTGACCCGGGTCACTTTTGCAAACGATGCCCTCGAGTTCTCACCCTGGTCACTCGAAACAATCTTGAACCTTGACCCGAACGCCACTCCCTGGCAACAACGCGGCGCCACCTCGACCCGGCCAACCCCCCCCCCCAGCACCGCACGGTGAACCAGGGACAACGAGTGCCACCGCCGGTACCACCAGCGCCCTGCTTTACCGTGAACGAGTACTGCTGACGCGTCTCCCTGTCGAGCGGCTGCAGCAGGATGAGGAACCGCGTGATGCCGGAGCTTGTCACCCCGAACACGGCGCTGGCGCCTTGTAGCGACACCTGCAGCTGTGGGTCCTTTGTCTGCCGTGACGCAGCACAGCGCAGCGCAAGGAAATTGCTCGCATCATTGTGGAGAATACAAGTGATGAATATAAATAAACAGAGACAACTCGCCTCCTTCACACATAGGTTTGTCTGCACATACAAAATATTTAAGATTTACACATCCCATATATGCATGTTTAAGTTCTTTCTCACCGTATGTAGCCAACCATGCTAATCGGAGGTACGGGGGAAGGACAACAAACTAAACATAAAAATAAGTTTTACAAAAATTCGTTTTCAATTTAAATTTAAAAGTGCATAGCTCCAGTGGCTTCCTAATATCGCAAGGAAGAGCGTTCCAGACGGACGCAGAAGTGCATCTGAAGACTGCTCAGTCTTTAGGGAGTGCATCATTTCAGCAGCATTGGTTCAATACATGCAATCTCTGGACCAGTTTCAACGTTCATTGACTTGGTACGATAATCAACGTATAATAAGCTTAATAAGAAACTTAATCTATAAGTTATAGATTTAAAACATGTGTCCACATGTTCATTATTTGTCTGCTATGTGTGTGTCAATCGGCACCATGGACACCCTTGAAAATTTGATGTTCTATATCGGGGGAATTGTCCAGGTGAAATATTTCAATGAACAAAAATCAAATGGGGGGTGCTGCAGGGCTGACTGCAACCGTGGCAGGTGGCACAGCAACAAGTTGAGGGGGGCCCTGGTGGCCGCATCCTCCTCTTCTCACCTGCCCCTGACTCACCTCTTTAACATCGGCGTCCAGAGCCACGATGCTCAGAGGGCTGTCCAGCTGGAGGGTGCTAGAGATGGTAGTGCCCACGGAGGCAGACTCGAGGATGTAGCCTTGATACATGGTCCTCTCAAAGTACGGAGCTTGGTTGTTCTCGTTCAGGATCTCAATGTGCAGCGCAGCGTAGGCTGGCAGTGGGTGCCCATTATCCTGCTCAGCCTGGACGCAATGCAAAGGGTACGAATAAACAAGAAAAAATTCACCTTCGCACGCTTGTCCCTCCGCAGAAATAAATACGTGTTTTTAGACATCCCACATGGCCTTCTGGGAGTGCATAATTTCAGCAGCATTAGTTCAGTACATGGAAAACTCTGGACTTGCTTTAAAATGAAGTCTCATCAGCGGTCAGGTTTGCTTGAATCAATGTTTGTAAACTGCCACATTTCTACAGGAAAGTATCTTCTCTGTTAGATATAGGTCCGAGTTCAATGCAAAGCTACATGCAGTCATACACAACACAAACTAATCATGCATGTTATTGTACAGAATATAAGTAACAAAATAAATAAGCGGACAATTAACCTCTGAAAATACAAGTGTGACATGGGGAAGCTTTTATCCAGCCGTAGATAGAACATGGCAGAAAATTAAGTGCAAATTACAAAGCCAAGCAGTCCACCTCTCTTCGCCTCAGTCTAATGGAAAAATGTGTTTCGCATTCACACTACGATGCAGAGGTGCACACATGTACACACACCTACCTTCAGCACAAGATCAAACTGCGGGAACATGTCACGGTTTACTGGCTGCAATAGTTGCAGTTCAGCTGTTTTCCCGTTCAGATAAAAGTAATCAGAATAGTTCCCAGGGTCGCCTGAAAAAAACAGACAAATGCTAGGAATTGATACCCATATCACACGAGAACGCATGGTGATTTGGGTGGCTATATAATGTATCATCATTTTATAACATGAAAAAAACATCTGGCCTGGTGCATCAGCCCATTGAACGAGTGGCTCGCAATCGGAAGGTTGCAAGTTAAATTCCTGGCTGGTGGTTGACGCAGCCCTTCATCCTCCCAGGGTCGATAAAATGCATCCCACTTTGTGGGGAAGTCAGCAGTGGTTATCCTATGGATAGACTCATCACCACCATAAGAAATATCGAATTCCCTCCACTGATTCACGAATGAAAACAGCAGATAAGCACCACCTCAGTACTCTTATTCTAATATATTGTACTGTCATTCTCACAGCACAAACACCACAGATGTCAATAGTTTCACATCTGAATGCCAGAGCAACCATAAAAAAAACATTGAAAACCGAACACGAGGGTTATCAAATAGCCAATGCCTTCAACTTATATGTACAAAATGTTGCATAGAAATAACAAAATGTGTGGCATAATGAGAAAAAATATCACTCTTTTATTAAATTCTATCTTTATTTAATCAGGTAAAGCCCGCTGAGTTATATGGCTCTTTTTCGGAAGAGCCCAATGAAGTGGCTTATCACGTGCAAATTTATATCAGCCAAATACTATAAACGCATTTGCACCTAATGCATTGTTATTGTCTAGAATTTCTGACCAATAGCAGCTGTGGAACATTGTCACTGATGCCATCAGCACGATGCACAGTGATTGATGCCATTACAGCCAGAGGTTGGAGTGACAATCGACATGCACCATCATATGATAGTTTGTATGGTAAACCACGGGGTGATTTTAGCATTGGTTAAACACAGAATAAGGACTGGGATTTTTTTTTAACACAGAGTCTTCTGTTATTTCATGCATTCGGTAAAATACAAAAGGGACATTACATACAATACAAAAGGAGGCCCCTCTCTCTTTCAAATGGGACTTATCCTGGTTTTCCAAGTTCTCACCTGGTTTGACAAAGTCACCTTGAAAACCTGAATCTGAAGGCGAGGCAGGTAATGATTCATCCCCAACAACCCTCAATTTGAATCTCACCATTTTCAATTAAGATTCAAATCACGACTATATATTTCCCTCTTTAGTACTGTCATATTTACGCTGTGCTGTCCTTTATCATGTGAAACACAAATAAAATGTGGACCCATGTCTATCAAAGAGGGTCCTTGCTTATAAACATCTGGCAGTCAACCAGTATTGGCTCAAGAAAGCTCAACTCTGCTGATGAGGCAATGAATGTCAAAACCAGTCCAGGGTTTGCTTGTGTTGAACCAACTAAAACAATGTTTGCGTGAAGAGACAAATATGAGTATTCGTATTGTCTGCTTTTGTATTTTGTCTGGAGTATAGCTTCCATGTCCTGTCTGTCTCAATTGCCTAGTCTCGGTGGTTCAAATCATTCCAGTTTAAAAGGTCGTAGCCAATGCTGATAATGCCACATCTGACCATTAGTTTAAAAGGATTTACATTTTTTAAAAAAATGTTACATTTGCTGAGTACAGGCCCAATGGCTCAAAATATCAAGCGGTCAGCAACAAACAGCACTATCAATGGTGTAATAGATAAGATTGACACGTTTCTTGGATTAAAACAAGGTTATTGCAATGACGGCTTGGGAAAAAAAGTCGATGGGAGATTGCATAGCATGGGTACGAATTGGCGTCGCGCTAACTAAACACGCACATTCGGAGAACCCGTCCAAACGCCACCATGGCAAACGGCCGACTTGACTGCCACATCGCCAGACTTTACACACAGCAGGCCGCGCACCATGGGGACCACTGACACATTCCAAGTGACGGTGTGAGGCCATTGCATAGATAGCAGGCACAAGCAGAAGAAAAGAGAAATGTCTTCAAGCTGGACGTGGTGATGATAGTGGTGGTGAATTCGTGAGCTTACATTTTATTTACAAAACATTTGATTGACACTCTCATTGACAGGCTAGGTCTGCCCACGTGACAGCAGTGCTTGTTTACGGTGTCCTCTTTAATAAACATTCTGACACGAGTGACAGAACGACATCGATGACTGAAAGGCGAGCCAGAAAATCCGAACTCGTCATTGTGTTTGCGCCCCCGTCGGATGAGCATCTGCGGCTGAACTCACACTGAACAAATCACGGCCAAATCTTGCAGACTTCAGCCGCACTGGCTTCAAGTTGATACTGTTTGTCACTCTTCGTGGGGAGCAGTGGTGGAGCAGACGATGGTACTGCGCTACAAACCAGGTGACCTGGTTGACTGCAGGTATTGTGGTTAATGTGGTTAATGCAAACATGATTCCTTGTAAAAAGGTGTCAGTTTTGTTGCCAGAAAAAAGGGTAAAACACCTATTATCAGGTGACCTGAGTTTAATTCCTGGTCACAGTACAAATCAGTGGCAAATTATATTTGAATGGGTGCTGAGCCTCCCCAAGGTCGACTCAGCCTTAAAATAGCACCCGATGCGGAGTGTACACATCAGCGTGAGAAAGAAACAAAGACGGCCCGGTGGCCACACCATCCCCTCGTGTGTCGCGCCTACACAGTCTGTTCTTGCGAGCCCAAACCTACGTGTGCACTCACCGATTAGTATGGAGTAGATGATGCCAGGCCGGGCAGTGGGAGGCTGGATGTTTCTGTCTTGATCGATGGCTTCGATTGGTGGTGTGACATTAATTGGATTGACCAGAGTCTGGGAAAAAAACAAAAGAATTACAAATGTTAGGGTTAGCAAATTCAGTGATCTCCCGCTGACTCAAATGAGCAGTGGAGCAGCGCTCATCTCCGGTTTACAGCCACGGTGAGCCAGTGGTGCAAAATGACACATTCGTATGGTGGGGGTGAATATCTCCATAGGATTACCAACACGTATTTCACCACGAAGTGGTACTCGTTTTATTCACCATAGGGATATGATGGGTAAAGTCAATGCTCAACCTGTATTTGAAATTCAAACCCTCCGATTGCGAGCCGCTCGCTCTACCACCACCTGGCCAGATGAATTAGAGCAAATTTTACGTGAATGCATGAAAGATGATGATTTCAATCACAGGTATTTTAAGATTACAACAGTTGGCATTGTTTGTAAGTTGCAGTTATGCTGAATGACTTTTAAACATTTTGTAAATATTTTAAGAAAATGTCTGTGGAATTTCAAAAGAGAGTGAGTGAGTTTATTGAAGAACTTAAAGTGCTCAGAAACCCACTTACACACACGTACGCATACCACTAACACACAACAACATCTGTCGTTCTCCACTAAGTGGCAGTCATGTTACCACACGGTGCTTGTGCCAGGCCAGGTGCACCTTAACACTACGTGAAGTATCGAAGGCTTACTGGCAGGAGGACATAGGACGGACCAAGGTGTTATGATGGATTGACTGAAATGACTGGCAGATGCACCACCTGTGCTCCTCACTGTACCAACTTGCTACATATTAGCCACCCGCCGCTCTGCTTGTTGTTGTGAGGATCACTCATCTGCCCTCCGCTGTTGTCAGAGGGCGACTACCTCCAACTGCCAAATAGCATCCTTCATGAACCTCCTCCGCAGAGGCCGATCTTGAGACTCCTCATACCCATCATCGGCAAATCTAATCAGCTCCATATCCTTCCCTACCGCATCAGTCCACCTATTCTCTAGCCCATGCCGTGCCCATTTAGCCCCCTCTATCTGTCCAAACGGAAAATGTATGGGCATGTCGGCTACATGACCTAGCCAATGCAGCCTCGCCTGCCGGAGTAGCTCACTTATGGGGCCCTGACAAAATCTTTCAAGGTCCTGTGAGCTCTTCACACGATAGAGTCTGGTTAAACACAGGAGAGATCATAGGCAGGCCAGCCTGAATGTTTCCAACCAGTGCAGATGTTCTTTTAAAGGGCTTCACGTTTCGCAAGCATAGAGAAGGGAGGGCATATGTTTAGCTGATGAACATGTAATGCCGCTCAACTGAATCGGTTTGAGATCTCCACTGCCAAACCAGAGCTGGTCATAACCACACTGCCCAGGTATGTAAATCTCTCCACACTCTGCACAGTTGCCCTATAACTCATGGGGAGTGGGACAATCAGAGTATTTGATTATATAAAAGACCCAGACCGGTGCGTTATTTTTGTGAGGCTGATAGTAAAGCCCCATTTCTTAGTAGCATACTCCAGGTTCAGCACAAGTCTCTAATTCATTCTCAGAGTGAGCAGCAATTACCAGATCATCAGCATACATAGCATGGTTGACCAATAACGAGTTATCTCTTGACCACACCCAGATACCGATCAGGCTCCCATTGTATCTATACTCGATGGAAATTCATAAGTTACAGTAATAGAAAGCATCTTGAACTATATGGTCAAAGAAGATGTTAAATAGTGTCGGGGTCAGAAAAGACCGTTGTCACACACCAAGGCAAACAGGGAATGGCTCTGACTCCTGGTCACGCAGCTTTACCCAGACCTGCTCACCATCATGAAGATCCTGAATGATTGTGAGTAGAGGGTCAGAGACCCTAAAAGCACGAAAAATGACGCAAAGATAACTCACAGCCCTGCTCTAAGAATAGTATGAAAGGCCTTGGACCAATTCAATAAAGCAGAGATGCAGGTCCTGTTGAAATTTCCTACACCTCAGTAAGCCTGTGTACCTGTTCCATACTAGATTTAATTATTTTGATGGAGTGATTTGTGATCACGTGCTGCTGAGGCGGTTTCCATCTCCGTGTCAGCATAAATGGACCTCACCGATGTAAATCTTGGCTACCGCAATACTCACTGGCCTGGCGAGCTCCGGGATGGCAGCAAAGTACTTGACGGGCCGACAGTCGCGAGACACGCTGATGGGAATGCACGGCAGGAACATCGGGCCCAGATCGTCTCCGTCCAGAACTTCGATGCTCAGCGTGGTTGTGCTGCTCTTCCGCTCCGCCACATTGGGACATCGATCCTGGTGAATGCAAGCGGTTATAAATGGCGGTTATTTTTCCCACTGCCAAGAAAGACGACACTACTATAAATCATAGTCACACAGCATTAGCAATCTCGTGTATTTTAAAACAACAAAATAATCGGTGGCATCGCTGTTGAAAGTACGAGAAACAAAACATGAATTAGCATAATAATTAATATCCTTTGCACATCTGTCCTTCCATGTAAACAATTAAAATGTGTTTTTCACATCCCAAAAGCCACACCGATATCTGGGAGTGCTTCATTTCAGCAGCATCGGTTCAGCACAAGCAAAGCCTGGACCAGTATTGACGCTCGGTGTCTCATCTCTTGTGTTTCACACAATGCTGGTGACATCAACGTGGGGGTTGTTAATAACATGAACAGACAAGAATACCTATCAGGTACAAATGTAGGTGAAGTGACCCATGTATCGCATAGTACACTCACACTGGCCTGGACGATGACAGAATACTTCTGGAAGTCCTCATAGTTGAGTCTCTCGCGGAGGATCACAGCACCAGTGAGTGTCAGCGGAATATCAAACGTGTTGTTGGAGCGCTGCAGAGAATCAACACGGCAAAGGCCCCTCCAGGTGTTTATCAGTTACTTGGCACAACTCTCAGCTATTCCTGGGAGACAGTACTCAACATGCGTTTGTTATGGCGGGCCCCTGAATGAAGACCACTGATCGTGCTCCACACACTCAGACACTCACCACTCACTACATTCACCTACTACCCACCAAACACAACTCATTCACCAAATGCTCACAACACACCAGACAATCGCAATTCATCTAAAACGTCTTCTGACCAGATACCAAATAATCACCAGGCACTCACCATAATCAGTGTGCAATCACCACAATCAACATCCACTTACAACTCCAATTCTACTTTCTGATGGTGAGAGGCTCGCTCTACCATGGAGTGGCCTGGCTGGCATCTCCATAGCAGAGTAGAGAATTCCCTCGTTTTTCGTTAGTGATACGTTCCGGAGATGCTCATGAATAGCAAATTTCACGGATGATGATATTGGCCTACGAAAATCTATCCTTTTCATGAATTATCTTGAATGAATACATAAATAATCTATTAAATACACGACAATTTTCCTTTACAAAAAACATAAAGTAAATAAAAATGTATGTAGTGACTGACTCAGAGACACTTAGAGTAGGAGGCACTCTGTTTATTAACAGCCTCAACAGTTCACCCTTGTAACTACAGCTCCCAGTCAGGACAGCTCGCAGACTGACTGACTGACGACGCAGAGATGGTGAAGACGGTGACGAAGACTCCAGCAGCACGACAGGATCCCACTCCAAATGACAGCCCCGAGCTCTCGCTCAGAGCCTCCTTTTATGCTCCCAGCGTGGCCTCGCTCCGCTCCAGCCATGCCCCCTTTCTAGAACCTACTAGCGGGTTCCCGGGCTTCCCTCAAGTGCCCCTTCTGTAACCTTTCCCCTACATCCCTCTGTCTAGTCTATCACGTGACCTGCTGTCAGTCAGGGCTGCTGCAAGTGCAGATCCCCTTCCCTGCCAGCAACAAGCGCTATGCTGCTAAGTGACCGATTCTATGTCACTACATTTGTTTGAAAGTATTAAATAATACTTTATTTAATCGCTCTCTCGCATCACATTCTCTCTCATTACTGTATCTCATCACTTTTTTTCTCCTCTCTCTCCTCGAGGCAGTCGTGCAGGGTTCTCAACGCGATTCGCAGATAGCCAAAATCGCGGAGAGCAAGTTTGTAAATGACAAGGGAATACCACGCGCGGCGTAGCATGGCACGAGGGGTGAGTGTGCAAAGCGGCTCTCACCGGATCCCGGGGGTTGTAAAGGATGGAGTACTCGATTTGCCCATTCGCTCCATCATCAATATCCACTGCTCCAAGCGTGGCAAAGCCGGTGAAGATTGTGGTACCTACAGGAGCCAGCTGAACAACAACACCGTCACCATTATGAAATTAGACTAAATCATGTTAGTATAATAATCGTATTCTTAGGTTTTTTCGGTAAAGTCACGTAAAATTAATAAAAGTAAAATAAAAATAAAATAAAAATCACGACGTTTCGGAGGCAACACAAGCTTCCGTCTTCAGACGTCGTGATTTTTATTTAATTTTTATTTTACTTTTATTAATTTTTATCTTTTACCTACGTGACTTTACCGAAAGAACCTAAGAATATGAATCCTTGCAGTCACGAAAGCTTCAAATCTAGAATATAATAAGCGTTTTTTTTTTCATATAACGTTGCTTGAATGCCTCAGAAACTCAAAGTGCCTTCATCACGTGTCATCTCAAACATCCGGAGGGCACCTCCAGCGGCAGCTGACCCTGTGAGGCACAATCTGGGCAGTAGCGAGCGATCATACCTTTGTGTAATCCCCCTTGAGTAATTTGCAGGTAATTTTTCAAATATACAACATTTGGACCATGACTCCAGCACACCATGAGCTACTCCTTTCAATTTACGTCATGCAATCGTTCACACCTACTGTGAAGCACAGTGTGTATTTCATGATGAATTCACCCAGAGTATTAACCAGGGCGGCCTGACATATTCAAACCACTAACCACTGAGCACGCTACTCCTGGGCCATGTTGCATCACCATATCTACTTCCTGTTAGTCTGCAAACTTAAATCGATTTAGGTGTCAAACATTCTTTTTTTAACAGTTGCTCAGCAAAATGTCATACAGCCGGCGGCAAACAGCACTTTTAAATATGTGATAGATAAGCGTTAACACATTTGTTGAATTGAACAAGGTAATGGGTTTGAGATTTCTTGTAAATAATTCCCACCCTGAAATGTCCTGTAACTGCTGCCACTACTGACAGTCTTGGGCTGTGGTCGTCCTTGTAAAAGAACTGCTAAGCTGCATGGGGTCTCGCAGGGCTGACACAGAGTCTGAGTCTGAGTTATAGGAGCTTGGGGAAAAGAGACGATGAGATGGAATTCCAAAGTGGAGCAGTGTGAGGGAAGAAGCAGAAAGAGAAGTGTTTTGACCTGCAGTGTGGGGAGTGGATGAGTGAGTGAGTAGATGAGTGAATGGCTGAGTGCATAAGTGGGTAAATGGGTGGGTGAGTGGGTGAGTGAGTGGGTGGCTGAGAGAGTGGGTGAGTGCATGGGTGAGTATGTTGTTGCGACCTGCAGTGTGGTGGTTGAACAGTGTGGATGAGACGAAACAGCCAGTGTCTGGTAGACCAACTTCTCAGCACGGGAGGAGTAATCAAGGAGCGAAGTTCACGGGAACAGTTACCATGACTCTAGTAGCGATAAAAGAGGCACAAGGAGGCGACCGACTGACAGTGGGCGAGTGACCGCAGCGAATCGGTGAGTGCTGACTCATCAATCACCCTGACTGCTTGCTGCTGCGTTCTATCAGGTGTGACAGGATGAGGGAAACTGTTATTTGTAGACGCCGCAAGGGTGGGGAGGGGGGTGCCAAGTGGAAATGGTTCATGGACAGATTTATTTATTTTGAAACCTAGTATTTTAAATATTCTATATAAATGCGCCGCGTGTAGCTTGTCATAACCGAATAGATTTTGACCGCAGCTTCACTGTGAACGCAGATTGCCCCGCATGCCCCGGTGTGTGGCCTCGCGTACCCCGGCACACAGCACTCACTTCCATGCCTTTCAAAGCTTCCCACCACTTCCCAGTTGTAAAATGCAATGCCAGACAAACTTGCTACTTTGTGGTTCAAAAAAAAACAAGCAGCAATGGATTCACGTGTTAATCAATACCAATGAAGCTTGTGAAACCTTCTGGTTGTTATTGAATTGCATTGCCGATGGTGCATGTTTATTACGCTGTAAAGAACGTATTCTGAATAATTCGGTGATTCATACTTTTGTGATTCGTGGAATCGTGGCCATTCTACAATCACGAAAAATCTCGTCACCATTTACACATACAAAATAATTTTTTATACAATTCCTGGTAATTACGTATATGTGTATTACACAATGCACAGGCCATATATTCATATATACAGTTTTGCAACAACAAAACATTCCCTGCAATATTAAATCTATCTTAGTTTTAAATGTATTTATTAAAAACAGTACACTTTTTGTGATATGTCAAAACTAATGCACAACATGACACACGTCTTACTAACACCAAGTTGATGAGAGGCAGAACACGTGATATCTCTCTCTGAGTTGTGACCTTAGTGACCTCAGTTAAGCTTTGCAACTGGAGGGGAAGCGTAGGTAGCGGTGGTCTTTATTGTGGGGGGGGGGGAGGAAACCGGCTGAGAACCTCTGTTGTCCTTCCCCCGCACCTGCCATTAGCACGGTTGGCTACGTACAGTGCGAAAGAAGTTCAACACACATACATACTGCCGTACAAATGGGTGGCCGGCATGGACCCATAACGGCCAGAGGCCAGGTGCTGCTACCACTTTCCGTGCCAGAGCACGCGCGTGCGTTCTTAACGGACCTCGTTGACGCTCATGTTGTAAGACCGCTGCTGGAAGATGGGCGGATTGTCGTTGATGTCGCGCACCAGGATTTTAACCTCGTGGTTGATCGTGCTCCCCACGTTCAGGTTCTGGCACTGGACGATCACCGTCAGTGACTGGATGCTGATTGGCGGCTGCGAACAAAGGACATGCGGAGGTTGCGGCGTTGATGAGATTGGCACATCAATATACACGGTTGAATTTCAAAATTAACTGGTAAATAATTCATGCTTCCCTTGAATGTTCATATCGACAACAAAGTTAAATTGCATTATAACCCATGTATGAGGTAGTTTGTTCAATCCCACTGGAAAAATGTCTTTTCATTATTATTATTCACCATAAACATGCTAGCAAAATGCTAGAATGGTAATCAATGAGAGTTCGATGTATTTTTTGTACGTGAAATCTCTCTTGTATTTCACCTGAACTGCTCTTATCTGAAATCCCAGCATCTGTGCTTCTGTTCTCTGTGGCCCTGAGTCGATCGAGGAAGACTCCTGTTATCCACAGTTCGAACCTTCCCTTCTTCGACGCAGAATTTTACACAAGTAGAGTCACGCGGCATTGGCCCACTGGAATGGAAATATCTATATCCAAGCACGGACAATCCATCCGGTGCAAAAACTGATATCATCGCTCCATCTCCTTGGGGGGCATTACTCTCGGACACGTTCCATTCCCCGGCTGCCACTCCGTTATTATTTTTTGTTTATCGGACATCGTCGTGCCTTCTAGCCGTGACGCATATTGCCCAATCCCACTCACTTTTATAAATAACTCGGGCGATGTCATTAACCTGCGTGTGTTCCCTGACCATCTGTTCTTCTTTCATTCTCGTCAATGCCATTCCGAGCATGCACGTTGCCATGCTTCATCGGGCACTTTTAAGTCGTTGGGCACTTTTAAGTTTTTGGTCGATATTTTTATCTGAACATCATGATTTTTGAACCATGTCAAAGCAGGCAGTGCGCACGATCTAGATTTAATTAAAAGTATATAAACAGAAGCGTCGAGGCATCCGGCCGGGTGGCTCAGCAGCAGAGCGAGCGTCTCATGGTCGGAAGGCTGCGAGTTTTAGGGGTTGATTCAGCCCATTGTGCCTTTGTGGTCGATAAAAGGAGTAACAATTTGTGGGAAAATCAACAGCGGTTGTCCTATGGAGACACTTGCCCCATCGTGTGCTTATTTGAGCAAGAAATCACTTAGAATCTTTTTTTACGGAGGCATATGTGTTTCTCTAAATAACCATTTTATTTGAGCGCTGTTCTGCGAGACGTTACTCACATCGCGATCGAAAATACGGCCAGCGGTGTTGAGGTAGAGTCGTTGTAAGGCCGGATCCAAGCGAACCCACTGGTTTTCGTTCAACAGCAGCGCGAGGCTGATGGTAGGACTAGGCCCAGACGCTATGCCCTTGATGTGCATGCTGTCCACCAGGACAGTACCTGCAAACATAATACAATTAACCTTATACACACTTCTATTTATGAAAATATTTCACCTGGAAAATCCCTCTAAATGGAACATCTCATTTGGAAGAAAGTCCAGTGTGACACATACACATAGCAGCCACGTAATGACACGAGCACACACGTTTAAAATCTATAATTGGATTTGAAGGCTTTGATTAATCGCATTTGGGCTCCGCAAGCCACTGATCAATGTGTGAATCTTGTATAGTCCACACCTGTCAGGATGGGACCTTGATTCATGTTGCGTGAATTTCTCATGGTGGCAAGTTAGTAACTCCCTCGCTTGGAATGCGAGAGGACGTGGGTTCGATCCCGACGCTGACGCCTGTATATTTGTAGTTTGCGCATTCTCCCTGTGGTCGCGTGGATTTTTCTCCGGGTTAAACAGTTTTTCCCTCCACTTTTAGAAACATGCGTTTAGAGTACTTGGCTGCTATAAATTCCCACATGATGAGCCAATAATGAACCACAATATCTTGCTATTAATCATCAAGGAGCATAAACCATCATGCAAACTCTGGTCATCCTTGCAGCGGCTTTTTGCGAGCCATCGAATAGAGACGGCCATTGCTTCGCGCACATTAAGATGCTGGAACCCTCTTTCTTCTAATATTAGGAAGCCACTGGAGCTATGCACTTTTACATCTCGATAAACAAACAACTAATTTCTTAAAAACTAATTTTTGTGTTTAGTTTGTTGTCCTTCTCCTGCACCTCCGATTTAAAAACAGTTGGCTACATACGGTGCGAAAGAAGTTCAACAAACATACACTTAGTTCACCTATCAATTGTGGCCAGGTCGCTTCTGGGCCTTACTTTTGAAATAAAAAAATTGCTCAGTTTTAGTTTAGTTTATTGAATTCAGTATTTTGGATGATTTTCATAATAATTATAAAACACTGGCCGTGGTTCCGTCGGTGTTTGTGTGTGCCTCGTTCAGCTAAATTAATACATAAATTACGAACTAATATTATTTTGCACACGTTAAATACTAATTAACCGTTATACCACTGATTAACATCTTATGGTAGAGGCTCAAGCCACAATATTTAATAATTTATGAACATCAGGTAAATATTTGATGTTGTTTAACATGTTAATTTATACAATCAATTGCACATTGATAATACATATGTACAGTCGCAGTATAAAACACAAGATAATCCGTTAGCATCAGCATGTTTACAAATTCAGCTAACAAAATAAACAATCAGATGATCCGCCTTCCACGTACAAAATGTAACAATTTTTACACATCCCATCATTCACACGGCCTTCTGGGAGTACATCGCCTCAGCAGCGTTGCTTCAACACAAGTACACTTTGGACCGGTTTCAACATTTAGTGTCTCATCAGCAGAGCCAGGCTTACCTGAACCGATGCTGTTGAATTGTTAGATGTTTATAGGCAAGAACCCTCTCATTGATATGGGTAATAATTCAACGCAAAACTGTATCATACGTTATACAAGATAATCATTAGCGTCTTAGGACATCTGAGCCATGCCCAAACGTCACGATCTCCCTCGAGTGTGAAAAGGAAATGATTAAATAAAACATGTTTCCATACATCCGCGCCTTTACTGGGCCAAGCAGAAGGGAGCGCTGTGTGGTGTGATGTTACAGCCCTGAGATCCCAGCGCCTGGTGACACAGCTGAGGTGCTGTGTGGTGTGATGTTACCGCACTGTTAGCGACGGACGGTGGTGACCGTGCTGTTAGTTTCATGTTCATTATTAATACATCTGGGGCATGGATCTTATGTCGTTAAGTCTACGGAACTTAAAGTGGTTTAGTTATTCACCATCGCTGCACGCATGTGACATGGTATGAGGGATACAATGTAGCTTGAAAGTCCTCATTAGAAGTGTGAAATATTGGGACTATGTAATCGTTACGTGAATAAAGCGGCAAATTCATGTTCGGTTGAAAATACATGATGGTAATGCAGTATGAGTCTGGCCAAAAATAAAATGAAACTGTAAACATTTTTCAAGTGTAATTGTGTGTTATGAACTTATATACGTTTGTGTCAAACGAGGACCCATATCTAAGAGAGAGGGTCCTTGTTGACAACATGTGGCAGTTCAACAGCAGTAATGGTTCAAGGAATCCTGACTCAAATTGCACAGGGTGAGGCTGTGATACAAAGATCAAGGGCGACAGTGTCTGGCATTGAGCTCAACCTGCAGAGGTTGCAATACCAAATAAATAACTAACGGATCCGGCTCAGCAACTGTGACTATTCTCTGAATGTTCCAATCTTAGAAAGGACAGAACCTTTCTCCCAAGTGAGCCAAACCTAGAGGCAAAGACTCCGCCACTTGCACATCCAGCCAGGGTAGTAACTTTCAATTTGTGTGAAGTGAGGGAGACATTTTTTGTTCTATTCAATTGATGAGCACAGGGCCCAAAGGCTCAACATGTCCAGTGGCCAGCAACAAACATAACTCTCAAAGTTGAAATAGACGAAGAGTTAAACACGTTTCTTGAACTGAGAAATTTGATGATCATAACAACTTGAGAAAAGAGGCGATGGGAGGCAATTCCAAAGTGGAGTAGTGCGAGGAAAGAACCAGAAAGAGCGGAGTCGTGACCTGCAGTGTGGTGAGTGGGTGAGTGAGTTGTTGTGACCTGCAGTGTGGTGAGTGGGTGGGTGAGTGAGTTGCTGTAACCTGCAGTGTGGTGAGTGGGTGGGTGGGTGAGTGCGTTGTTGTGACCTGCAGTGTGGTGAGTGGGTGGGTGGGTGGGTGCGTTGTTGTGACCTGCAGTGTGGTGAGTGGGTGGGTGAGTGGGTGAGTGAGTGCGTTGTTGTGACCTGCAGTGTGGTGAGTGAGTGGGTGAGTGAGTGCGTTGTTGTGACCTGCAGTGTGGTGAGTGAGTGGGTGGGTGAGTGAGTGCGTTGTTGTGACCTGCAGTGTGGTGAGTGAGTGGGTGGGTGAGTGAGTTGTTGTGACCTGTAGTGTGGTGAGTGGGTGGGTGAGTTGTTGTGACCTGCAGTGTGGTGAGTGAGTGGGTGGGTGGGTGGGTGAGTGAGTTGTTGTGACCTGTAGTGTGGTGAGTGCGTTGTTGTGACCTGCAGTGTGGTGAGTGGGTGGGTGAGTGAGTGAGTTGTTGTGACCTGCAGTGTGGTGAGTGGGTGGGTGAGTGAGTGTGTTGTTGTGACCTGCAGTGCAGTGAGTAAGTGAGTGAGTTGTTGTGACCTGCAGTGTGGTGAGTGGGTGGGTGAGTGTGTTGTTGTGACCTGCAGTGTGGTGAGTGGGTGAGTGAGTGCGTTGTTGTGACCTGTAGTGTGGTGAGTGGGTAGCTGAGTGTGTTGTTGTGACCTTGTGTGAGGAGCTCACAAATCCTTGAAAGATCTGGACAAAGTCCCATCGGTGAGCTCCTCCGGCAGACATGGTATTTACTGCCCGGCAGTTACAGGAGAAATGCCAAGAACAAAATGTTGATCTATATATGGCTTTCGTTGATCTAACAAAAGCATTCGACACAGTCAGCCGGGAGGGCCTATGGAAAATCATGGCCAAGTTTGGGTGTCCAGACAAGTTCATTGGCATTGTGCGCAAACTCCATGATGGCATGATGGCCAGTGTCAGAGACCAGCAAGAACTCTCTGGTCCGTTCCCAATCACAAACGGGGTGAAGCAAGGCTGCGTTTTAGCGCCAACGCTCTTCAGCATGGTGTTTTCTGCCATGCTGCAAGACTCATTCCAGAACCACAACACTGGGATTAACTTCATCTACCGTTTTGACGGTGGGCTATTCAATCTGCGGAGGATGCAAGCCAAAACTCGAGTGGAGGAAATCACTGTTCGAGAACTTTTGTTTGCTGATGACTGTGCTCTGGCTGCTGACTCAAATAAAGATCTACAGGACAGTATGGACCACCTCTCCTCAGCCTGCAACAACTTCGGCCTAACAATCAGCACAAAGAAGACTGAAGTCCTATACCAACCTGCTCCTGGGAAACCCTACACTGAGCCAACCATCTTTGTGAATGGGCAAAAGCTTTCAGCCGTTGACAAGTTTACTTACCTTGGCAGTACACTGTCTCGTGCTGTGCACATAGATGATGAAATTAACATCAGGATTGTTAAGGCCAGTGCAGCCTTTGGACGTCTACGTGACTCGGTATGGGAAAGGACTGGCATCAAGCAGGAGACAAAACTGAAGGTCTACCGGGCTGTTGTCTTACCAACTCTTCTGTATGGGTGCGAAGCCTGGACAGTTTACCAGCGCCATGCCAAGAAATTGAATCATTTCCACTTGAGCTGTCTGAGGAAACTGCTGAGGATCAAGTGGCAAGACAGAATCCCTGACACGGAAGTCCTCAGCAAGGCAAATATCCCCAGCATCTACACCTTGCTTGCGAAGGAACAGCTTAGATGGACTGGCCATGTGACCAGAATGCCCTACGCGAGACTTCCAAAACAAGTCTTCTTTGGCGAGCTGAGGAATGGCAAGCGAGGACAAGGTGGCCCCAAAAAGCGCTACAAGGACACCCTGAAAGCTTCCTTGAAGAGCTTTGGATTCGACCTTAAAAGCTGGGAACCCCTAGCACAGGACCGACCTGCCTGGAGAAGAACAGTACAGGACGGTGCAGTCCTCTGTGAGAGTAGGAGACGCTCCTGTGCCATCTTGAAGAGGCAGCAGTGCAAATCTACCAAGGAAGGACGTGTGGCTGCACCTCAGAGCTCTACATCCTCCCTGACCTGTCCAGTGTGCCACAGGGAATTCCGGGCTCAGATTGGCCTCTTCAGCCATCTGCGCACTCATCAAAACCCAACATAATGACAAACGTGCCATGGTCACCATCAACTTTGATGGACGAACAAGAAGAAGAAGTGTGGTGAGTGGGTGGCTGAGTGTGTTGTTGTGACCTTGTGTGAGGAGCTCACAAATCCTTGAAAGATCTGGACAAAGTCCCATCGGTGAGCTGCTCCGGCAGGCAAGGCTGCGTTGGCTGGGTCATGTAGCCCGCATGCCTAGCCACCGCATGCCTAAACAGCTTTTGTTTTGCCGGATCGAGAGGGCTAAATGGGCGCGGCACGGGCGCGTCCGAGATGGAGTGATGTGGTACAGGAGGATGTGGAGCTGAGTGGACTTGCCGATGACTGGTACCAGCAGTGTCAAGATCGGCCTCTATGGAGGAGGTTCGTAAAGGACTCGACTGGGTAGTTGGAGGCAGTCGCCCTCCAACAACAACGGTGGGCGGAGGAGCGATACTCACAACAATGAGCGGAGCGCCGGGTGGCTAAAGCACAGCCAGTCATCTCAGTCAATCGACCCGTGGCAACTGGGTCTGTCCCGTGATCTCGTGCCAGCGGGCGTTCGACACTTCACGTGGCCTTAACGTGCACATAGCCTGGCACAAGCGTCGTGGTGACGTCACCGCCACTTAGTGGCGAATGGTGGTTGTTGTTGCTGTTGTGACCTGCAGTGTGGTGAGTAAGTGGGTGGGTGAGTGTGTTGTTGTGACCTGCAGTGTGGTGAGTGGGTGAGTGAGTGCGTTGTTGTGACCTGCAGTGTGATGTGTGAGTGAGTGCGTTGTTGTGACCTGCAGTGTGGTGGGTTAGTGGGTGAGTGAGTGTGTTGTTGTGACCTGCAGTGTGGTGAGTGAGTGATTGGGTGACTGATGGATGAGACGAAACAGCCAGTATCTTGTAGACTAAATCCTCAACGTGGGTGGACAAATCAATGAGTTAATGGGAACAGTTACCATGGTAGCAGCTAAAGAAGAGTGATAAGGAGATGACTGGCCACCAGTGACTGAGTGACTGAAGTGAATCAATGAGGGCTGGATCCTCAGGTCAACCCTGACTGCTGCTTGACTCTGGAATCTCTTAACGTGCAGTGAGGTCGGAACTTGGTGGCTCCACCCGAGATCTGACAACAGGATTCAAACTTTGGCCGAATTTGTGCGTTGTATGGTAGCAGTAATAATTTTTCAGAGTGAATGGTGGAGGCTTGGCGGTAGAAGATTGATAGCACTATGTAACACAATTTTTGTTCCTGGGTAGTAAGTGTTATTTCGTAATTGCTTATGCCTAAAAAGTATACGAAAATTACTCTTTGGTTCTTTCGGTAAAGTCACGTAGAAAGAAAATAAAATAAATAATGGATTGCACCGTTTTGATTGCAACACAAGCAACCGTCATCAGGTGTGAATGAATGCAAGCTCGGAGAGAGACACACACAGAGAGAGACAAACACAGACACGGAGAGAGACACATACACAGAGAGAGAGACAAACATACAGAGAGAGACACACAGAGAGTAAACTTAGCTATTTTCCCCCACACAAACTTTGCTTTTGTGTTCAGCACAGTGATATGTTGAAACAGCTTTGTCGCAGTGGTTCGTGGCTTCCTGGGCAATCGCAAGGTCGAAAACTATGTAAAGCTGTTTGAGACTCTGTTGAAGAACTACAGCACAATGGGCTGTAGGATGTCCCTCAAAGTCCATATCCTAGATGCTCATCTTGATAAATTCAACGAGAACATGGGAGCGTACTCGGAGGAGCAAGGCAAGCGCTTCCACCAGCATATACTGGACACTGGACTTTGAACGCCGCTACCAAGGACAGTATAACGAGAACATGATCGGAGACTACATTTTGGGGCTGATTCGTGAAAGTGATTTACAGTATAATCGTAAATCTCTAAAAACTACTCACTTCGAAATATTTTGCAGTAATTTTTTTATTACTTTAGTATATATACATGTTAATTTTGATTCATATGTTTTTTTCTGACTTTATGTGAACGAAAAGACACAAATTCGCCAGTTTTTTCATTGAAAATAGGTACATTTCAAAGTATCACTGTCCTGGTCACAAAAGCAAAGTTTGGGAGGAATAATAGCTATTTTCTGTACTTTTGAGACATAAGCAATTAGGAAATAACAATCTTCTTTTGAATCTTTCGTGACTGCAGGAATCCATACTCTTTGGTTCTTTCGGTAAAGTCACGTAGATAAAAAATTAATAGATCACAACGTTTCGATCGCAACACAAGCAACCGTCATCATGAGAACTGCTGACACAAGAGACAAGAGCTCTTTCTCCTGCTGTCTTTCCGACAGACCTGTTCTTCACCTGAGGACGGCTGCTTGCGTTGTGGCCAAAACGTCGTGAGAATTGTATTTTATTATGTTTTATTTTTATAATTTTATTATTTCCCTTCTACGTGACTTTACCGAAAGAACCAAGAAGATGAATCCCTGCAGTCACGAAAGCTTTAAATCGAAATTTAACAGTGTAGTTTACCTATGGATTAGAATACTCATTGTTAAATACGATGGCAGGACCTGTGGAGTTAGCAGTGTGTTCCGCAGTGGAAGTGTTGAGTTTGTTGTCCTTCCCCCGCACCTCCGATTAGCACGGTTGGCTACATATGGTGCGAAATAAGTTCAGCATACATACATTGTCGAATATAACTCGGAGTATCTTAGCCGCACGCTCACCATCGGGGCTTTCCTCGTCTATGGTCACGATGGTTACCGGGGGTCCGGAACGATCGAGGCGACAATCTGAAAGAGAGCCACAAATCTGCATTGAAGCACAAAGCATTCCCTCCGCGATCGAACGCGGCAACATGCAACTGCTTAGCACGTCTTAATCGTGTTTCTGAAGCTATGGTGTCACGGAAGCGACCTTAACTACGTGACTCCAATCCAAGAACACAATAACAACGGGGCAAGCATAAGCAGGCGAGGCATACGAATGCAAAGACACTGGGGAGCGTCAAGCGAGTCTACATCCAAGTTTGCAGCAATACCACTATGGATACAGAGGACAGCGGGGAAAGGGCCAGCGATGAAACACACGGTGAATATCAATGTCTCGGGAAGCTGGAGCGACTGGGTTTGCTTGTCGAAGGAAAGACAGCGGGGTTCATAGGGCCAATGGAGGACACAGTCGCGGTGTGAAACAGCTGGCAGTGATCTAGCACCAGCTTACCCTCGTAGAGTTGAGCTAGTGGAAAAGGAGGCAGTGTGCCGGAGGTGTGAAGAAGACGAGGAGGAGAGGACATAACAGGAAAGGAAGAGAATAAGCAGCTGGCAAGAGCAACGCAACCTGGACCAGACCAGACCTTCCATGCAAGAAATACTTAAAAATAAGATCACATTGTTCTGCAGGATATCTGAAAAGATAGCACAGAGTATAGGAAGCAGGTGTTGTAGTGAAACTCATCTGTGGTGATGTGCGAATAGGTGCGAATACAACGTGGACAGCAGGAATTCGCCACCACGTCTGGTGTGCACTTAGCACCCGTCAGCGATGATTTCAGGCAGTCACTCATATCCACTGATAAACGTCACCATCGCTGTCATCGTCGTAAACAGCGGACACCATCACTATCACCTGCATCACCATGAGACGAGGTCTATCCCTGGTGGGTGAACCTCTTCCTGTGCTGTCCACTATCCCTCGCAGCACTGTGACACCACAATCCATGTCTCTCTGGCACACTCAACTATCCCCCATTAGCTCCATCTCCACGGCGATTGTCCTCTCGGGCGCGTTCTCTTCTTTGGCTGAAAATCCATCATCAGCGTCATCCATGCACAGATCACCACGTTGATGCCGCTGGAAATTTTGGCCCAACCCCCCCACGTTACTGTTTGTTGTTTAACGGGCAGGAATCGAACTTCAGCCTCCGTGTTCGTAGCGCAGCATACGAGCCACTTCGCTCTCCACGTTGCACGGACAACCGCAACAACAACAGCCGATGCTCACACGGCGAGGAAACCGCGGCGTTCGTGCCAGGCTAGGTGCACCGAGGCCACGTGGAATGTGGAAGGCTCTCTGGCAGGTGTTACGCGCGCGTGTGAATGCGCACGCACGCGCAGGTGACGGTCCCTAGAGCGTCCGTGTAAGCTGGGCCAGAGGTTGCAGCGAGGCCCTCCCCTCTCTGGCACCAATTTCAGAAGTGATGGCAAGAACCGCTATTGCTGTTACTTAATTAAATCACATTAACTACGTACATGTGTGTTACATAGACTTTGATCGTTAGTACGCCGAACTGCGAATATGTGACTGCAAAGCCTGTTATAACTGGAACGTATATTCTTAAAATATATTATTATTCTCTACGCAATGCTAAAAAAAACCCATCAATTATATAACTTTAATGCACAATTATTATCGCCAAATATACTATTATGAATCCGACATGTTACATTAACGTGCAATTTATTTCTATAATTCAAATATGCAAATGTGATATGTTACTGTTGTGGGGTATTCATTATTGTTTTATTGTCATTACATTACTGTAACAGTTTTGATATATCGTGTAAGAATGTTATTTCTACATCACACGCAGCTTGATCCGGGCCTCGCCACCAACATCGTAAATGTGCTCAGTGATCGTGAGCAGCGGCGGCTCGGGGAGCACCAGTGCGTGAAGGGCAACCCCACCAGCCCCGGCACTTTTAAAGGCGTTGCGGGCCCTGGCAACAGGCAGCAGAGACGCATGTCCTGTTTACATTTCCTAAACCTCTACTGGAGCGGACGGACAAAGAATATGGTGCGTGTGTAGGACTGCCCCAGCCTGAAACCACACTGAGGCTCCGCAAGCTTCTCCTCAGCGTGCCTGGCAAGACAGTGTTGAATAATCCTTGCCAGGACCTTTCCCGACCTCACACTGAAAGGAAAATGCTGACAATGTATGTGTGTTCTGATTGAAGGAAAGACAAAGATCCCCAATACAGCCTTAACAGATTGTTGGGGCAAGTGCCGTTAGCTCGCATCTATGAAGGATGGCACGGCACATGAGAGGGTGGTGTTACTAGCACTACGCCCGACCACCTTTGTCTCCCCAGTGGTGAGGTTTACACACCGCAGCAGATACTCATTTATGGATGAGTCAGCCTAGGGGAGGCCCAGGACTCGTTAATATATTTGTCATTGATGTTGGCCACAAACAAACACCCCTACACACAGTTTTAAGTACTGAGGTGGGACATTGGGACAGACACTGAACCATTCAAATACTTAGTCAATGGAGAAGCTTCTGTACATGCATCACAATTGTTAGTAGGAAGTGAGAATGTGAAGACAGAAGATGTGATGTGGTTTGAGATACTATAGACATCAGGTGTTGACCGCAAGAAGCTGTGGGATGTTACAGAAGGAAGCTCTGGAGAGGTGTGATGGTATCAATAACGGCGTGATTATATCTTGGCTTAATGTGGCCTCTGTACAGGTAAGGATAATCTGTTGGCCTCTGACCACTACCAACGCGACAATTAACGCCATGTCAGGAAAGGTTCAAGGTTGCCACCTATTCCACTGTAAATCAAACCTGGGCACATTTCTCAGCCGCCCAGGTTCATCAACACTGTGTAGTTCCACGTACTAAAGTTCAACACAATACTAACACCAGATTATCAATACGAATCAATTCCTGCCACCCGAAAACGGATGCCAGTTCCCAGGCAGGTGGCAACCCTCTGAACGTCTTGACCATTACCCTGACAAAACTATTGCATACGTCTGAAGCATTACAGTGCTTGAACAATGATGGCTGGTGGCTGCGCACACCTCTAATGCAGCGCTGTGGAGGCAGTAGCGGTTGGTGGATCACGCACATGTCGTGAAACTCCCTTCCCGTGGGCAACAAGGTCGCCATGTCTTCACTTTCAGGGTATGGCAGTACAGCAAATTGATTCATGTCCATCGGGACGGAGATTGTTACCTCCACTCGTGCACGTGGGTTTCCTCCAGGACCCCAGTTTCTCTCACATCGCACAACAGCTATGACTGTCGTTGGCCAAATATCCCAATGAAGGCCCACAGAGCTTGGGCAACTGTTGGCACTGGTTCTGGACCGTTTCTGTTATTCCCCACGCCTCCGTGCAAAAACATTGCATGTTCAAAATTCTACAGCAGCGTTTGGAGATGCAACTTGCATGACAGACTCGATATACAATTTTAAAACACCATTACCTTTGTCAATTCGGACTGTTGACAAGATGTGTACTGGCTTTGTGAGTTTTATTATTATTATTACCTGGATGGGGAAAAGCGAAAACCAAACATTTCCCCAGTTCCTAAAGTTAGGCCTCATGAGAGAGTGACCCTTGGCCAAGGGAAATAGTGCTGACTCGTGGAGAAATATTGCTTACAGCAGAGGTTTCCAAACAGCAAACAACACGAGAGTTTGCTTCAATATTTAATCACCGCACACGACAAGGGTAGTCAACTGAACGCTGCACACCGACCGTCGAGCGCAGGTCACGTGCACCCGGACTGCAGAGCTGCTTCTGCTGCTACTGCTGTGGTTCACGAGCAGGTCCCAAGCTACTGTCAGTCTACATGTTCCTCTAACCCTACTGCCTGTATTATTTTTCATCTCACGTACATTGCGACCTCTGCGTTTCGCTTCCACGTCACTCGAACTCCGGTCATCCTCGCGGCAGCTTTTGGCTAGGCCATCGAACAAAGATGGTCACCGCATAGAGCACTTTAAGATGCACTTCTGCGGGCGGCCGGCCGGAATGCTCTTCCTTCCAATATTAGGAAATCACTGGAACTATTTATTTTAAAATCTAGATTGAAAACTAATTTCTTTAGAACTGCTTTTTGTGTTTAGTTTGTTGTCCTTCCTCCGCACCTCCAATTAGCACGGTTGGCTGTGTACGATGCAAAAGAGGTTTAACATACATACACATCAAACAAGTTTGTAAATCATTTTATATTTAACGAGAGTAGTTGAGCGCGCATGGGACATCTTACCATCTTGACTCTGTGCGAGTTTTAGGCGGAGGTAAATGAAGTAGCACAGTAACCAGATCGTTGGTGGCTGCAGCAGGAGCATGGTGTGGGTTCACATGCAGCCTGCAACACAAAATACAAAACCACACGCACATACGGGGGAGCATTATCACAGCAATCCTCAAATAATAGCAATCTTTACATTCACATGGTGTTGCTAATATGCCTCAGCAACTCACGAACATTCGATGGGGACCCCCCATGGCAGCCGTCTCTGTGTGGCACAAGGTGACTTAGCACCGGCATGCTAGTGGGCTTGAGATTGCTGCCGATAGGGGGGTGATGACTGCTGCCGTGTTTCAAACCGAGTAATTTGCAGATCATATTTCAAATGTGGGCCATGATGCCAGTACACAATGACCTACTATTTTGAATGACGCCACATGATCTTCAATTTCCACTGTGAAGCAGATGGCACATATATTATGGTGAATACAAACCGCAAACCCTGCAACAAATGCTAAATGCGCTGCCGCTAGGCGAAGCGACCTCCACTTACGGAGGCCAACATAAACGGGTGTAGAGGAGATTGTATCTCCCTCGTCTGGTGTGCAGGAGGTCATGGATTCAACCCCCACCCTGGCGATGCCTGTATTTGTGGAATCTGCGTGATCTTCTCGCGGTCGCGTAGATTTTTCTTCGTGTCCTTCGGATTTGCCCTCCACGTTTAGAAACATGCCGTTAGATTATTTGCCTGCTACCATAAATTACCACGTGATAAGCCACTTCAACGAGCTATCATGTGTGGCCAGGTCACCTCTCAAATAAAGATAATGGCTCAGTGGGCTTTACCTGCTGAAATAAAATAGTCAGCTAGTAAGCTAGGAATCACGTGTCCACAACTACAATTTACATATTTTATAAAGTTTAAAAGGTAACAGCAACCACAGGTGCTGCACAGATGTGACCATTTACACAACGTGCAGTTCAAGCAAGTAACAAGTTGGCAGTTATACTAAATATACAATTACAACACATATTACATATGAGATGAAAGATGTTTCCATCTGGCGACACCAGGCAAACGCTCACATTGAATCCTCATGCCTCCAGCGCACCACCCGTGGTGCAGAGAAAATAAAATGCAGCGCATGACATTCCCGGCTAAAAATAAAACGGAGGAATTCATCCGCCTCTGTTGTCACCTGGATACGGATCCTCGTGCATCTTATCTCTTCTGCAGAGATCCATAGGAGAGATAATCCAAAGAGCTCAACACTTCACAAGATGCGTAAAGGTTTCAAGCCGGTGCTTTCAGATACTGTAAGAAGCATACTGTACTCATTTAGTCAGGAAAGCCACAATAAGTCCCAAACACTCTTCTTTAAGAGGGTCAGGCTACATTGGGATGTTTGGCCTACACATGGTATGTTTTAACTGCGGGAGGAAGCGAAATAACCCAGAGGAAACCCATGCAGAACAGGGAGAAAATATACAAACTCCACAAAGAGAAAGGTGATAATGATATGTTGGCGTTTTGGCAGAGGACAAGAAAATCCTGAACAGCAGACACACGCTAAATGTTCCCTGGGTCTGCCCTTGTAAATGCGTCTGTTAAAACTGAGCCACGTGCTGTAGGTCACCTTGAATGGTTGCTCGTCTGTTCCTTGGGCTCTTGATAACGGCAATTATTTCATGAAATGCTCCGTCATGTGTATGTGTGTGCGTTTGTCAGCAAAACGAGAGGCAATATCAGAAGTTGATTTCTTATGCGTGCACCAGTCAGCAATTTTACAAGGCCATATTTCCCTCAATAATTTTATGGCCAAAACCATTTTAGTAACTCTATTTTAGTAACTCTATTGACAGAAATTATAAAATGCCTCGTGTACATCGATACGCATGTAGGTTTGCTTTTCCATGGGCATTCAGGATGAATTAGAATCTCATTACATATTGATAGAAACACCACAATGGAGCCATCCACCTCCAAACGCTGGCAAAAGTATTTCGATTAGCGTCCCGTATTTCGCCTTACTTCTGAGACTTGTATGGGTGTATCCAATTATACCGAGATCGAGAAATGAATGTAAATACGGGGCCTTGTTAATCATATTAATTCCAAGTACTTCCCCCGCGTGTTTTTATCCCCCCTTCACCAGAAACCATCGCCGCGTTGTACCGGGCTTGCGTGCTTACCACAAAAAAAATTAAATCATAATAATAATCCCGACTTGTAACGCGGTGCCGCACAGAATTGCCTCACTCTCGACAACACAGAATGACTCAGAAGGCACGAGGAGGAAGCACAGATGAGTTGGCAGGCAGCGACACGGTGAGCCGGCGCCAGAAATTGCCCAAGCTTGCGGCCCTCTATACTTTAAGATGTTTCAGCCAATTAGTGAATGTTCATTCATGGAGGAGGAAACCGGAGTGCCTGGAGAAAGCCCGCATATGTGAGGGGGCAACACTCTATCCCACACTGATGGAACGGATAGATTCTAGATTTCAAGTTTTCTTTGAAGTTACTTAAGCGGTTGTTCTTTCGCTGTGTTTGTCCCCACCTGAAGACGGACGCTTGTGTTGCACCCGAAACGTCGTGATTTAATTTAGTTGTTTTCATTTTTATTTATTTTATTTTTTACCTACGTGACTTTACCTTAAAAAAAAGTATGGAACGGATAGAGTCCAAATTCGCTTTATTGCCTTTTACTGGAAAACCAGGATAGGGCACTTCCTCGCCACCCACGGGAAGGGAGTTTCACACCATTTGTGGGACCCACCAACCCTCACTGCCTCCACAGCACTGGATTAGAGGCTTGCATAGCCACCACTGCCGGGCGTCAATGCTGATGGCTTTGCATTGACAACTGCACTGGGATAGCAATACCGGATATCAGTGGTGTACTTTCAACATTCGAGTACTGCAGTGCATTTATTCAGACGGGGAGAGCTCTTGAATCGGTCGGCTTTCTAGAAAAAATATTCTATACCAGACCCAGACACCAACAAAGTACAACAGAAGTGTAGTGTTAGGTGGTATTAACATTGCACGGTCAATCCACTGCTGGATTAGGGCCACCCCAAACTGCCGCCACCTCTCACAATATTGCGATGCAACAATCCATCCGGCAGCTGCGCATTAACTGATTCCATCGCTCCATCTCCTCCACAAACGATGCTCTCTACGACGAGTTCCATCCCTGAGTTGCCACTTAACCTTGACCATCGGCCGTCATTCCTTCCAGTGAAGTGTCCTGCCCAAGCCTCCGACGACTTTTATTAAGAGGTTGGACGGTGTCATTCACCTGTTCTCTAATCCGTATATTCATGCTGCTTTGTGCTTTTTCAGTTTTTGTCCTCTGCTTTTCATAAACGACCACGTTGTTTCTGAACCCCGTCTCACAGCTAGCAGTGCACGCTGATAAACATCTTACTTCAATATGCGCAGCATGTTTTACGTCACTTCTGTGTGGTTTAACAGGAACACAACATATTACTGTTTCCGTGAGGGATGGAGCAGCTTTGGGAGGCTTTTATCCAGCAGTCGGTGGCGAACGGTTAAATGTTGTTCAAGTCAGAAAATTAATCCATCATTCATTTTTTCATTTTATTATTACGCATTTCTGTTTGAGTAGAAAACAACAAGCCTGCCGCGCTTAAAATAAAATCACTCCCATCACGGCATCGTACACATTTTTGGAGGAATTGGCCCAGATAAGCCTTAAGCCTTGAACTTTTGGCGATTGGAGGGGGTTTTAGTTACCCTCCAAAAAGACCCAAAAACCTCAATCACGCGGATCTTAGGATCATCGCACGGGGCTTCTGGGAGGAGTTGCTGCAAACTGCGGTGGTGCCGCAAGTTTTAGTTTTCACGGATTACTGGAGCACGGATTATAATGAGGGTTTTATTGTGCTTTGCAACAAGGCATTTGTTTCTCTGTGAACCCTATACAGTGATCCCTCGTTTATCGCGGTTAATGGGGACCGGAACCCCTCGCGATAGGTGAAAATCCGCGAAGTAGGATTGGCCCCCTAGGAATTTCCGTATATGTGTGTGTGGGTACCAGAATGTTTAAAATATGTATATTTATACTTTATATATATATTTTACTTAAATCTATTTAATTATAAAACCGTAATATTATACATTCACTCTCTCTCTCTCTCTCATACGATACGTATTATGGTGTTCTACACTCACCAATGACAGTAGTATCTTGAGACTTGACTCCGGTAATGACGACGACGACGATGACAATGACGATGACAATGACGACAATGACAGACCTGTGCAGTTCGATAAATGTGATGATAAATGATGATGATGATGATAGTGTTACTGCACAGGTATAATGAGGCCTTTAAATCAGTTCGAAAAATCCGCGATGCACTGAGGCCGCGAAACTTGAACCGCGAAGTGGCGAGGGATTACTGTATTGCTTAAGTAACAATGGTAGTAACACAGTATTGTGCAATTGGTTAGGCCTAGCCCATCGGAGCTACAAAAACACAGGGCCAATGTGATTGCTAAGCATTGGATCCATGTCCGATTGGGTCCAATGTAATTTGGGTCACATCAGAGGTGAACCTACACAAGCCTAATAAAATCAAACGGTTTCACTGAAAAACCAGCTGTCATCAAGCAGCGACGCAACGCAGGGCTGCGAATGATGCATTAATATGAATCAATAAAGTGTCCCTCTTGTTCAAACGGAGTAGTGGGTGGGGAGTGTGACGCACGCCTCTTCACCATTCCCATGGCATGCTGACTTCCTGCTAAGTGCTGCACTTTGATGCGCATGTGGACCAGAGTTTGAACTTGCGACTTTCCAATGGTCAGTCAAGTTCTGAACAGTACCATTAACCATCACCAAACACTAAACTGTATATATAACTAAAGCTCAAATTGTAGTTTTTTTAGCTTTAACAATAAATTGCTGAACAAAATCCGAAAGACCCCAAACGTCCAATGGCCAGCAACAAAACAGTACCATCAGAGTTATAATAGATACGCATTAACACGTGTTTTTAATTTGGCAAGGTAAGAAATTGAGAAGAGAGACGATGATGAGAGCGGGGAATTCCAAAGTGGAGCAGTGGCAAGGGAAAAGCAGAAAGAG